GATCAGGACCATGCGTCTCTTTCCGGCTGCAGCGCTAATGATGGGATTGGCCGTCTGTAGCAACCCCGATTTGTTGGCCAGCCGCATCAAGGGGTTGAGTCGGCTGTATTCCCCTCCCGCGGTATGATCCTTCTTGAACAGTCGGCGGCGTAGAGCAATCGAGAAGACTGGTTGTTTCTGACTCGCACCCACTGCGTTGAATTTGACCTTATAAAAGGACTTCATGAAGAGCCAAGCGCATGCTGCAGCTGAGAGCGGCGGCACGATCCAAAATAACACAAACATCGCGATCTGTGTAGCTTGATGTCCCACGGGAGAAAGAGAATACTTCATTGTCGCATCGTCGATGATCAGCTTCCAAGAGATGTAAGGAGAAGGGGGGTGCTCCGTGATGTTGATCACGGTTGTTGATAGCGACGAGGGCGGCATCCGATCCAGTACCGAGTCGTTATCGGCGTCGCCCATGACCCAGCCCTCATCAGGCTTCCCATCTGGATTCATTCCCCAAATGCTAACCTGGCCATAGGCTGGCCATTCGTATGTGAAATGGTATTTCCACAATCCATCCGTCGTATCCTGGCGTATGACGTTGTCCAGACCAGCATCATATCCATATTCGTTGTAGGGGCCCTCCCAGAAGAGATGTGGAAAGCGCCGAGTAACTTGATGCGTCCACCCCGTGTCGCCTTCTTGGACGTAGTCACTGCTGCCCGTCCATCGGCTCCAGTATTCGGTGCGAACGTGGTAGCCCTTCCAAGCCTGCTTGCTAGTGCCCGACCACGAGTTTTCCGTGATGGTCGTATTGCCCCCCGTATAGTCCATCCATTCCGAGAAAGACGACCCCCAGTTCGTGGAGTATCGCCACTTGTCTGCGCCGGCGGCATGGTGCTGGATGTATAGGGACCCGTTGGAAAATTGGTGGAGCAAGCTACTAGAGTAATTAGCGCTAGGATAGATCATCGGGTTGTCGATCTGCCCCACGCGCAGAAGGAAGTGGTCGACCGCATCGGTGGTCTCGTTGTTGTAGGTATTGCTGGCATTGTTGATGGTCACGCGATGAATCCCATTGTAGACGCCAGTCAGATTCCCCTGCCACACCCATGCGCTGGGAATATATCCTGCCCATGTGCTGCCGGTTTCGTTGAGCGTAGCAGCCTTGCAACTGACACTGTCTGTGTCCACCGAGGGAACTTTCCCTACTTCCGTAGAGGAGTTCAGTGAGATGGCACTTGTCACCGAATCGCAGTCCATCGCTTCGGAAAAGTAAAGCTTGATCTGGAGTGTTTCGTCTTCGCTGGCGGCGACGGTAGAGAGGACAGGAGCATCGTGGCCTGGGTAGAAGCTTGTGACCATTGGACGGGGCTTAACGAAGCGATCTCGCGGGACATAAGCACGGAACTCGTAGGCATCCATGGTCATATTGGCTAAGCAGCCGTTGTATGCTGTAGATCCATTGATCGCCAGCTTTTGCGGGCTGCTGACCAGCTTGTGTTCATCAAAGGGATGAAAAAGATTCTTCACCCAGGTGCCGGTGTCAAACGGAGAGATCAATGCGGTCGAATTGTCGCTGCAGTCGAAGCTATACTTAATTGTTCGGTTAGTATTGTGGTATACCAGCCAAACGGGCTGGTTCTTCTCATCCGACCCTAAATCCTGGTAGCCTGAACTGATATCACGCAGGACTGACCACAGCCCAGTCTCGGTAGCGGTTCCACTCGAGCCTGGGTAGTAGACCTCTTCCGTGTGATTCGAGAGTTTGGTGAGGTTATAGCCATCGTTAAGCACAGGGAAATCCACGCGCATCTGGTACATGTGTTTGATGATATTCCGCGCCGGATGAGAGGGATCGCGATGATCATAAGATACCGTTGGGTCTTTGCAGGCAAGGCGACCTTTAGTAATAGGCCAGTCATAGTAGGTTGAGGAATCCAGTGAGAAGCACCCATGCATCTGCCAGGCCGTTGCCGGTGACATGACCTGGCGGCCAAAGATGTAATTCGACGCGGTGGCGTCCAGAACATAGAAGGCCTGTTCCTCCCCCCACAGAAGGAGAGGAATTCCAGGCAGAAGCAAGGTGGTAATAAAAAGACCCAGCAGCTGGCGCTCGATCCCTTTCTCCAGTGCTGGCCAGCGAAACACATCTTGATTGGTGACCCCGTACATGTGACGAGGATCGAAGACACCGGTGTTAGGGTTGACCAAGTCGTTGGAAATCACCATCTCCTCCCAAGCCTCGATGAAGTCCACTGGGACATCATATCCCGCGGCTAGGTTCCCATCCATACCGAGAAACCGCTCGAGTGCACGGTAAACAGAATAATGGAACGCTGCGCCATCGATTGCATTCATCCCCTCCTGCCGCAGGAAGTACTGCGGCAATGATGTATTGGTGAGGTTCATTGCCACCTCAGCCGAGGACGGGTACTGATCCGGCTGTCGGCCCCGGCCCAGGTACACGGATCCAAAGGTATTGCCACCAGTGATCTCTCCAGCGATGAAGAAATTCTCCTTCCCTACTGCACGGGCGCATTCGCGATAGGCGGCCGACATGTCACTGAGGGCATCGACGGTGGCCTGGGTTGCTTTGTCATAGCGAAATCCATCAATATCGAGCTGGTAGATGATCATGCACGAATGTCGGATCAACCGCTGGCGAACTGAGGGATGCCATTCTCGCAGGCGATCCTGCACCGAGGCAAATTTGGCTAGTTCGCGTTCCCAATCCGCATACACTCCGAAGGCTTCGATGTCGCCGTACTGATCGAAATCGCTGTCGTAGCAGCCGACAAGGGAATCGGTAACCGTCTTCTGGACTGGGTAGCCATTCTCATACCAAAATCGGGGATAATCGCAGGTCTCATTATAGCTGTTTCCGATATCGAAATCGACGTATCGACGAGCGCTTTTCCACTCGACTTGGTGCTCCTTCACGGTGAAGGGGGTGGTGGTGTTCAAGTAACCTTGGAAGCCAATCAAATCCCCCATGGTGGCGATCGTATTGTCGAGAACAACGTACATCCCTCGCTTGTGAATCTCCGTGATTGCATGTCGCCATTGTGTCAGGTTGCCGTAATGGCCGTCGAGCAAGGTGGTGTCCAGCGCCGAATAACCGTCGTATCCCCAGGGCTGGTTCATGAGAATGGTGCCGGCCAGATAGATACCCTAGGCGCCAATTCGGTCAATAGTTCCCCAACTGACTTGGGCTTGTCTTCACCAACCTTGATTCCCATGCCCTGTAGATAGTCCAAAGTGTCGAGTAAGCCCGCGACATCCCCCCCGTGGCGCATCTGGGTCGACGAGATGTCATGTTCCCATATAGATTTATTGTAGTTGTCGTTGGTCGGATCGCCGTTCACAAACCGATCCAGCATAAGGGTATAGAATGGAAATCGCCAGTTATCCGGTGAGGCAACGTAGTCGCCCGTGTGATTCGGCCATTGACCCCAGTAGTCGGCGGGATTGGTGGCAGTTTTGTTCTCGTTGAGGTTGTACGCGGCGAGCGATTCATTGTAGGGCCAAGCGGCGGCCGGCAAGACTCCTACTAGCAATAAGAGGGTCAGGAAGGTTGGAACCAGGCCGGCAAGCGCCCATTTCATGTTTGCTGGGCAGCACAACAAGCTGCGTCTTGAGCAGTGGGAAAAATAGCAACCCCGATGCTTGTGAACCTGATCATAGGTGGACACGGTACTACACTCCAACACTTCACAAGAGGCAAAACAAGTAGCAAAGGTTGAGACCAAGTCGGTCGAGAAAGAAGACAATTATGTGCAGGGGGTGGAAACGAGCGTGGGAAATTAGGTCAAGTTAACAATGAACAAACAAGATGCCAACAAACACATTGGGGATGAGGAGTAGGTCTGATAAGCTGGATTATTGGAGATCTCGTCTTGCACCAGTCCGGTTTTGACCGGGTCGAGGCTCGCATTACGGATTACGAATGCATACTCTGCAGGCTGTTGCCACGACCTTTCTAGTGAGATATTTTTAGAGTGGCCTAGCGAAGTTGAGTCTTCGAATTGACTTATGGGTCTATGAAGAGGAGACAAGTAGCTAAAAATTCTTCCAGGACAAGACCGCGAGCGCACAGTACGTATACTTGGTAAGTTGGTATCCTACTTACTAGCACTAGCCACCACATGCCCTAGTCAGGTACAGTACCAATCACATAACCTGGCCTTTGTTGCATGATACGTACCCAGTCAAATCACTGTCTGTGCTTGGAAGTCCAGAAAGTTCAGGAACAGCGTTGCAGCGGCCGTAAATCTCTCGTCGGCCTTTCTGTTTTTCATTTTTAATTCATTTTTTGTTTTCATTTTGCTTTTGCATAGTACGTATGCTTAATGGTTTAGCCGCTTGGCCACCGAAGCTTGGAAGCGGCAGTGAAAGATCTCGTTCGTTGCTTTTGACTGGCCCCACTCAGGGCTGGGTTTTTGTCCCACTTCTTCCCCACTTCCAACCAACGAGGATGACAAGGCTGGTGGGGCGCAAACACAGGGGCTTACGCAATGCTTTCCTTCTTAGCTTCAATATTACCCCGTCGCAAATCCGCTTTTTATCTAGTAGACTAGTCTATGACTCTATGGACTGGTTATATTACTGCCTAGTTCTGTTAGCAGCTAGATAGGTTCCCTCCCTCTCTAAAAATGGCTAAAAATGGACAGGGGAGCCGGATCATGACCACTGACTACTTTTCGGGCACGATGCGAGGTATACTAATCCCTCACGCTGGGGCTTTTTGTCTTCGATGATGCGTCGTGCATCTTGTTGACTTGACCCTGCCAGCATCGTCGCCTTAGTCCTGCTATACTATGTTCTTATCATTCCCTTCTCCGCTCACTTCATCGGACATCCTCAACTCCCTCATTTCCCCGTGGACGATAAGTAGCCGTGTTCATAGCCGAGCCTGAACAACTAATCCCTGCTATCTAATCAACTCGTGCTGGGCCATCCTATGCCCAGTTATTGTGCAGAGATAGAATAGAGCCACAATGCTGCAGTCTATGGCTCTCGTGCTCCGGCAAAGCAACACGATCTCTCACCTTTTCTACCTCTTCCTCCTCCTGGCCTATTGCTCCACTCCTACCCTTGCGGCAACAACTGAGCAATGGAAAACCCGCTCCATTTATCAGACGATGACCGATCGGTTCGCTCTCACCAACGGCTCGACCACCACCGCATGCAACGTTACGGAAAACAGCTACTGTGGGGGGACTTGGCAGGGGACGATCAACAAGTTGGATTACATCCAAGGGATGGGATTCGATGCCATCATGATCTCGCCCGTGGTGAAGAACATCGCCGGCCGATCCAAGGACGGGGAGGCCTATCACGGGTACTGGCCACTCGACCTCTACGAGATCAACTCTCATTTTGGCAGCCGGGAGGATCTTGTGAAGCTGGCGGAGGAGGTGCACGCGCGGGGGATGTACTTACTGCTCGATGTTGTGATTAACAACATGGCCTATAACACCGACGGGGAAAATCCAGCGACTCACATCGACTATACCGTCTTTCCCCAGTTCAATGGCTCCTCATATTTCCACCCATACTGCCTGATCACGAATTGGAACAACTACACCGAGTCGCAATGGTGTCAAACCGGCGACAACTACACCGCGCTGCCGGACCTCTACACGGAGCACACCGGCGTGCAAGACACCTTGATGACCTGGAGCAAATCGGTCATGAGCAACTACTCGATCGATGGGCTTCGCATTGATGCCGCCAAGTCCCTCACCCCGAGCTTTTTGCCGACGTATGTGGAAACCGTGGGGGGTTGGATGACGGGTGAAGTCATGGAATCCAACGCCAGCATCGTGTGCAATTATCAACAGGAGTATCTGCCCAGCTTGCCCAACTACCCTCTCTACTATGCGATGATCACTGGATTTCTGAACGGGGAGCCGGCTTCCCTGCTCGAGGAAATCGCCACGATCAACCGTCTCTGCCCGGACGTACCGGCAATGGTCAACTTCATCGAGGACCAGGATGTGGATCGCTGGGCGTACATGAACGACGATATCATGCTGGCCGAGAATGCACTGACTTTCATGATGCTGTTTGACGGCATTCCCTTGGTATATCAAGGTCTGGAGCAACGCATCGTTGATTCCAACCGAGCCGCCCTGTGGACCACCGACTACGACACCAACGCGACACTCTACAAGCTCATCACAAAGCTCAACGCCATTCGCAAGCATGCCATCAATCTCGACGCCGACTACATAAACTCCCGGACTTATCCCCTCTACCAAGGTGGAAGCGAATTGGCCTTCTGGAAAGGGAGCTACGGGCGACAGGTGATCATGCTTCTGTCCACGCAAGGCTCCAACGGGTCGGCCTATGATCTGACGCTTCCCGTGAGCTATGGCGCCAGCGCCGTGGTGACCGAGGTGCTGAACTGCGTCAACTACACCCTCAACACCAACAGCGAACTCGTGGTCTCTATGGACAAGGGGGAGCCGCGGGTCTTCTTTCCCGCTTCGATGATGCCCGGCAGTGGGCTATGCGGCTACAATGCCAGCAATGTGACTTACTCGGAGCTCCGCCTGGCGGCCGTGAGCTCGAACTCTTCCTCTGCCGGTGGCCACACAGTCGCGTCATTGGCACCTGGACTGTTTTTCGCTTCGCTGCTGTCGCCTTTCTTGGCAGGTCTCGCACTTTAGGCGGCCGCATTTGGCGAATGGCAGTCGGAATGCTTGTTGTAAGATAGCAGCTCGGCGAGGTGGGGCGACTTCAAGTGCTGAGCCCTACAGCTTGCTCGTCGCGATGGCTTTATGACCAATGAATGACATTGTTTCTCTTCAGGGTGCCAACACTTCATCTTGGGGTCTAACACTTGAGGCTTGGAGGTCGTCTGCTGTTCCCCGACCCTCGCAATGTCAAATCCTACTCCCTTATTAGCTGCATCCATGGGGCTCGTATGGCCATCTTCCTCAACTTTATACTGGTGAGGCTTCCAATGTGTGAGCAGTTGCCTTGACCTTCTCGCATCACGTATTAAACAGCAAAGGATCAACGACATCTTCTCTCCAGCATTGTAAACCAGTCTCTTCATGCCTTGAATATCTATCCCGGTTGGGATAAGAGCGTGTTAGATCCCAAACACACTACGAGAACGTACGAGGTATATGAACCACAACGAGAAGACACTCGCCACATGAGGTAATATCTGAGCCACTTGAGTGAATGAACATCTGCTCCGTACAAGACACTCGAGCACCACAGGTGTCGATTCCAAGTCATTTGTAAGATATTTTACATGTTGCAAGTGCCCAAGGCGAGTCCCGGCCGTTCTGTCATCCACATTACTTCCTGTGAAGCCCTCAGAGGAAGATGTAGTTCGTTCCCAACTGAAACGAATCTCGAGATAGGGAAAAGCAAGGATGCGATTCCTGACAGGCACCGATGAACAGTACACCGTGGACCTTCCACCCGCTCTTCACCCCGAATACATCTTTGCTGACTTGAAGCATCATTACCACGAGCCCTCATCACACCCTTACTCAATGTAGGGATGGTATCAGTTCTCCATCTATTGCTATCACGGTCTCTTTCGACTCGGTTCAGCCCCAGAAGCCTACAGCTACGCCTCATCCACGGAGATCTGCCTCGAAAATCATGAATTGATCAGACTATGCTGACACGGCGGCTCAAACTCGCAACCAGACTGGACAACCTCCATCATCCCATCGACCTCAAGTCCCTTGGTCTGCCGCGGCCGCCGATCAGTACACGTAAACAAAGTCCTCGTTCATCCGATCCGTCACGTCATGCAGACCGTTGTCCTGGTCAATTTCCTGGCGGTAGTTGTGGACCTGCTCGAGCTGAACGACGTCGCCCTTGAGCTGCTCCTCGTGCGCGGGGGTCGCGGCGGCCCCGTCGACGGTCGGGTCACCCTTGCCCAGCTCGCGGCGCTTGCGCGCGTGCTGCTTGTTGAGATACATGAGGTAGAAGGGGATCAATCTGATCTTGGTGAGTCTGAGGCCACGGTGGAAGCAAGTTGTCGTCAGGAAAGAAGAAAGAAGGGGCACGTACGCAGACACAACACCCACGACCACGAACATGACCAGGTTGGCGATGAGACCCGTGCGGTACAGCGGGGCCTCGTTGGTCGAGTACAGCAGCGGGCCGATGACATTGCCGGCGCACATGCCCACGAATACCACGCCTGAGGTGCACTTCTTCTTGGTGTCCCCGCCGGTGTTCTGGGCCTGCCAGGCGTAGATGAGCGGGGTGATGGCTGCCAGGGTGGAGACCTTTCCGGATGTGTCAGCCATTGTTCTCGACTTCCAAGAGGATGGGAAGGTCAAGTGGTACGAGAGACATACCAGGTAGTATCCGAACAGTAGCACGCCTTTCTGCTCGCGCGGCACCGTGAGCATCAGGATCGTGCCCACGGTGGGTAGGACGCTGATGCCGGCGATGGTCCAGCCCTTGGACCGGATCCGCGTGGCCACCCAGCCCGTGCCCAGGATCGAGAGCACCTGGATCACCCCGAAAGGGATGTTGAAGAGGATGGTCTCGAAGCTGCCGAAGCCGAAGGAGCTGACGATCAGGGAGCCGAAGGTCCCGATGCCGCCGCTGGCGATGCTGCATCAGAACGTCAGGGCTGGGATGTGTCACGGGGCGGAAATCAGGGGCGACTTACGAGATGGTAATGATGGCGACGAACCAGCCCCAGGTCTTCAGGTCCAGGGCCGTCTCCCACACGTGCTCCCAGCGCCACTGCCGCGTCGCGATCCCCATCTGGTTGGCGCGAAGCCGCTCCGTGGCGATGATCCGTTCCCGCATGGTGAGATACTTGGCCTCCATGGGGGAGTCGGGCATCAGCCAGAGGACCACGGCGGAGTAGGCGACAGTCAGCAGGCCGCAGAAGAGGAAGATGGTCTGGTAGCGGTACATGGAGCCGTGCTGGATGTGGCCGAGCCCGTAGGTGAGGAGACTTCCCACGATCGAGGTGACGCCGTTCATCGCGTTCCAGTAGCTGGTGCGCAGCGTCTGCTCGCGCCGCCGCCACCACATCTGGGTGATCGCCACGCAGGAGGGGGCGATGAGCGCCTCAAAGGCGCCCAGCACAAACCGCATCCCCAGCAGCGACTTGAAGTCGGTGCATGCCGACATGATGGACAGTGCGGACCCCCAGAAGAAGATCGCCCCAGCGAGTACCTTGCCCGTTGGGAGCTTGACCAGAGCCAGTGCCGCGAGTGGCTGCATCACCAGCTCCGCTAGATACAAGATCGAACCCAGCCAGGAGTACTGCCGGCCGTGCAGATGGGCATCGGTCGTGAGGCCGAAGATGGAGACGTAACTAAAGTACGCGTCAGCGGCAGCTCGTGACACCTGGGCACTAAAAAATCCAGATACCTACCTCAGGGAGCTCTTGTCTAGCTGCTGGAAGAAATACGCCCACAGGATGATCACCAGCACCCGCTTGTCGATCCGCCGCACTACTGCCTTCTCCTCCTCGGGTGTAAATTCGACCTCCTCCGCGGCTCGGTTGGCCAGGAACTGAACAGCATTGGAGCTTGCCGTGTACGTCGGAGGCTCGACAGGGGAGATGTCGTCCATGTTCTGCGCCGTCATGGTGGTTGACGATGGTGCTGATGTTGGTGGGATGGGATGAGAGAAGGGAATCCTCTAAGTCCAACCTAGCGGCGTAAAGGTTTTTGTGCCTCGGTAGCCAGCCAGATGATGAACAATTCAGCTAGGGTATGAGAGGACAATGATTTCTTATATCCCGGTCGTTCCTTCAAAGCCGCTAGACTGCAGAAATGCCTCCCTTGTCGGATCACGGGGACAGAAAGAATGCGGAGGCATGACAGAAGGGGGCTTGAAGTCTAGCTAGGCGCCACATGGGACGAAGCTACTTTTCGCACCAATGGGGAATTCCAGGGGAGGACAGGGCGTAACAACGAGCTGACCTCGCCTTTAGATTGCAATATATAATTCGAATAGAAAATTCATAAACAAGTTGCACTGCAACGTAGGGGATCGAAACCAGTTGCGCGAGACTTCATGGCATGACTACCTAGGCTTGGGGTACCCCACAAATCCGCCGGCGGCCATTCGCATTCCATACTGAAGCGCAGCATTATGGTTAGAGCGTATTGTATTCTTGATGGTCTTTCTTCCGCTTCAGCCGTCCCCATTTCTTCCGTCTCAATTATCCGCTTCCCCACGTCTTGCCCGCATTCCGCTGGGTGCTCTTGGCGCGGCTTCCCCACATCATCCTGGACGGATTTTTTTGCCCGCTTAGGGCATGGCGTTGTGTTAGCAGGACACCAGCACCAGCAGCATATCGCGTGTTACAACTAGTAGAAGCGAAAGAGGGCAAAAGAGAGGGGTTTGAAAGATGGTGGAAATATTCTGATTGGCTATAGGTCTATCACACTACCTCTAAACGATATTGCGGTCTTTGTTCACCTCCATGAACTTACAAGAGCGTACTATCAATAAGGAAGTGCATATCGTCAAGAAGAAGATAATTTCACTTTAAATCACACACTTAAATCTAAGGTCTATGTAACTAGCCAAATGAATCTAGGGCAGTGTGAGAAGATCACAAACGTGGACGACCTGACCGGTGCGAATGGCACGGTTCGCCGCCATGCCGGTCAGAATGGAGGCAGCGCCATTGACATGGTTCGCGGCGCGTTTGAAGTCATCCTGCTCCGGGGGATCACCGCCGAACAGCTCCCTGAGCATGAGGGTATCCCCTCCGCCATGCCCACCCGCCGTCTGCTTGACCTCGATCTCCCGTGGCGGCTCGAACAGTGGGCGCAGCAGCAGGGTGATGCGCTCAGCCGCACCCTCTTGGGCCTGCTCGCCCCCGGAGTTGACGTAGCTGCTCTCGACGACTTCGGCCTCGAGTCGGCCGCCGGTTCCGTTAAAGCTGATGCGGAAGCCTTCCCAGGGGGCGTAGGCTGTCAAGGAATAGGTCAGGACCGCGCGGTTCTCGTAGCGGACAATCACGTTCATTGTATCCTCGATGCTGATGCCGTCGCTGAAGACGCTCTGGTCGCGGTAATAGGAGTCCTCGTGTTCCGCATCGAGGTAGAGGGCCTTGAGAGTAGGGTTGCGGTCGAGGTGGAGGGCGAAGGGGTCGTCCTGGGCGGCGGGGCTGCCGTGGGCGCGGGTGTAGGACTGGCGCACCCCGCGACTCTCCGCATTCTCCTTGCCGTAGAAACGCAGGTCGCCCTGCGCAAAGACGGTGGCCGGGCGCGACTGCAGCCACCAATTGACCAGGTCGAAGTGGTGGGTGGATTTGTGGATCAGCAGGCCGCCGCTGTTCCGGGCGTCGCGGTGCCAGCGGCGGAAGTAGTCGGCGCCGTGCTGGGTATTCAGCATCCACTCGAAGTGTACACTCGTCACCGTGCCAATGGCCCCGGACCGGAGGACCTCAAAGATCTTGCTGTTATGCGGCGCATACCGATAGTTGAAGGTAACGCGCACATTCCGCTGCGTGCGCTCCACCGCGTCGAAGATCTCCCGGCATCGCGGCGCGTCGATCGTCATCGGCTTCTCCGTCACCACATTGCAGCCCAACTCCATCGCCCGCACGATGTAGGTGTGGTGCGTGCGGTCAATCGTCGTGACAATTATCTCGTCCGGCCGCGTCTCTGTCACCATCCGGTCGAAGTCGGCCGCCAGATACGTAGGCACTAGACCTCTCCCGAGGCTCTCGACCTTGGAGCGGGCGTAGTTGAGCCGGGTCTGGTTGGTGTCGCACAAGGCCACCAGCTCACTGGTCTCGCTGAAGTCGCGTGCGAGACTGGTGTAGAACAGTCCGGCACGACCCCCGGTGCCCACGAGGGCATATCGCCTCTTTGGAGAAGACAATCCTGTTTGTGTCATGTTGCGAAGATTCGGAGGGTGGGCGGAAGGTGTAGACAAAGATAGAGGCAATTCTTCTCTTCCAGCCAGATTGCTTGACATATATAGAGCCAAGGTCTTATTTCTCCATTTCTCTTATGATTGGTGGCATTTGGTAAGGTCGTATGCAGGTTTGAGAGGGGGAAGCAGGGCATCAACCGGATATTTTCAAATTGCCGGATGATGCGGGGGGCGGGGCAAGCGGGTAAATTCCTGGGGAGGGTCCGAAGCAGTCGACTGTCCTCACCTGCTCTACCTAACAACAACGACAACTGACCATCTTTTGTGTTATTTCCAAACCTGCATGAAACTGGTGGAGAAGAACCATCCCTCGCGCACATCATTCGCGGATTCTTTGTCTTCCAAAGCGGGGTTGTACTATACAGACACATGCAGATCGCACGGATAGAGGATCGATGGCCAATATAAAGGCAAAGCCAAGAGTTCCTGGGCCCCGACCAAAGAACCCACAAAGCAGAAACTGCAGCAGGAGTCGTCCATTGACTCATGCTTTGCCCAGTCTCAGTCATAATGATACCCTCGAAGACGCTCGCCCTCTTAACATGTGTGGCGCCGGGTATGGCAGCCAAACCGGCTGCATTCTACTTGGCGGGTGACTCGACCACCGCCGCTCAGTCATTTAGGGGTGGTAGGTGGGGGGTAGGATTCCTCGCGACCCTCACCGATGGGGCCATTGGCACTGATCTGGGGTACAACGGGGACACCACTGCGAGTTTTGTGGCCGGGGGAGCCTGAGCGAACGTCATCGATGCCGTCACCCGCAGTAAGATCTCTTATCAGCCCTATGTGACCATCCAGGTGAGCAAGGGCCCTTTCCCAAGAAGCAAGCAACCAGCGGTCATAACTGCATCTGACGGACATCTATCTCGGACACTCTAGTTCGGCCACAACGATCAGAAGAATACCTCGGGGGTCACCCTCGAAGACTATGCCACGAATCTGCAGACCATGGCGGAGGCGGCGGTCACCGCAGGAGGAATCCCCGTACGTGAACACATCCGCATCACATCGTATCCCTCAGGGAGCCACACATTCATTTTTCCACCGGTGACCAGATCCTGGTGACTCCAATCTCCCGACGCACCTTCAACCCCACCACGGGAACGGTGATCGAGGACCTGGCCACCCAGCGGAACATCACCATCACCGTCGCAGAATCCATCGGCGTCGACTATATCGACTGAACGAGGCCAGCACCGTGTACCTGGACGCCATCGGGGCCACGGACGCAGCCAGCTACAACCGGATCACCACCGACTACACCCACCTGAGCCCGGTCGGCAGCGTCGTCTTCGGCAATATGGTGAGCTGGCTGCTGCTGACCACCACTTCGCTGGCCAAAAGCCTGAGTGGCTGGCTACACCGTCCCCAACGCCGAATCGTCGCCGCTGTCGTCAATGGCACCTACATTTACCCCGACGTGTAGAGCGTAGAGAATGCGAGTGTCGCGAAGGTGGATGTCAGGTTGATTGAGAAAGTTTGACTTTCGTCTGGGCACATGGCAAGAAAGGTGTGCGGAGCTACTTCGTGCCGCTCAGTTCTATACACCTTATTTGTATTAAAGCAATCGAGGGATACTGAGGGACTAGTACTAAATGAACGATGTTTGATTTCTGTGAAGAAGAACTCGTCTTGTAAGAGCAATACTTACATTTTCTACGTGAGAAGACTCGCAGCAGGGATCGTCCAGTCCAGGCAGGTGGTAGCATGATATCTGAGGCTGCGGAGGAGACATGTATTGAACCTGCCCCTGTGTCGAGGAACCAAGACATTTGACGACGGGTACCAGCCTGGACTTCGTCGGCCGCGACCTCGGCGCTGTACGCCTACGGCCATGAGACCGTTGCCATCGGCGGCTCAAACGAGGAATGGGCCAGCGGGTCCAATCTGCCCATGGTAATGGAGAATTCGGGTGCCACCTCCTCCGCCGAGTCCCTGCTAATGGCCTCGCTGGCGGGCGGCGCCTTTTACAATGCCTACGAGTACATGGGCCCGGACAACTACGGCCTATACTACCCCACGAGCACCAGCACGCGGGACTTTACTCCCGTCGCGCGCAGCTCCTACGTTGCTGATGTCGTGGCGACCAACAACTGCCCGCCGGCGCCGGCGGCACCCGCCTCGTCTACTTCAACCCCTCCAGCAACAGCACCCTGGACCAGCGCAGCATCGGGGACTTCATCGTCAGCTACAGTCCCGCCTCCACTGGCGGCGTCGGCATTGGTATCCTCCGCAGCGCGACCAGACCCTGCTCCTGGCCAGCACGCGCAACTCCACCGTCACCATCGCCGGCCTGTCCACCTACGGCATAAGCGCCGTGGAATATGGCTACTACACCTCGGCCGGCAACTTCGTCGCCAACGGCACTGTCACCTACACCTCTACCTCGGCCGGTCTCACCGTCGCGGTGCTCCAGGATCAGCTGGTCCACATTGAGACGAAGACGGCCTTCACCTTGCCCTAAGTGGGTCGTACAATGGTCGTGGGTGCCGGTTGCTCCTGGGAAAGTAGTAGAACACACGAACACACGAACACGTGAATATCTGTGTATCTCCCGTACGGTCTCCTAATCCACGAAGATCAAGCTCCCTTACGCTGTGAAAATAGCTTCGAGGTCAATACAGTACCACTAAATCAGCTCTACACTCCACGAGTCTATCAGTGTTGATAAGCTTGCCGGGACCTTCCGAACCACCCCATAACCCAAACATCCCATCCACGTCAGGACGGCTCTTGTTGAACGAGAGTCTGCGTCTTCATGACGTCGTCACTTTCCACCTGGAATCTTCCTCCCTTTCAGATCCGACTCTAGACCTGGCCAAAAAAAAAAAACATATTACGTTCCCGAACACGAGCACTCATCCGTCACCCGCGACCACAGATAAGCATGCTTTATTATTCTCTCCACGGCTTACCCCGCACCACGATGTCAGATAAATACCTTCTCGAAGAATGTCTATCCGCTCCATCGTTCGTTCCACCCTGCAACCACGGCCCCTAAGCCAAAGAATCATGGCCACCGTCGCAGCACCCACGCACTACGACGCCATCATCATCGGCTCCGGCCAGGGCGGCGGCACGCCCCTCGCCAAGGCCTTCGCCGAGGCCAAACACAGAACCGCCTTGATCGAACGCGCCCATGTCGGCGGCTGCTGCGTCAACGAGGGCTGCACACCTACGAAAACCATGATCGCCTCCGGCAGGGTGGCGGCGCTGACGGGGCGGGGCCCGCAGTACGGGGTGCATCTGCCGGGATCGTCGCAGAGCGACGCACACAAACCGAACACGATCGTGGTTGAGATGGAGAGGGTCCGGCAGCGGAAGCGGGACATCGTGGAGTCGTTCCGGAGGGGCGGGGAGAGTCGATTGAAAGCCGCTGGGGTCGATGTCTTGATGGGGGAAGCGAGCTTCGTGGATGGGAGGACGCTGGCGGTGGCGATGCGGGATGGCAGCAGCAAAACGGTTACCGGCGGGACGATTGTGATTAATACAGGGTGTCGGCCGTCTGTTCCGGAGATTGAGAGTCTTGATGCGATTCCGCGGGACAGGGTCTTGGATTCGACCTCGGTGATGGAGTTGGATCGCGTCCCCGAGCATTTGGTGGTGGTTGGTGGCGGGTATATTGGGGTCGAGTTCGGGCAGCTGTTTCGGAGACTCGGGGCTAGGGTTACCATCCTCCATCGCGGGACGCAGCTGTTGCCGCGCGAGGATCCCGAGCTGGCGAGGATGCTGCTCGATATCTTCCGGGAAGATGAGATGGACGTCTTGCTGGATACGATACCCGTTCGTCTTCAGCCGGTCGCCGACGACAGTTTTGATCTTTCGATCACGTCGAAGCAAGGCGACCGAGTCCTAAGCGGCGTGTCACATATCCTCTTCGCGGCTGGGCGTGTACCGAACACTGAACAGCTAAAACTCGATGCGGCAGGTGTTGAGATCGACCCAAAGGGCTATATCGCCACCAACGAATTTCTGGAGACATCTGTGCCTGGCATCTATGCTCTGGGTGATGTCAAAGGCCCCCCGGCGTTCACGCACGTCTCTTACGACGACTTCCGGATCCTCAGGTCCAGCCTTGTGGCATCCCACCCGCCAGCGGCTAAGCAGTCAACCAAAGGCCGGCTGATTCCCTATGTGGCGTTCACTGACCCTCAGTTCGCGCATGTGGGATTACACGAGCACGAGGCACGAGAAAAATACCCCGACAAAAGGATCCTCACTGCGCTGATGCCGATGAGCTATGTAGCACGGGCCTTGGAGATCGACGAGGTCAGAGGAGCCATGAAGGCGATCGTTGATGGAGAGAGCAAGCTCATCCTGGGATTCTCATGCTTGGGCGTCGAGGGTGGGGAGCTGATGAGCGTGGTGCAAATGGCCATGGCGGGAAATTTGTCGTATGAGAAGTTGCAAGATGGTATCTTTGCACATCCCACACTTGCAGAATCCTTGAATAATCTTTGGGCGTTCTTGAAGTGACTCGTTGCCGGCGGAAGTAATTTGTTGGGTCATTCACTAGCCAGCTGGCCCCCATATATATATGCGTGTCAAGCACCGGTTCCATGTTTTGCTTACAGGGCGGAACTCTTCACGGCACGAAAAAAGCTAAACAGAGACTGAATAGGAAGATGCTCGTTTGAACTCTTGTGTTACATTAGTTCTACATCCTAGATACTGAACGATTTACGCGGTGAGAAGAGTCAAAAGGTGGCAAAAAAAAAATGACCAGACTGGGGCTCGATCCCAGGACCTTATCGGTGTTAACGATACGTGATAACCAACTACACCATCCGGCCAATTGTGTTTGAGAAGCAGAAAACAAAGTACATGTCCCAAGCAAGACATACATGTGTCCATGAGATGAAGCCGGAATCATACTATGAGTGAGGCTAACCTATGTCCTGATCTTCGAAACGTAGCCGGGGGATTTTGTGCTCGGTCGCAACCAGCCTGAAGTGGCTAGTGGTGGAGAACTGGACGGCCATAGCCGTGGTGGCATGGGTCAAAACAAAACGACTTGGCGGATACTTCTTCCAAAAAGAATTTCTTCCAGAACCTGGAGAAATGCGGACTTCTTCAGATTGGTTAGTAGGGTAAAATGTAACTTAGTGGAGATTCGGAAGCGGTGAAGCTGAGCAGCGGCTAAGTCTGGGTGAGTTACTGAGTAGTTACGCCCACCCGTGACACCAGGCCACGGACCTGTTCTGTTTGCGGTGTTTGCATGTGCATATTTTTCTGCCACATTCGAGTCGAAGCGAGACCTGACTTCGGCCATGGCATACATAGACGGAAGTGTAACGCGTATGATAGCCGCAAAAGAGCTTTTCCTGATGCTGGATCAGTGAAACGCACATTCTCACACACTGGGCCAATTCTGGACTCAAAGACGTTCCGAGCGACGGACCAAACGAGCTAGAACCCGACGGCATGGGTCGAGTCTTCGTGTATTCATAGATACCCGAATGTGGAAACCAGAGCATGAATGTGCTGGGGATGGTTGAACACGAGAACACAGGATGGAATGCAGGTGAGAAAAAACATCATTTAGGCCCACAAACTCTTGTTGTGAGTGCTGCGTAACTTCTCGTACTCAGGTAGAGCCCATTTGGCCATCCACTCAGACTCCAGAACCGGTTGAGCAGACGGTCGACCCTCCAGCCGAAATGAAAGCATCGAGCGCAACATCGAGTAAAGTGAATCTCGTTCGCTTGAGCCAAAGGGTGACATTCCCTCTTTTATCCGTGGTCGCTGCACGTTCGATTCAAAGCGATCCTCCAGTGTTCGACGCCTGGTGGGAGCGTTTGGCCGTCTAGACGATTGACTGGTTCAAGGACCGGCTCCCCATACTGCTCGTATAGCTTTTTTGTGGATAACTGATCAAAGTCACGGGGCAGTTGGAGTAGGATGTTTCCGCGATGAAGATCTCCATGGACGAAGCCCCGTGAATGGATATAATGGATAGCAATCGCAAGCTGCGCGGCTACGACTCGGGCCACTTCAAGCTGGAAAAGGCTGATCCAAGATCAGAAAGACTCACCCTGGCCGGCTTAGTCACCAAACAGATGTGTTCACCATTTGGGCCTTGAATGTTGAATTTATCCAGGATTGAGGGGATCATAGTTCTGCCTATGTCTGATAACAAGGGAGGTTTCGAGAGTTCCGAGATGACGTCAATTTCGGGCGGGTTCGAATATGCCGTACAGACTTTCACGGCAACGTGTATGCGAGATCGCTAATCTCGGGCCAGCCAAATCGTCGAGTATGTCCCATGCCCAAGCTTATGGATAACCCGATAGCGATCGTGGAGACGATCTCCGATAGTCCCTGGGTGATAGCCACCAGGCTGATAGTATTTCATTCTTTCCACATCTTCAATAGGCTTGTACAGAACACGAGTTGGGTTTATTGTTGGTACCGTCAGTTTGACCATAGCTAGAGAAAATGCACGAGAGCTTCCACCGTGAAGATATAGTGGGTTTGCGTTCTTTGAGAAGAGACCACAACGAGGAAGCAATCCGGGCGAGAGCAAGGGCCGAGGGAGTAAGATGCACGGTTTGCTCATGTTTTTTTGCCCCCCTCCCCTCTCTTTCCTGGTCTTTTTTACCTCTTATGCAAACCAGGCCTTATTATTTCGGAGTTGAAACTGGCGTAGGGTACATGGCCAATTACATTAGCCCCGTCTAAGACGTAAAGGGGTGAAACGTTCTTCCGAGCGCGGGCGCTTTAGGCCAGTCCGTCAGATTAAGGCTCGCAGCCCAGCTTCTCACCCACCGCCACACCTTTGCCTCCCTGCCTCCCAAGAGAGCTAGACAACTAACTAAGTGAAAAGTTGAGTTGATTAGTCGGTCACTGGACCGGCGCCCATGTGCTGACGCTGCTCCTTGAGAAGCTAAGATCGGCGACGAATGGCCCTCTCACCCCGCGTTTGCTGCCGAACCCCAGGCCGTGTGAAACCTTCCCAGTTTTGCTGTTCGTACGAGGGGAAGAGAATTGGATGGAAGTCGGGAGAATCCTGAGGTCTTGAACTTCTACTCCAACAAGGTTAGGACTAAAGAATCGTATCCCAAGACACCAAGAAAAGCGTGGGGGCATATTCTACGGTCATGTGACCATCGCTCTCCTCCCCGCACCATGCGGACTGGCGACCACTCGGACGCTCCGATGGTCAAGTTATAGTCTACTGCACCTGTGACCTGAGCGGCGAGAAGTCTCGGGGAGCGATTCGGGTACGATGGAAATCCAGGCCGTCAGTCAGCAATCATGTTTGCCATCGTAGACCGGGATGGTGCTCATCCGCCCCCGGATTGAGGCAATAACCAGGATAAGCAACCTGGCAAAGCGCAGCGAAAGGTAGCGCGAGTTAAGAGACTAGTGAGCAATCCCAATTATGATTCGCTGCCGAGAATCCCCCCAGGATTCGAGTTGTGACCCCGGATGTAACTGATACATGTCACCTTCCAATTATTAGTCAGTGGGGTCACGGCAGGACCGAAACGGCGAAAACCGCCGCCAGACCGGAGGGACGGAGGGCCAGAGTAATAGCGAGCAAGAAAAGCTTCCCGGGCACGGCACAATACTCCAGTGAAGACCTATCGGCTTGTTGAGGCTAAAGGGGGGGGGAATGGTCAGGATAGCCTTTCCCTTAACAGCCACATACATCATTACACCTGATTGTAGGTCTAGTCTTGGTACTTTGGGGGGGGGGGGGTTTCACCGTTTGTCTATTGAGGTGGGATTACGTTGTCCATCTCTGGCTTTGTAACCGAGGGCCAGAAACCTTGTCTTTTGATCCGCCAATCAGGCTCGGTGGTTCAACCCTGAGAATTTGGAAGGTTTTATGGTACTATCGTGGTCGACCACGTTCCAGCGACCACCAGCGATCTGGGGATCCGGGGTATGTCCGATTTTTGGAGTATTTGGTCTGTGTGGGCGTGTGTGGAATGTGGAGTTTGCGGAGAAGAGCAGCAGAGAGCAGCAAGAGGCTAAGAGCCCAGGCGCTTTGAGCGCCGGAAGTGGGGTTGCGGCAAAAGCCACCAGCCGCCCAATCCTGCAGCCAGCCAAGCCCTAACTGGTTGTCAGATGGGCATACGCTCGTATGATCGGTCTTGTTGCTAGTGCTGACAATGCTACGAGTCCGTGTCCCCATGCCCTTTGTACAGTACTGTAATTACCCCATGGGGAAGGGTGAATGTATTGGCCTATATGCGGTGAATGAGCCACCTTTTTTTTTTTTTTTCTTTTAACCCCCCTTTGGTTTCTTCTTTAAACCCCCCATGAGGCTTTCGGTAGGAGACATCTTTCTCAGACCAACCTCCCTCCCATCCGCCTCAAACTGACCCACCCATCCACCATGAACGAGAAGACGTCTGCGGACGTGATCTCTCACAATGAGAATGTCGCCCCGATCACCAAGCCCGAGCTGCCTCATGCGGCTCGCGGGCCAGCCCTCAATCTGATTGAGAATCCTCTGACGGTGAGCATCGCGCAGGTTGACCTTCTTATGATCTCGGGACACTGACTGTTTTGTCACTTGAAGCGCAAATCTCCAGAGCAGGTCGTTCTTGACGCTCGCACGTTCGCCGACTCCCACGGCATGCCCGAGCACGCCGATCTCATCGCTCGTGCTGCCCTGGTCGCGCGGGACCCTCAGAGGTTCGAGTCGATCCCTGAACTCAACGACCAGGACCGCGCTGCGCTTATCTACGAGAGGGATCACAAATGGCATGGCCCATTCATGCTCTGGTACTCAATTGCCCTGTGTGCGATTGGCGCCGCGACGCAAGGTTGGGATCAGACCGGCTCCAACGGAGCGAACCTCTCTTTCCCCCAGGAGTTTGGCATCGCTGGGGACGGTAAAGATGAGTGGATTGTGGGACTGGTCAACGCCATCATTTTCTTGACGGCTGGGATGATGTGAGTGTCGAGACTCCCCGATAGTCTTCTTTCTTGTGGGCTTTCTCGCAGGACTGATTGGTGTGTTTCTATGCAGTGGCGCCTTCATTGTCGATCCGCTCAACCACTACCTGGGCCGAAGAGGCGAGATCTTTGTCACTGCGTGCTGTCTGACCGCCACCCCCATTGGATCTGCATTCGCCAAGTCGTGGCAAGGATTGTTCGCTGCTCGGTTCGTGATGGGCATCGGGATTGGGGCCAAGAACGCGACGGTCCCGATCTACTCGGCGGAGATGGCGCCTGCGCGCATTCGAGGTGCTCTGGTCATGTTCTGGCAGTTGTGGGTCGTCGCAGGTGCGCTACCCTCTCCTTACCATCGGATCGAGAGCCCACCGATTTACCCTACTAACCTCGTGGATCAAGGTATCTTCTTGGGCTTCGCCGCCAACGTGATCGTCAAAGACACCGGTCGCATCGCCTGGCGCCTGCAACTCGGATCCGCCTTCATTCCATCCTTCATCCTGGGGCTGGGGATCTTCTTCTGCCCGGAATCCCCTCGCTGGCTGATGAAGCACGGCCGGTACGCCCAAGGCTTCAAGTCGATGCTGCGTCTGCGCGCCCACCCCATCATCGCCGCCCGAGACTACTACTACTCGTATGTGATCTACGAGGAGGAACTCCGGGAAGCGCGGGGCGCGGGCTATTTTGCTCGGATGTGGGATTGCTTTGCCGTGCCTCGCATCCGCCGGGCCAACTACGGCGCCTCGACCGTCATGATCGCCCAGCAGATGTGCGGCATCAACAGTAAGTTGGGCCGAGTCGTGCTCGCTCCCGGGTAGACTTGTCTCTGACGCTCTGTAGTCATCTCGTTCTACAGCTCGACCATCTTCGAGAATGCTGGATATAGCGCGACCCAGGCGTTGTACGCCTCGCTGGGCTACGGCGCGATCCAGGTCGTCTTCACCATCCCGACCGTGTTCCTGATCGATACCAAAGGACGCCGGACTCTGACTCTGATTGTGAGTGGAGCTCTGTTTCTTTCTCTCCTTGAAGTCTAAGCAATGATGAGACTGCCGACTAACGCCCATCCAGACATTCCCCCTCATGTGCATCTTCCTCCTGGCGGCCGGTCTCTCCCTATTGAAAGACACCGGTAGCAAGGGTGCGCAGATTGGCCCCGTCGCTCTGTACGTTCCTCAGAACCATTCCAGCAGCATTGATTTGGACTGACCCCAGCGAAGGTTCGTCTACCTCTTCACTATCTGCTACTCCCTAGGGGAAGGGCCGGTGGCGTTCCAGTACTCGGCCGAGGTGTTCCCGACCATCCAGCGTGAGCAAGGTATGGCCTGGGCTGTGTGCATCAACAATACCTTCGGTAAGCCCTTCTATTCGTAGGATAACCATAATCAACGAGCCCCTGCAGCTAACAGCCACCCAGCTGGTATCCTCAGTTTGACCTTCCCTCGGATGAAGACCGTCATGACTCCCACCGGTGCCTGTAAGTGAAAGAAGACTCGATTTACTCAGCGCGAGGACGTGATCTAACTCTCATGACTGTGTCTAGTCGGATTCTATGCGGGTCTGAACTTGATCGCCTGGTTCATGATCTTCTGCTTCGTGCGCGAGACCAAGCAGCTCACCCTGGAGGAAATCGATCGTAAGTTCCCAGCGGCCAATCTCATCCACTTACAAAGTACCAGTTGCTGATGCCTCTGTGACAGAGGTTTTCTCCGTCCCCACGAAGAAGTTCATCAACTACGAGTTGACGGTGTGGCTGCCGTGGTTCATCAAGCGATACATTTTCCGGCAGAAGATCGAGCGCCCGCCGCCGCTGATTGCGACGGCAGGGCATTCCGACGATGTCGTCCAGGTCTTGTAGTCTTTTGGAGAACGGCGCGCAAGAGCATCCAGGGAGGAGGAAATGCCGGAGCGGGCTATTTTCTGCTGAGATATCTGGCTGGATGCAGTTCTAGAGCTCTCCTGTAATATTTAAGGGACTTAGCCTCCGGGAGAAATTTTCACAGACAGGCATATGAAGACACCAGGCTCTCCATTTCCGGGCCTTGTTTTTCTGTGTTACATGGTCTGATCAATAACACCCGATATCTGGATAGCACCGCGTAGCTTAACCTCCCGATCGCTCATAAGACCCTTCACACATGCCTATCTCAGAAACAGGAACAGCCCCTCACTCCCCCCCGAACCCACCCTCTGCCCCGTCTAAAGGCCCTATCTGCGCCACGATGGACAAGAACTCCACGGACGAGATCCCGATCTGCTCTAGAAACTCCACGTTCGCCAGCTGCGGATCCCCCATCGCCGCCAACGACGGACCACTAAGCTCCTCTTCCCCGGCCACCCCGTCGCCGTACCCCACCAGCCCACCCGCGGCGGCGGTGGTGGAGTAATCATCCCCCCCTTGCATTATCCCCGCCGGGAACCTGTAGACTCTCCGGTGTATGCGTCTGCCACGAGGACGGGCGGCCGGGGCGACGACCCGCGCCCGACACCGACATCAACACGGCCACCTCCTCCAGCAGCCGCTCGAGGTGCACCAGCCCTTCCTTCCGGGCGTGAGCGATGCGGTTTCCGTGGTAGATCATCGCGTCGAGGATGGAGTGGGCTTGCTGGCTGGGACTGGGACTGGGACTGTTACCTTCTTGTGTGGTGGGAAGTGGTGAGGAGTTCCGGAAGAGGGTTCGGGTCAGGGCGAGGTGGATGGCGGCGTCGTAGGTGAATTCGAGGTCGTAGAGGAGAAGTACCTCTAGATTTTGTGGAGTTATCTAGTGAGGTCATGACATTTTCTTTTATCGGGAAGAAAGGAAGAAAACAATACACCTACCGAGAAGACTGTCGGTGCCTGAAGGATCTCGATGCACAGGAGGGGCTTGGTGAGGGTTAGGAAGTCGTTGGTGTCGAGGCGGTCGATCAGGGCGGAGAGGAGGAGCGGCCGGGTGGCTACGATTACGCACTGGTTGGTGATTTAGGTGAGTAGAGCGTGTTTCAAGGGGCGGGTTGGGTTCTGCTGTTGGGGAGATGGGACTGGCGAACCTGGTGATATAGTAGGGTAATGTGCTGCGTGCCTCTGGGCATCGTGTTCAGTGAATTGCGCAGTCGGATCTGGATGATCTCCTCCATTTCGTGCGCGTATCCTGCCAGCGTCCACCAGAGACCACGACATCGGGCCACAGTCTCAGACTCCAGCTGCTCCTCGGACAGCTGAGTGTGTAGGCCCTCGTATTTTGCGATTCGGATCGCTTGCCCGAGCTGTAGCATTCGACTTATTCAGTACAAAACCCGGCCCTGTGTATCAGAAGAATCTCTGCGCCCAGTGGTACACTTACGTCGATATGTGCGGATTCCCTTTGGTCAATCGAATACAAGTACAGACTAGCCAGGGCCGGTACCTCTATCGCCAACAACAAGCTATCCTTCCACAGGGACGCATGGTCAGGCATCAAAGACATGGCGCGGGCGAAGAACCGTGAACCCGGGGGCTGATCCGGGCGCTTCGCCCACACAGCAGAGCGACTACGAGGAGCTGAATGAGCCAAATCGCCTGCAGAGATCCCTCAAAGCCGGCCGCCCTTCGCTTGGTGGCTGGCAGATGCTTCTCATGCACACAGTCGTGGGTCTTTCAGATTGGTCGGGATTCCGGAATATTGCGAGTATACGTACCACTTACTACATATTCATCATGTTCATCCACCTTATCGACATAATGCTCTGTTTGCGATCCATGCAAGTGGCAGACGGCCTCCGATATCTTCAAGGTTTGGTGCAGTGCGGGCATTCAAGCCACCCGAGTCAGCCCGAGTGGCTCTCCTGTTAGGGTCTGCGTGAACAGGGAAAAAGAAAGTTTGATATCAGGGTTGAACTTCGGTATCCTTGGAGGTGCTCGGCTTGATGGACTGCCCCGTGAGGAATGCGGTGAACCTCTCCAGGCTCTCGCTCGCTCTTTTTCTCCCCGCACTCTCTCCCCCCCGGCCTCTGTCCCGACCGTCTTTCTTCTTCTTCTTCTTCTTCTTCTTCTGCTTATCCCTGTGATACTACGACAACTCATCACTACACCTTGAGTTCAACCTCCAAGAGCTCTCTTCTCTCTCTTCTCTCCATTCGCTCCGGTGCAAGCCTTAGTAAGCAGACGACCGACCTAGCAGCCTTTCGGAATTGAGCCAAGAATACTCACGTAGTCTTGTTGATATTGTTGACGTTGAAGGCCGAGCGCTCAACCGACCTACCCCGGACCGCGTACCAAAGACGCGAGAAACACGCAAAGATTCTCTCAACACACCCTTGGCGAGGGCAATGCTATTGATTGATTATCCTGGCTCTGTCTCAACTAACGCATCTACTAGACGATCATTCGGGATTCAGCAAGCATGATGAAGGCGTGGCAGCTACGTAGCCTTCGGCCGCGCTGGCCAAGGCCACCCACTTTCCCACGGTCGCAAAAGCCATTCTTCTCCCGATCCAGCTCATCGAGCTCACAGCAACGCGCCTTGGAGCGATCGGGAACTCTTTCCCTCGTGGGGACCGCGGTAGCTACGGCTGTGGTTACTCTGCTGGCCTCCAAAGCGTGGGATGGAACCGCTGCGCCCACCGAAGCCGAAGCCGCCAAGACACAGTCCGGGGGAAGATACGCCGATCGCCCAACCATGTTGAAGGTACAGCCGGCCAGCAATTATGTGATCAGATGCTTCTAACGCATTCACTTCTAGGCTGTGAACGAACTGAAGAGTATACTAGGCGACGAGTTTGTCAGCATGGATGCCGAAGACATCGAGAATCATGGGTACTCGGATTGGTCGACCTCCAACACCACCGAACGCCCGGTCGCAGTCGTGAGTCCCGCCACGACCGAACAAGTCTCCCAGATCGCTCGCGTCTGCTCCAAGTACAGAGTCCCCATGGTCCCATTCGGTGCAGGATCGAGTGTCGAGGGGAATTTCTCCGCCCCGCATTCAGGCATCTGCATCGACCTGTCCCGCATGAACCAAGTGGTCGCGGTGTATGAGCCGGACATGAACGTCACAGTCCAGGCCGGGGTGCGTTGGGTCGATCTGAACAACCAGCTCAAATCGACCGGCCTGTTCCTGCCCATGGACCCCAGTCCAACTGCCTACGTGGGGGGCATGATCGCCACGAACTGCAGTGGGACCAACGCCATGCGATACGGGACCATGAAGGACTGGGTGGTCAATCTTACGGTCGTGCTTCCCGATGGGTCCGTGATCAAGACCAAGAGACGTCCGCGCAAGTCCTCGGCAGGGTACAACCTGAATGCGCTGTTCACAGGGTCAGAGGGCACGCTGGGCATCATCACAGAGGCCACGCTCAGACTGGCAGTGATTCCGCAGGAGACCAGTGTGGGGATTGCGACATTCCCGACCGTGGGAGATGCAACGGCGGCCGCATCGACGCTGATCCGAGCGGCGGTTCCCTTGGCGGCGCTGGAGTTTATGGACGACGTTCAAATGAGGATCATCAACCAGAATGGTGGCGCTGGCGGGAGGCACTGGGTTGAAGCCCCAACGCTGTTTCTGAAGTAAGTATGTGCGTAGTCTGATGTTATTGAGCTGCCATGCAATCTGAATCTGACATTCTAAGGTTCACCGGCACCACGTCTGGGATCAATGAGAGCATCGACCGAACACGGGAGATCCTCAAGAACAACAAAGGGGACGAGTTGGTCTTCGCATCAACCCCAGAGGAAGGGGACAATCTCTGGTCTGCCAGGAAGCAGGCCCTGTGGACGACCTTAGCGGCGAGGCCCCAGGGCACCGAGATCTGGTCTACCGATGTGGCGGTGCCGATCTCACGTCTGGCCGAGATCGTTGGTGAGTAGTGGGCTCCAGCCAGTTTTTTCAAGGTAACCACTGATGGTTGAAACAGAGATGTCCAAGGAGGAGTCCAGTAGCCTGGGACTTTTCTCCACAGTGTTGGGGCACGTTGGCGATGGCAACTTCCACCAAGCTGTGATGTATAACCCTAAGAGCCCTGAGCAGTATCGCGCTGTGAAAGCATGTGTCTCGAGAATGATGCGACGGGCGCTCGAGATGGAAGGCACGATTTCTGTATGTTACTCGGACTTTGGCACTTTGCAACCCCACACTGACGTTCCCAGGGCGAGCACGGCATTGGGATCGGGAAAAAGGTAACCTCCCAGCTCCCTGACGATCAGTAGCAGCGTCGGCTGACTTGAGCAGGATTACCTTGAAGAGGAACTAGGAGAACCCACAGTAGATCTCATGAGGACATTGAAACGAAGCGTGGATCCTCAGTAAGAATGCCGCCGATTATGACTTGGCCAGTACTGACTTAATTTACAGTTGGCTAATGAATCCTGGAAAGGTTTTCAATGACAAACAATAAGAATGTGCTCTGAGATCTCGACAATTCACACGATTGGCATGTTGATCATCCTAAGTTATCCAGGCAACAGGCAACGGCCCTTACCAGGCACATCACTGACGACGCGGATCATGAAGTCCACCTGCTACTTGGGCATGCAATATAAAAGTCGCACAAGACGACTCTATTGGTAGCTCGTGGGTCAATAGCTTGTCTAGCCCGTCGATATGCCATCATCCTCATGGGATCCAATTCTGCAAGCGAAAGTGCCAAGCTCGAGCCAAGACAACGGTCGCATTACCGTGAACTTGGCGCAACCAAATGAAGTGGTTCACTGCTGCCACGTGCAATGCTTGGTCTGTCTATCCGAAGTTATTCTGCAGCGTATCTCACCTCCTGCTCCTATACTCGAGTCTCTTGTGTTATAGTGCCGGCTAGAATCAGGAACAGAATAGGCTTGACATCCGACATTCCTGCAGCCTGCATGCCAAGGATGCACCCACGTACGAACATCACATTATCTCCGCCAATGACCGTGGACAATTGCAGCGCGTGACGATCTTTTCCAAGCTCGCAAGAAACAACCCTGCTGCCGAGAGCTTAGCATAGAGACGAGCACCTCGGTTACAGCTAGTCAGCTCATGATAGCTCAGGGTGCCCCTCTTGTTTTTCATCTATTTAAGTGCCCCTGAAGCAGCTGCTCCACGGAAGAGAGGCACTCTCGCGGAGGATAGACCAGTCTCAGTATGCGAAACCTTGAGCTCTTCGTGCTGAGTGCTCTCGCAGCCGTGTCGGCCTCTGCGACCACTACCAGCGGCAAATTCACCGCACTGTGTTTCAACGTGGCTGGTCTGCCTGAGATCCTTAACAGTAATGATGTGAATGGCACGAAGACTGAGAACGCGGAGGAGCTTGGCAAGTACTTTGCAGAGTATGGCTATGACATCATCCAGATGCAGGAGGTATGTATACATCTTATCATAGTGTGGGCTGCGAAGTTCGCTCATGGAGATCAAGGACTTCAACTACCATGCATACATCTACGAGTACGACGACCACCCCTACCGCACGGCCACTTCTGGCGGGGCTGCCATAGGCAGTGGTCTGAATACCATTTCCAATTACGACTGGGTCGACTTCACGCGTGTCAAGTGGGACACATGCTCTGACGCCTCCGAGTCGGACTGCCTTACCCCGAAGGGCTTCACCTTTATGCGTTGGAACCCGTCTGAGGGAGTGTACATTGACTTCTACAATCTACACGCCGATGCTGGGTAGGGCACCGTCCCCAATCACCACCATGCTGTCTCCAATATCATGAACTAACGGACAGCCTCACAGCACCGAAGACGGCGACGAAACCGCCCGTAACGCCAACCTTCAACAAGTCGCCGACTACATCGACACCTGGTCCACCGGCAACGCCGTGGTCATCATGGGCGACACCAACAGCCGCTACACCCGCAGCGCCGACACCGGCATCCGCGTCTTCAAGTCACAGAACAGTCTCACCGACGTCTGGGTCGAGCTGGAGATGGGCGGAGTGTACCCGACCGCGGGCGCGGACTCGTTGATGTGCGACAACCCTTCCACAAACGAGACCTGCGAGACGGTGGATAAGGTACTGTATCGGGGCTCCAGCATCGTCACTCTGGTCGCTGACAGCTTCCGCTACGACGGCGAGGAGTTCCTCAACACTAACTCAGACTACCTGGGGGATGTGCTCTCCGACCACAACCCGGTGCTGGTTGACTTCAGCTGGACGCTGTCCTCGTCGCTCCGCCAGAGCGAGTTCTCCGGCGGGCCCCACGGCGACTGGTTCAACGACCTTCCCAACTTGCCCGCTTCGCCGGTGGCCTCCGTGCTGACCTTCCGCGGTGCCGACCGCCTGGATGCCGTCGCGCTGGAGCTCACAGACGGGACCACCTTCAGCCACGGCGGCACCGGCGGCACGGCCGTGTCGCTGACGCTGGGGACCGGCGAGTACTGGACCGGGGCAGAGCTGTGCACCGGGCAGTACAACAGCCACACCCGCAACTTCTATCTCAAGGCTACCACGAGCGCTGGCAATGTCCTGGAGGCCGGTACCGCGACGAGCAACTGTACCACCTTTACCGCGGATGACGGGTATGCCATTGTGGGGTATATGGGGCAGGATGGCGATGAGATCGATCAGTTAGCTTTCATTTATGCTGCCTACTAGGGTCGTGTCGCTGTCAAGGTGGTCTGAAGCTGTGAGGTGTTAGACTAGCATGGAAAGCATGCAGCAATTGATCTGTTCGTGATTCGCCTGCCTTTTGCGCTTTGCGACCGCTGCCTAGCCAGATATATGGTAGAGTCCGGGTGTTTGCAGAATCACTTGAGCTTCGAGTAACGTCCATCATCTCAGCCTTTGACTGGGTGGTACATTCATCCTTGTTCGAGCCTTGAGGCCATGAGTAGACCGCAATGTATGGCGCACGTAATGACGAGCGGAATAGATCTGGTGTAGTGGTGGATTAGATAATTAATTGCCAAGTTTGTATCGAGTGCATGAGCAAGAGTGGTGATTATAGACGGTCTACAGTCGGGTGAAACATTGCAAAGGAGTTTATGCTTAGCTTTTGCATTTCTACAAGATATCATGTGATGAAATAAAGGAAGGGCTGGCCCTGAGTTCACTGCGCATTGTCCGCAACAATGCGGGCATCCTCCCCTGCCGGATCCGGTAAACGGATAATTGGGATTTATACACCCTCTTATGCAGCCTTGATCCGTCAACAACCTACAGGCATCTCCTGAATGACCGATTAGATCGGATACAGCTGGTTTTGGCTACTTCGACTATGTAGGCTTTCCCGATGTATCCTACCCGGACTCGCCGGCATTGTATCCGATATTGACAAGACATGGAGGAGGATGACTTCTCCGGGCACTCATTCGACAGGTTGACCGAAGGGAGGATGTAATGAATGAGTGATGGATCGGTGCCAGAGTAGCTGCTATTATTGTAGGCACTCATCAATTCCAGGGGTAATTTTAGGAGAACCAGTTCATGCACATTGATTGCGCGCGCCTAGAAGCCCACTCTCCACCAATGAGTATATTCCTTTTGCAAATGCACGAAACTCCCTCCAGTCACTTCCCAGTGCTATATAAATAAGCGCCTTGGGTCAATCTGTCTAGCTCCAGACCAGAACGAAGGAGTGGGCTTGGGATGGAGGGGGGCATCCAGCAACAATCCAGAACTCCGGAGGTCGCAGTCAACTAGGGTCTGAACTCAATCAACTCAAGTCATTAAGTGGCGTAGAAGAACAGTTCAGTTCACCACTCTACCATGAATCCTTCAATTGCATTTGGGGGGGAGGGTTGTGGCATGTTTTTGCATGGGCGATGGGTCCGCCAAGGCTGATGGGTGGATGCCTTCGGGCGAGACAAAACGGGCAGATTAGGGCAAGACATGGTCTCAATCGGGTCCAACACCACCAGACACCGTAGACGCTGTCACATTGTGGCCAACTTCACTTTGTACTGGAGCTCCAAGAAGAATCCAGGTTTCCCCTCGGGAATTGTGACCAGTCAAGCAGCCAAGAGCGATCGAACCACTCATGTTGCCCTTGGGGAGATTGCCTGCGGCGGTCTCGAGTTAGAGAGTAAGACCCAGGCCTCCAGGAGATGCATCCGGGCCCCGTCCGGACCCCGTCCGGGTCCTGTCTTGCCCGCTGGCCTCCTGTCTCGAATGAAGCCAAGCCGCCGCTGCCACAAACAGGCTTGGCAGGGAACTTGCCTCGGCGGATGGGAGCGAGCCAGACGCTGTCCGGTGGAGGCGGGCAGCATTTAAGATGAAACGTCGCGCCTTGGCGGGCTCCGCTCGAGTTCGCCGGCAATGATACGCCTTCCGGAGGAGACCCTGCTCCCGGGCCCTGATATAAGACCCTTCTCCTTGTCACTGCTGTGGTGCATTTCTTTTCTTTCCTTCTCCAGCTTGGATAGCAGTTCATTCTTTTTTCTGCAGGTCAACTTCCTTCATTCCTCCTTTCATTCATTCACTCCCTTCTCTCCATTTTTCAGTCCTTCTTTTTACCACTTTTCTCCAAAATGAAGTCCTCTACTTTCGGTATGCTCGCTCTGGCAGCAGCAGCCAAGATGGTCGATGCCCACACCACCGTCTTCGCCGTCTGGATCAACGGTGAGGACCAGGGCTTGGGCAACAGTGCCAGTGGCTACATCCGCTCTCCCCCCAGCAACAGCCCCGTCAAGGACGTGACCTCGACCGACATCACCTGCAACGTCAACGGCGACCAGGCGGCGGCCAAGACCCTGTCCGTCAAGGGCGGCGACGTCGTCACCTTTGAGTGGCACCACGACAGCCGTGACGCCTCCGACGACATCATCGCCTCCTCCCACAAGGGCCCCGTCATGGTCTACATGGCCCCGACCACCGCCGGCAGCAGCGGTAAGAACTGGGTCAAGATCGCCGAGGACGGATACTCCGACGGCACCTGGGCGGTCGACACCCTGATCGCCAACAGCGGCAAGCACAACATCACCGTCCCCGACGTCCCCGCCGGCGACTACCTCTTCCGCCCGGAGATCATCGCCCTCCACGAGGCCAACAACGAGGGTGGCGCCCAGTTCTACATGGAGTGTGTCCAGTTTAAGGTCACCTCCGACGGTGCCAACACCCTGCCAGAGGGTGTCAGCCTGCCCGGCGCCTACTCCGCCACCGACGCCGGTATCCTCTTCAACATGTACGGTTCGTTCGACAGCTACCCTATCCCCGGTCCCTCCGTCTGGGATGGCACTAGCTCTGGCTCTTCCTCTTCTGCTTCTTCTTCTTCTTCCTCTGCCGCCGCTGCCGTTGTTGCCACCTCTTCTTCTTCCTCTTCCATCGAGGCCGTGACCACCAAGGGTGCCGTCGCCGCCGTCTCCACCGCCGCCGCCGTGGCCCCTACGACCACCGCTGCCCCCACCACCTTTGCCACGGCTGTCGCCTCGACCAAGAAGGCCACTGCCTGCCGCAACAAGACCAAGTCCTCCGCTCAGGCCTCCGCCGCGGCCACCACCGCTGCCGCCGTCGCCGAGACCACCTCTTCCACCGCTGCCGCTGTCGCCGTTGAGACCACTGCCGCCGCCGCTGCTGCTTCCTCCAGCTCCTCCTCCGCCTCCTCCGGTACCGCCGGCAAGTACGAGCGCTGCGGTGGCCAGGGCTGGACCGGTGCCACCACCTGCGTTGACGGCTGGACCTGCAAGCAGTGGAACCCTTACTACTACCAGTGCGTTGAGTCTGCCTAGATTCGTTCGGTCAGAAGGGGGGAGACGAAGACGAGGTGTGAGGGCGAGTTAGTGGGGGATACTTAGATCGGCGGTTTTGTGGATGTTCGTTGTATAAATTAATCAAATTCCGGTTCTCTCGATGAGATCTCTCAAATTGTTGTCCGTACGAAAGGAGGCTTCCTGGTATCTAGTTGAAAGTGAGTATTCTGTGTAATGAGAACTTGTAATAGGGCCAATTAGGCCTTGTATACATAGTACTGTACATGGATGGCGAATCGAGAGAAAGCAGGGTGGACATCATTCGATGCTCAATCCGGAGTTCGGATTGACTATGGCTGATCTTGAAAGGGAAAGGGAGAAGGGGGAAAGAAACCAAACGAAAGAAAATAGACAGACGATAATCGTTTTGCAGAGAACACAGAGCGAGACCGTGGATTGAGCGGCTCAAAGCCGAGGGCGGGCAAAAAGACATGACAAGGGTGGGATTCGAACCCACGCCATCTGACGATGATCAGGAAGCTGTGAAGCTTGACTGCTAAGGTGGACCTTAACCTGACGCCTTAGACCGCTCGGCCACCTTGCCGGTTGATGTAAGCTGCACCAGATTTGGGCGCTATGTCCAAGCAATAAAGTCTCGCGACGTCGATGCTTCAATGTGCTTTTCTTTTCTCTTTTGTTTCTAATTCTGCAGATCACCTTCGGTCTGGCTTCATTCTGGCTGATGATAGCGTTTCTCAAGGCATTGTTAGGTCCTATCATGTGTTCGGCACCGTTCCAGCACATCCCGATTAGAAGATATATATATCCCTCGCACGCTGCACCCGTCGACAGACCAGCTCGGCGACGATACGACCAACAATGAGAGGAGCAATGGGTCTAGGAGTTGGGGAGATTGTCTCTGCACCAGAAGGGAGGCTCAGCGCCCTACTATTTCATGGGTAATTGGTCGATGGGTCAGTTATGGAAGCCAGGCTTGCTTGCATCCCCAAAACAAGGCAGAAGATACACATCATATGCCAAATCATGCCGTGGTGAACATCGTGCATGTGCATGTTCCACTGAAGAAGGGCTGTCAACTCAACATCCATCCTTATGTAGCATAGAAGAGCACGTTCAGGTCCATATGGGCTGATATTGATATCCTATGAGCCACGCGCTTCACATTAATCTCCCAATCGCCGACGCAACATGTCTTCGTTGTCCAGCTCTCGCACGCGCAGTACGACGGACTCTCGTTGCCGTTTCTATCGTCTGACCTGACGCACGCTTACAACGCCGGTGCTCGCTTGCCCTCCACCCCGGCCACCCCGTTCGCACAGTATGTGCACAGCCGCCACGAGCACCGGTCCGCCGCGGCCTTCACCTTCTGGAGACACTACCTCCGAGGCTCCAGGATGACAACTCTGACCGGCACAACCACTGCCCCGGAGGACAGCAGCAGCACCACAGACACCCAAGAAACCGCAACCGGCGCACTCCCCCACACCCTACCGGGCATCACCCTCCCCACCCTAATGAACGCAGCGCTAGCCTTCACACTATCCCAACACATCCAAAGCAACGACATCACCTTCGGCCTGGTGATGGACACGCGCGCCAATCCGGTGCAGGACGCAACGACCATCCTAGGACCATGTATCAACATCAACCCAGTGCGCGTGCAGCTGCCGCTGCCGCCGCCGTCGGAGGCCGGGCAACCGTGGACGGCGCGGGAGCTCTGCCACGCGCTGCACGAGCAGTACGTGCGGATCGCGCGCTACAGCGTGCTAGACCTAGACGAGTTCACCGCCTGCAGCACGGATTGGGCCCCCGGCACGCGCTTCGGGTGCATCGTCAACCACCTGCCCCGGGAGGACTATCCGCCGCTTGCGTTCGACGGCGCAGACACGGCGTTTCGGTCCGCCGACCTCCGCATCTGCCTGCCGGGTCAGATGCTCGTCCGGTGCATTACGGTCGGCGGCGGCGAGCTGAAGATCCAGGTTCTTGCTTCCGGCGTTGTGTTGGATGGTAAGGGGGCTGCGGCGCTGGCGCGGACGCTGCTGGAGACCGGTCAGCGGTTTGCGCGGTTTCCGGATGCGTTGCGTTCGGCGCCGCGGTTTGTAGACTAGGCTGTTGTCTGCTGTGGTCTTCGGTTGGGGGTGTTAGGGTTCATGTGGGACTGGCATGGTTGAGGATGCGTTCGGCGATGGACCGCTGAAAGTGGATGAAGAGGAGTAAGCCATGTCGAGGTCTCCCGTGTCCCAGATAAGACATCATCCATCAACAACAGTCAGTGCTTTTCGTATAGATTAATTGGCAGATTGGGCAAGGCTTACCAATTCGAATCATAAGTTGGTCTTCTCAGAAGTAGTTTACCTCCTCAAAATCAGCTAGAGCCATCTCGGTGAGATAATAAGCAAGGCGCACCAGTATAAATGTAGGGGTACCGTACAGCCAAACCAATATTATGGTAGTGCTACGACCGCATCCTACTACCGCACCCCCTATTTGCCAAGTACATACCCTAGATTCGGATAAAGAAAGCAAGTTAGTTGTGTCATTCGTAGCTCTTGATCTTCATGTCTCATGGTCCGAGTCTTTGTACTGTACAGTATTATAAATCTGATTAGGTTCTTTCTAGTTCCCTTGCTCATCCGCGTCATCATCATGAATGCGAATCTCCACTACCACTATCCGCCCCAGCACCCCCTTCTGCCTTCACCAACTGATTCCACCGCTGGATGACCTCCGCCCGCTGCTGCGGCGTCGCGGCACTCATCTCCTCGATGCCCTGATTGATCCGCGAGGTGAGGATCTCCTTCGTCTTGCTCTTGGCCAGGGAGTTCCGCAGGCTCTTATGGATCCCGTCCAGCGGGTAGCCTGCCAGGCCCCAAATGCCTACCGCTCTCGATCAGCACATTGAACCCGAACGACAATTGTACAGGAGCAAACCAACTTACCGGCAGTAGGTTTGAAGAACACCCCGCCCACCCCCTTGCCAATTCCCTTGACGAAGCCGCCGCCGCCAGATTTCTCCATGCCGAGCATCGGTTGGGTGATCAAGCCGGTCACTCCGTGGTAGAGGCCATGGGTGAATTCCTGCTCATGCTGTCAGCCACCAGACTCTGTCTTGCTCCAACGGGGAGAACTTACCGTGCCTGCCGCGCGAAACCCACTCCTCACACCCAGCACCTTGGGCGTTTTCTCCACGGTTGAATCGCGGTACAGCTTCGGGGCATTGTGGAACCCCTTCGACAAACTCAGTGTCACGTCGGTGGGGATCATGATCGCCCAGTTAAGGATGTGTTTGGCCATCTTCCCGGCGTGGTAGGTGGCTTCCGCGAAGACCTCCTTCGCGCCGGACTCCTCGCGCGTGCGGAGCCGGGTAATTGTCCGCTCCAGGTCGAGCTCCTCGCCGATCACCGGGTCCGTGTCCGGTTCTAATGTGGTCTGGGAGCTGCCGGAACTCGTCCGGGGACTGGCCTCTTCGCCTTGATCGGAGCGACTCGACTCGCTGTTGCTGTCGCTGAGGTTGCCTTCCTCGGCGGAGACGTAGGCCTCGTCGGACTCGTCGGATGACGAACGGGAGTGGCTGGCAGTGCTGGCGGGCTCGGTGGCTTGCGCGCGCATTCTCTGGAGGTCGCGTTGACTCGGTTGACTGCCCTCATCCCCCACCCCTGAATCCAGAGAGGTCTTCGTGCGCCGGTAGAGGGACGACGCACCGTCCCGCTGTTGGAGCTCGCGCACGTGCTTCCATTCCTTCCGGCGACGGTGCCGTTCCTCCCGGGATATGGAGAATATCGTTGCTACGCCACTGGGGACGTCGGCGATGCCGCTGACGAACCCGGAGACAATGCCGTAGAGAACCTCCGCGCCGGCGGTCAGAGGCCCGCGAGGGTCACGGTTCGTATCGTATTCGATCGATCGGTATCTGGTGGAGTTTAGCGTGAGTTGCTTGCAAACGTGGTACATGACAACTCACAAGACCACATTCCGTGGGTCGATCAGCCCCGTCTCGACCAACACTGCCGCGGCGAATGTGCTGAGTTTGATATGAGAATGCCGGACCCACCATACGGCCGGGAGATGGGGACAGATCGAGCACTGCAGACTCTGCAAGTCCAGGTGTTGATAGAAGCTTATGGCCGCATTTCGCACCCCTTGTTCCGTGCGCATCTGCTCGCCGAGTTCCTTGGCCTTTTCTTTGGTGGAGGGCTCCAGGGCCGTCTTAATTGCCTTCGTGAGTTTCTCCGTCGTCAACTGCTTGTGCGGAATCGGCCGTGGACCCGCACCCGCACGAGCGACGATGGAGCCCCAGAAGGGCTGATCGCCGAAGAAGGGGATGATCACGGTGGGACACCCCAGCACAAGGCCGGCGGCGGTAGTGCCGGCCCCACCGTGGTGCACCACGCAGGAGACGTGCTGGAATAGCCAGTCGTGTGGAGCCTTGCTGATCATCAGGATGTTGTCGGGAATGTCCTTTTCGTCGGCCCCGAGATTCCCCCAACCCTTGTTCACAATGGCCCGTTGACCGCTCGCCTTGATGGCCTCGAAGACGATCCTGGTCAATGCGCCTGGGTTGTCGACGACGATGGATCCAAACCCGATATAGATAGGAGGAGGTCCGGCTTTGAGGAAGGCGGCGAGGTCGTCGGGAGGCTTGTAGTCGGACCCTGAAGAAAGAAACGAGAAACCTACCACATCGATGTTTTCGGCCCAGTCTGATGGCTTGGGAAGGAGAGCCGGCGACCTAGAACTGTCAATGAGAATCGTTATAGAAGGAGATATTGTCCCTCACCATAGATATGTGTATGGGATTCGCAATTGATGAGCTATGCTCGGCGCACGGATGGCATCCAACGGATCCAGACCCAGCTCGCGCTTGCGAAACTTGTTGATCAGGTCTCCCAGACCCTCCCACATCATGATTTCAACGATCGCATATGACGCAAAGTTCGCCGCGGACGGCTTGGTGTTTTGCGACCGCACCGTGGCCAGCGGATGGGGAAATGCCTGCGTGGCCGACCATGGCATTCTATTCACGTTGTCAGCCACAAACCAAGTCCAAGCGTGGGGCCTTGTAAGCACCTACGTGAACATCATGTTTAGTGGGATACCCAGTTTCTCCGCACAACTCAAGTGCGCAAAGCTGGGCGGGTTGGCGATGATCGCATCGGCCACAAACGGCTTGGTCCTGTAGTCACCGGTCTCGCTCCACGGATCATCGGGGATGTGGTGCATGCCCGTCCCGTCGCCAGTCTCCCAGCACGACCGCCAGCACCCCGAGAAGATCGTCTTCATTTCCCGCCGTCGCCGTCGGATCGCCCCGCTTCGTATCGTACTCATATGCGGCATCAACCCGGGGTTCTTGACCATGAACGCCATCAGCTCGGCGGGATCCCCTCCGATGCTGAAGAACTCGAGCCCTTCGTCCTCAATGACTTCTCGAAAGGCCAAATGGGTCGCGAGGCGGACGCGATGGCCGTGGGACTTGAGCACCTTGCCCAGCGCGATGAACGGTTGCACGTCTCCGCGGGAGCCGACGACTTGAATGACGATGTTGAGCTTGAGGGGGCTTTGGTGTTCCTCGTCCCAATCGTCTGCATTTATACAGAAATTGTTCTTGCCTTTCTCGAGTTCGGGTGGTTGGGACTGGAGGTGTTGCAGGATCTTGGTGACCCAGGGCTTGCGGTCGCGGAATTTAATATCGAGACGGCCATCGTCTGGATGAGAGGTGACTGTTAGCTATTGTGATGCAGCACGGGGTCTTGGAACGCGCACCCATAATCCGGACCCCGGTATTCAGACCCTTTTCATGGTAGTGGGCGCGTCGATTGGAGCGATGATGGCCGCTGGAAGAGGGCTCGTCGTGGGCGAGCCGATCCTCAGGCCAGTCACTAGCTGTTGAGCCATTGTGGGACGGCATGGGTGCTGGCAGAGGCAGACGGGGCAGACCATGCAGGGGTGAGGAGGGATGGAGATCGAAAGGGTTGAGGAGAGTGTCGATAGTGGGTGACAGCAGTCATATGACTGATCAGCAAAGAAGGAAAAGCAAGAAATGGAAGAGAGAAGGATAACTTGGGAGAGGGATTAAAGCAAATGAACGGAGAAGGAGAAGAAAAAAACGTGCAGGTCGCGAGACCGCATTGTCAGAGTCAAAGTGCGGGCAGTGACGCCATCAGGGCCCTTGGATCCACAGCCCATTGCTTCATGGAACATCATCGGAAGATCGGGACGCGCGGATGATTGACTGATGCACAAGGAACCGGTGGGTCGCGCACTCCATCCAGAGTCCGTAGTTTCGTAACTAGCGAGCTCATCAGGGTCCGATTACTTCTTGGCTTGTTCGGCAGCCCTCCGAGAAGTGCAACAGCCTCAGCCTTGTTTGGAGGGTGTGTTACCACGGATGGTGAAGGGGAAATCTTGGAAATGGGGAGAGACAGAGCGAGAGAGAGAAGGAGAGAAGGAGAGCAAGAGAGAATGAGGGGATGAGATCATCCCCATCTCACGTGACGGGGGAAGGTCCCACGTGACCCTCTACAGCCAGAAGATCCCTCCTAAAACCGGTTCCTTGACGCTATTTGCCTTTTGGTCAACTACGTTAACTAGTTCAATAATCGCCATGATTCTCATACTATTCGCATGCAACTCATGCTATCGAGCCATGGGTCTTTATTGTACCACTTGCAGAGCTATCTGCTGAATACGGAATGATCGCCATCGGCCCACGAGCGTTGGACTGTTAGTCGGCAGCAATAGTTGGAGTCGAGGCTGCCATCTACACCACCGGATATTGGTTATACGGCATAGAATTCTCCCACAGCATTTCTTTTCAGAAAGCAAAACACAGAGAACCTCCAGCCCAATGAATCCCGAGACCCCCGACTACGAGACTCTGCCGATCACCGTGGAGGGGAACCCGCTGCAGATATCCGCACTGATCCGCCGGGGCCCGCAACCCGCCATCCTGTGGCTGCACGGCTTCGGCTCATGCAAAGAGGAGCTGCACGATCTGATCTTCCAGCGACCGCTGAAAGACCACACGTTCATCGCCTACGACGCGCCCGGCTGCGGCGCGACCGAGACCGCCGACCCGACCGCCGCCACCATCGCCTTCATGGTTGCCACCGCGGAGGCCGTGCTGCACCACTACGGCGTCGACCACGTCCATCTGATCGGCCACTCGATGGGCGGGCTCACAGCCATGATGCTGGCCGATCGCCGCCCGGACCGCATCCTCAGCTTCGTGAATATTAAGGGCAACCTGGCCCCGGAGGATTGCTTCCTCAGCCGCCAGATCTTCACCCACCCGGGGTCCACCCCGGAGGAGTTCTTGGAGCTGTTCATCGAGCGCACGCGCGGCAGCCCGGCCTACTCGACGGCCCTGTATGCGTCGACGCTGGCCGCGCGCGTCCGGCCCGCCGCCATCGAGCCCATCTTCCGGTCCATGACGGAGCTGTCCGATGACGGCGATCTGATGGACCGGTTTCTGGCGCTTCCGTGCCCGCGCATGTTCATGTACGGCGAGCTGAACCGCGACCTGTCGTATCTGGGCACTTTGCGCGAGCATGGGGTCGCCCTGGCGGAGATCCCCCAGAGTGGCCATTTCCCTATGTATTCCAACCCCGTAGACATGTTTGGGCGCATTGTGGGCTTTATGAAACGCAGTGCGGTGATCTAGAAGAGCATTAGACTGTCGATGGTTGGTGACGACAGTTTGGTACCAAAAGTATGGTTCGGTTCTGTTTCTATGAGATTCAAAAGCACTGGTTTAGGGTACGATTGGGCTTAAGGATATGGATAGTTTTATTCAAAGCACCTGTGCCGGTGGATCGCTTCCAGAAGTTTGCATTGAGAGGTTGGCTGCAAGTTTCAGTACTGCGAATAAAACCAGGGAGCGAACAGCCAGTGGTGCAGAGCCCTGAACTCAACAGTTGTAGGGGTCCTCGGCTCGCAGATAATACAAAAAAACATTGATCAAGCAAAACATAGACCTGAAAGCAGTAAAAGGCGACAATGCAAGGCTTCAAAGAATGGGAGCGGGAGGTGTCGACATTGATATAATGGGTTGTCTCAGACGGAACGCGAGATTGTGTCCATCAGTATAAAGAAACGCAAAGAGACAGCGCAGAATCTGCAGCTGGACGGGGAGGTTAAATACCAGCGACCCCAAGAGAATGACCGGTTGATTTCAACCCCCAATCCTTATACCAGGCTCCCACTTTGTAATAATGGCTTCCCGAATCTGCGGATCTCGATTCTACGTTGGCGAAAAAGGAGATCCACGGCGAGAAGCCACCATCGGGGGGATCATCTCTCTGTATGGGACCTTTTACGGGTTGACAGTCCTTCGCCCATTCCTCGCGGACCCAGACCAGCAGGTCATGTTCATCGAGCAGAAGACTCCGGTGGCCGAGGAGGAGGCCGAGGAAGGCCTGTGGGCGCCCATCTCCAGTTACGAGGAGGCCGGGCACTCCCCGCTCCACTCGAGCAAGATGCGTACGTGCCCATTCTTCGCATTTGAGGCCTATGGTTACCAGACCGACAGGCGGATTGGGGCGGTCCCTGACCTACCGGGTCTCTTTGCAGCAGACCCGAGGTTCTGGCATCTGAAAGGGAATTGGGCTCTGGTCCGTCTGGATGACCAGGAGCTGTTTCTCAACGTGGACACCACCTCGCTGCAGTCGATTTCGAAGTGCAGTGTCCCAGCGGGTCGCTTGCGGGTTGCAATCAATCACCGTCCGCTTCGGCGTCAGAGTCGCAAGCTCACCGTGATCGACATGCCGCCCGTCGGCCGGATGTATACCCTGTCGATGCCGGGCCACCCCGTCGATAGCGGAGCATGGATTGTGGATATGGGCAGTATGTCCGTGTTCGCGGTCATGGTTGGTTGTCACCACGGCAAGACATATGCACGTCCGGCGTTTGAGGTCTTTGGTGAGCTATTCAAGCGCTTCTGGGAAGAGCCACCAATGATCACAATGAAGTTGCCCAGTGAGCAAGAGAGTGACTGAGCCTTGAACGCTTCTAGTATAGATGGCAAATTGGCGATCGCTGAGAATTGTATCACATGAGGTTTCAAAATTCATAAGATAAAACTTCGTAGAAATTCAGGCATTGATGGGCCTTGGTTGAGCAGCATTCGAGTGACAGTACTGTATGCACAATAGAGGTATTGAGGCTGCTCCCCTTTGAAACCCTCACAAACTGGCGTCGCGATGCAGAGGTTCTAGTCGTCATGTTTCATGCACTCTATGTACCTTGATGCTTGTTCTGTCTATGCCGAAAAGCAGTGCCCCTTTTATCCTTTTTTTTTTTTTTTTTTTATTTCTTTTTCTTTTTCTGCTTCATTGACCCTGTCTGCTGCTGCGGCTTGGGTTTCACAGCCCACCCCTTCTGGGCCGTGTTTCTGATTGCGTGACTTGGGTTATCGCAGTCAAGCGATCTGGCGTTGGCCACCACAAGGCAGTTCGTACATTCTTTTAACAACCAGGTAGGGCCCAGCGTTCACCGAGAGGGTTGGTCTGGGCGAAGGAGAGGCAGTGCTGGGGTTACTTCGAGTATGGTCTGTACTGCATCGAAATCGAGATCGAGCTGGAGATCGAATTAGTGCGCCTGACCGGACCGGCTCACTAAATGGGTATGTTAGCGTCAGAATAGCATACTTCTTCATGTCATGCTTGTTCATCTTCTAATCCGCTTGTTCTCAAGCCTTGTTTGCACAGGAAAGATGCGTCAAGACTCTCATACTCGGGTTTGAAGACTGCTGGGCAGACCGACAGCCCATCAATTGACTGGCAACGGTGCTCGCACAGCTTAGAGAGGAGAATATCGGCTCGAGGGAACTTGGCATCTTGTAAGACAGCTCATCATGCTACGGTGTCCAAGCATCGACAAATACAATGGCATTCCCATCTGACCTTGAGCAAATCACCATCAACACACTATAAGCCAGCAAACGCATCTCCTGAACCGCGTCTAAACCATCAAAGCTCCCACCATCCCAACCACCATGACAACCCACCCTGCCCTGCCCACCCCGACCGCCGCACCATCCCCACGCTGCTGGTTCTCATACGGGTCCTTCAACTGCCCCACCTGCGCCTGACTCACATTCACCACCGTATAGAACCCATCCAGCACCACCGAATCATCCGCACTGGCATGATACAGCGGAGCGCACGCTTCTACCGCCGTCTGATTCGTCACCCCGGCCGTGCAGCCCTCCACCGTCCCCGTGTAGCAATACTGGTAGGCCGTGAAGTTCAGGTAGGCCGACTGGCCCGGGCGGAGCACGCGTGTGCCGTCGATCGCGCCCACGGTAGAGTCGCTGAATTCCTCCGTCAGCGTCGCGTTGCCGACCGTCTCGTCGACGACCGTTGCAAAGGCCGTGGCAGACAGGCTGGTGAGGTTGGTGCGGGCGGTGTAGCTTGCGTCGCCGGCGGCCGTGAGGGCGCAGGTCAGGTTTTTGTTGCTGGAGCAGGTCTCCGCGCCGGAGACGCGTTGGGGAGGGTAGGTTTTCAGGTAGGCCTCATTGTGGTCCCAGTTGAAGACGGTGCAGTTGGCCTGGTTGGAGGATTGGGCGGACGTCAATGGGGAGAGGAGGAAGGAGAGGAGGGTGATAACTTGAAGTGATTGCATGTTTGTAGCTTTGGATGAGTCGGAGATAGGTCTGCGATGGATGCTGTTCCTTCAAACAGGGAGCCATGTGCCATGCGTGGTGGAGGCCTTTTATGCGGCGGTTGAAGCCCTGTGTATACGAGTCAAGTATCGATGCTGGTGCCGCATTGGCGCCAAGCTGTGCGCCCACGAGTCATTCAGGGCAACAACACAACACTGCCACGCCCTCTCGGCGTGTGGCCTTCCGACGTCATTATGATTGATTGTTGGGCATGTCAGGTACACACTTGAGCGCATGCTATCCGCGATCCGTTGGATGATGGACAGATCGCCCGGCTGGCTCTCACGGCATTAATTTAGAGCCGCTGGAAAGAGGCCCATTGCTACAACTTATGTCGCAAGTCAGAACGAACGAACCAATCAGAACAACACCAGCAGCCAACTCAATACAGCCAAGAAAAGCAGAGGTCATAAGATCAGGAGGAAGTATGTCAGCCAAGAAGCCCTGAGTTCATATCCGGTAGGACCTTGGACCTCCATATGCCCGGGCCGAGGGCGGATCAGCCCGCCCAGCCCAGCGCCACCCCCACAGCCTCATGGACTTTATCTCATTCACCGCACCATTTTTACGGTGGAGTTTTGCTGTGTATGTTTGCCAATGGATCCATTACCCCTTCCCCAGGCATAAGAATACATCTTACGCGCCATGAGCCGAGCCACAAGTGTGAACTTTCTGATACCTGATGATGAGTTGTACTGAGCGCCGCCTCGACGTCAAGTGACGACTGAATGATGAGTATCGCTATTCACACCTCTGGCAGAGGCTAAAGATCTTTCCGATGGAATGACTCGGTAAACGCGACCGGGAGATTACTGGTTCATTGGATGGTTTTTTTTTTTTTTTTTTTTTTTTTTTTTTATGAAATCTGCGTTGGGAACCTTGAGATGTGAGCTCGATACTCTATTTTTTATATATCTCGCTCCCATATTCGAGATACTTGTTTCGGTCTAAATCACCGCCTCAATTTACCCAGTGAAAGTGGTTGAAGGGCTCCTCTTACGTCTAGGTCGCTACCATCTCGCCGAAGCACCACACTGTTGTAACTTGTTAACTTAATGAGACCTTCTGTGGCTGATGCAGCCACACTCTCCAAGACGGAGCAACAAATCGGCCAGATTCGGCATGCCTTAATGCCTCAGGCAATGATATTATCGACAAGCCGACCGGGCAAACATCGCATCGCATCGCATCGTCGCATTTCTTCTTTCTGAAACACACACCACAACAGGTCTCACTCGACGCTTTTCTCTTTTCTTTGCTCCCTCGATTTGCATCTGATCTACAAATATCTAAAAGTATTATGTTTAGAAAGGGCAACACTCAAAGAAGAAGCCATATACCTGCATCTATGAATGCCACCCGACCGGCAGTGTGAAATTACATTAGAAGCCTCAGCAATGAGGAAAGATTAACAAAACAGGACAGCATGAGGAAAGAAAACAATCTTGCCATTCTCTCTCATCGATCGACCTTCGTCTCGCCTCCGTTTTCAACGAAAGCCGTCAAATCCTCAGCCTGCACCTGCAGACACGCCCGGAACTTCTTCCCCATGAACCACTTGACCACGTACGCCAGCGGCCCCCGCTGTGACTCCCACGATACCACCTGCGTGACGCGTTGATTTCCTTGTCCTCTTGTTTCCCCATCTGCCGCCTCCTCCACAAATTCATGGAACTCATGCACCCGCTCCGCATACAGTAGCCACGCGGGTAACCCCTTGCCCGAGGGATCGGTCACCCACGCGATGCGGGCGGGTGTCTGACGCCCGTCCTTGGGCGGGTCGAACTCGGTCACCACCAGGGCCACATCGGCCGGCTTGGTCTTGGGTCCGCGGGGGTTCCAGTTGAGATGGATGGTCATCTTAGTTCCGAGGTGCAGCCGCGTCGACTGTCTCTGGTCAGGCTGCTCGCGGACGGTGGCCCCCGGGCAGAAGGTGTTCCATGTCGACCAGGCGCCGGTGTTAACCACGGCGTCCCATGCGTCGGTGGCGGGGGCTCGAATGACTGTTGAACTCAGATACGTGCCCCGAGCCTCTCGCGCGGGGATGCTCTTGGTGGAGAGATCGAGAGTGGTGGGGTCGAGCCGGGGAGACATTGGAGGAGGATTGTAGAAGATAAAACGGGGATATGAAGCAGTACGGAGTGAACATGTTGCGTGTGCTGTTGCTATTGACTGTTGGCGGAGGTATTTTTATGGATGCTGACGTCGGGGAGGATTTCGGACTCGATGGCCGGTGGAGTCCGCTCGACGCAGGCATGCAGGATGAAATGTCGGACTGCACTCATTTGCCTCGCAACTGATTGGGTCCATTTTGTTTGAACGCTTTGGGGCCATTCCTGATCTGCCATGTTCGCAGCCTTGCGGCTGGCATGGATTGGTTCGGAGAAGGATGTTGCTGGGATTGGCTGATTGTCCGATGCGGAAGATACGCGCGGACTGCTTGGCGGCCATGAGAGATTCCCATCGGAGGGATGCGATACTTTATATCGAGATGAATTGCAGACTTGCCACGCCGCCCTGTATCATTTACCTACACCTTTGACAGGAAATTATCTCTTCGTCAATCTTTTCGTGAACCCAACCACAATGCCTACCTCCTTCGACCTCACCGACAAAGTCGCCCTAGTCACCGGTGCCGGCCGGGGCCTGGGCGCCGCCATCGCCAAAGAGCTCGCCTCCCACGGGGCCTCAGTCGTGGTCAACTACGCTCGCTCCGCGGCGGCTGCTCAGCGCGTCGTCGACGAGATCGAAGCCCTCCCCGGCAACCCTCGGGCCGTCGCCATCCAGGCGGACGTGACCCAGCCGGCTGAGGTGACGCGGCTGTTCGAGGCGGCCATCGAGCACTTTGGCAAGATCGACATCGTCATGTCCAACTCCGGGATGGAGGCCTTCTCCGCCGAGGAGGACGTGACCGCGGAGTTGTACGACGAGGTGTTTGGGCTGAACACGCGGGCGCAGTTCTTCGTCGCCCAGCACGCCCTCAAGTACGGCAGCCACGGCGGCCGCCTGATCCTGACCTCCTCCGTCGCTGCCCAGATGACCGGCGTCAAGAACCACGCCCTATACGCCGGCTCCAAGGCTGCCGTCGAGGGCTTCACCCGCAGCTTCGCCGCCGACTGCGGCCCCAAGAAGATGACCGTCAACGCCGTCGCCCCCGGCGGCATCTACACCGATATGTACCTCGAGAACTCGTGGCACTACGCCCCCAATGGCTACCCCGGCATGCCCATCGAGCAGATCGACAAGGGCATTGCCAGTCTGTGTCCGCTGGGCCGCACAGGCAAGCCCCTCGATGTCGCACGGGTGGTTGCCTTTTTGAGCTCGGCAGAGGGCGAGTGGATCAACGGTGTGTATTTCCTCATCGAGTCGGACCCAACGAATGCTAATGTTTTGACGCGAATAGGCCAAGTGATTAAGTTGACTGGTGGTTCCAGTGCATAAGGGAGATACAGTGTAGCTGGTGCGGTTTTGCTTTCTAGTTTTGGGATTTTGCTGCTTTTAGAGAAGTGTACATGGCCTTTCTTCAATGTCGCGCACGATACGAATGTAAATGCTCGGACACGTACAAATTGCCTATTGTCAATGGATTGTTTCCAAGTTTAAGAATTCGGTGCCTTTACTCTTAAGTTGCTCATAATTTCTACAGACAGTGGCATAAAAAGTAGATTGCAACAAGCTCTTGGAACCGGTGCTCTCTGACCATTCTTGTTCCTTGTGCGGTCTACCTTCCAACGCTCGATGTGCTGATCCCTACAACGTCTCAGCAGACATCGGAGAAGGGACCCTTGTCAGAGGCTAGCCTGAAGCCTGAAGTGTCGGACATCGGACAGCCCCTCACCAAGGCCGGATGCCGATGTCCGTCGAGCGTGAGATTGATCGATACAGTCAGATGTGCATGACCCTGCCCGGGACCGGGTTGGACTAACTATAACTACAACCCACGGCACATTCACAACCCAGTGCACAACCTTCCACCACCTTTGTTGATTCTCTTACCATTACCAACCAGACACGATGGCAGCTGATAGCAAATGCGACGTCTTGGTCGTCGGGGCAGGCCCTGCCGGCTTTATGGCCGCATTGACGCTGGCTCGCTACAAGGTTGACGTCCGGGTGATTGACGTGCGCCCTGAGCGCATTCAGACTGGCCATGCAGGAGGTGTGCTTCCTTCTACTTCGTGTTCAATCATTCCCAATAGAACAAACGGACTTACAAACGCCAACAGGAATCCAACCCCGGACGCAGGAGGTCCTGCAAACCCTCAACCTCCGTCATCAGCTCGACACGCGGGGCAACCATGTCAGCGAGATGGCCTTCTGGGCGCCCAACGGTCTCGGTCAGTTGGAGCGTACCTACGTCGGCCAGGAGATCCAGACCACGACGCCCTACCCGTGGATTCTGAGCGTGCCGCAGCGCGAGACGGAGCGGGCCTTCGACGAAGAGCTCCAGCGCCATGGCTGTCAGGTTGATCGACCGGTCGAGTTGATCGAGTTCGCCTACGTCGACGACAACGACGACGACGCTGAGTATCCGCTGCACGTGCGGGTCAAGCACCGGCACTCGAATGTCGTCTCGACCTGCCGCACCAAGTACCTCCTGGGCGCCGACGGGGCCGGCAGCAAGACCCGGCAGCTGCTGGGCTTCGACTGGGAGACGCACGGCAGCCAGGACGAGGTCTGGTGCGTGGCCGACGTGCAGCTGCAGAGCGACTTTCCCGACCTGCGCCGCCGCTGCGCCATCCGCGCCGCCCAGGGCCGCATGATGCTGATCCCCAACGCCCTGGACACCAACCGCGTATACACTTTGCTCAACGACGAGGATCTCCGCCGGGTGGCCGAGCAGCCATCGCCCAAGACCAACGGGGTCAACGGGGTCAACGGAGCCAACGGCTACGCGCGGTACAACGACACAGCCCTGGAGGCGCTGCTGCGACAGCGCGTGCGCGACGTGGCCGGCAGCTACACGATGGAGATCGAGCAGATCCTCTGGATCAGCCAGTACCGGCTGCAGCAGCGCATCGTGGACCAGTTCTGGGACCAGCGCCGGGTGTTCATCCTGGGCGATGCGTGCCACACGCACAGCACATCGGCCGCGCAGGGGCTCAACACCAGCGTCGCCGACGCCTACAATCTGACCTGGAAGCTGGCGCTGGTCCTGCAGGGGCGCGCCCAGCCGAGCTTACTGGAGACCTACGCCCTGGAGCGCCGCCAGATGGCGCAGGAGCTCATCGACTTCGACGTGCAGTTCTCGCACCTCTTCTCGCGCAAGGACTTTCGCGAGGACACCCAGTTCCAGGACACCTACAAGAAGGCGCAGGGGTTCACCTCCGGCGTCGGGCAGCAGTACCGGCCGGGGCCCTTGACGCGGCCCTGTGAGGAGCCCTTGGTCATCGACCATCTGGCCGTCGAGCCGCTGACCCCCGGCAAGCGCCTGTATCCAGTAAATGTCTACCGGCACCTGGACGGGACGCACCTCAACCTGCTCAATGACCTGCCGTCCAACGGCCGCTTCCACCTGTGCGCGTTCGTCGGCTCCGCCATCCAGGACGGCCGTCTGGCGCCGCTGACGGACTACCTGGCCTCGTCCGAGTCAGCCGTCTCGCGCTTCGACGCGGCCGCCAACCCGGCCTGGGGATTTGAGGATATCTTCTACGCCAACCCGCAGAACCGCGATCGCATCGTGGATCTGTTCCTGGTGCACTCCGATAGTCGCCATGAGGTGCGTCTGGAGAACTTGCCGGCTCCGCTGCCGCAATGGAAGTACCGCGTCTACGAAGATCCGCAGGCGGCGGGTCACCGTCTCCTGGGGGTGGATCCGCGAGTTGGGGCTTTGGCTCTCGTAAGACCGGACGGATTTATTAGCACGGTGGTTGGGTTGGATGAGGGTCACAAGGTGACGGAGCTTCTACGCGAGTATTTGATCTAGATGCGTTACTGCTGTTATGTTTGAGTTAGGTTGAGCTGCTTTTTGATTGTTTGATTAGACTGTCGCTCTGATGTTTGTAATGTACTTAGTTAAATGTTCCAGAATGCTATGGTGTAGTGCTCCTACGCTGCCCCTTACAGTTTAGAATGCTTTGCTGTCCTGCCACTAACATTCCTGGCATGCGTTGTATGGATTAGGGCTCCGTTCAGTCCGCCGCAGTCCTGCCACGGATCGGAAATGCCTGGCGGACCTTGACTGGAATTCCGAAGAATCCTTACATAGAACAGGAGAACTACAATACTATAAAACCATTCTTCTGGTCTACAGTTCGAAAAAAAACACTTGCATACTAGTGGTACCTTAATCCCAAATCAACATGGCGGCGAACAATCTATCCATCTCCTTCGAGGGTATGTGATTGATCACTTGCTACAGTTACTGTGATCGATGGTCGTTGTGTACTAAAGCCCTAATTGCTAGACTACCTCCAACTGGAGAAATGCGCCTTCAACTGGGGCGACAGCTATGATGCCAAAGTACGAGCCCCCATTCCCTACAAACCATCGATGCTAACCACTAAACCAGGACTGGGACCGTCTTCGGGCCATCATTGCCCCAACCCTCAGAGTACGTGTATCTTGAAACCAGTCTGTCCCGCGACTGACTCAGAACCAGATTGACTACCGCCTGGTGATGGACGACCGCTGGTTCTGGCCTGAGATGCAGGCCGACGACTTCCTGGCCATGATCTCCTCCGAGGGCTTCCTGGGCGACCCCTGCGTGAAGACGCAGCACCTGCTGGGGGCGCACTGGTGGGAGCGCGTCTCCGAGACCGAAGTCATCGGTCACCACCAGCTGCGCGCTGCTCACCTGCGCTACGCCGACGCCAGTCGTACCACCGTCAGCAAGCGCGGCCACGGCCATGCGACCAACACCCACTACTACCGCAAGGTTGACGGCGAGTGGAAATTCGCCGGCATCCGGCCCCTCGTCCGCTGGAATGAGTGGGACTTTGAGCACATCTTCCGCGGATTGGAGTTTCCGGACGAGACGACGACGACGTCCAGCAGCGGGGAGGGCCAGCAGCAGAAGCTGCAGTTCAAGGCGTTGCCGGCGCCGGAGGTCGGGGATGTGGTGTAAGGTGGCTGTTTAAGGGGATTGAAGAAGGGGGCGATGATGATGAGTGGTGGGAAAGTCCGGAGACTAGGCAGTTAGCCTTACACTGTGTGCAAAGTTTGCATTAGTGTCATATCAGTTGCAGGATTCGTGCCAATGTCCGGTCATACGGCGTTGAGGGCAGATTCCGTGCCCGTATACCGGTCCCGAACGCCGGTCCCGCATTCTTGCCCTTTTCCCGCCGCCCCCCCCGTTGCTCGTAAACAATATTATTTCTATTCTATACTCTATTCTCTTGATTGTGGCCAACCTAGATTAATCTACTTCCTGATCTTCATTCTACCAGTCTGGATGCCTCCCCATGACATCGTTAGACCACAACTCCATGGCCGAAAAACCTCTCCCCAGCGAGGTTTCCTCTGACGCCGAAACCCTGCCACTGCCTCCTTCTCCCCCCAAAGATGGACGCCCTCCCTTTTCGCTGGGGCGAGAGGTCCTCTTCACCAGCACTCTGCTCACCTGCCAGATCCTCGCGCAAGCAGGCATGGGCCAGGGACTTGCCGTACTGCACATGATCGGCGATCACTTCCATGTCACCGACAACGGCGAACTCAGCTGGTACCTGGCCGCGTTCAGTCTCACGACGGGCACGTTCATCCTGGTGGCCGGGCGGCTGGGCGACATGTACGGCTCCAAGCCCATCTTGATCGGGGGTCTTGCCATCTACGCGCTCTGGTCGTTTGTCGCCGGCGCCAGCTACTTCCTGCGCAGCTCCGACAAGCTGTTTGTCATTGCGCGGGCGTTGCAGGGCCTGGGGGCCTCGCTGATGCTGCCCAACGCGGTGGCCATCCTCGGCCGCACGTACCCCCTGGGTAAGCGCAAGAGCATGGTCTTCAGCCTGTTCGGGGCCTTTGCCCCCGGGGGCTACATGCTGGGCGCCCTGTTTACCGCCATCCCCGCCCAGTTCGGCATCTGGGCCTGGGCCTACTTCGCCATGGGGTTCGCATGTCTGCTGCTTGCTGCTGCTGCAGTCTTCACGCTCCCTCCAACGCCCTCTAAAGCTAATCCCGACATGGGCGGGCTGGACTGGCCTGGTTTCCTGTTGGGGGTCTCCGGACTGATTCTGGTGAACGTGGCCTGGAACCAGGGCCCCACGGTGGGCTGGGCGACCCCCTACGTCTACGTGCTGTTGATTCTGGGCGGCCTCGCTCTCGGCGCCTTTGTGGTCGTGGAGAAGCGAGCGACGCGGCCGCTGGTCCCAATCCGCGCCCTGAATTGGCACATCGTCTTCGTGCTCGGAGCTATCTTCCTGGGCTGGTCCTCCTTCAGCATCTGGCTGTACTACCTGTGGCAGTTCCTTGAGAAGCTGCGCGACGTCTCGCCCCTGCTGGCCACCGCGCAGAATAGCCCCTCCGCTGTGTCCGGGTTCGTGGCCTCTGTCGCAACAGGCCTGATGATTCACAAGGTCGGCGTGCCGGTGATCATGGTCCTGGCCATGGTGGCGTTCTTGGTCGCGAACGTGCTGGTGGCCACCATGCCCGTCCACCAGACCTACTGGACGCAGACCTTTTTCTCGGCCATCATCGTCCCCTGGGGCATGGACATGTCCTTTCCAGCGGCCATGATGATGCTCTCCGCCGCCGTGCCGCGCGAGCACCAGGGCATTGCCGCCAGTCTCCTGCTCACTACCAATAACTACGCGATGAGCATCGGGCTGGGGATTGCGGGCACTGTGCTGCGCTACACGACCGATGAGACGGATCTGTTTGCCATGTGTCGCCATGCGTGGTATGTGGGGGTGGGGCTGAGTGCGTTGGGCGTGGTGGTTTCTGTAGGCTCGCTGTTCTACGAGCGGCGGCATCCGACACTGAAGCATTGAGGGAGAGAATACCTGTAACTGATGAGGTTGATAGACAGTGGAGGCATAGATTGATCTTCCGCCACAGCGCGTACTAGACGCAGCTGCTGTATTGCCGAATAGAAACCCCTTAAGAATCCTACGTGGATCGGCTGCTGACCGGACTCCTGCTCTCCGCTAAGCATGTAGGCATCGGACATCGGACCCTATCGCAGTCGTGGGAATGGGCCATTTGTCCATCCGGGTATATGTCATCGCCTTCTCTTATCCTCCTCTCCCGATGACTCCTCCTTCTTCCTCATCCTTCCCCCTATCCCTAGCCCATCCCACCATTCACCCGCCATGTCAGCCAAGCTACAAGCCCAGGCATCCAAGGAAGCCGCCTTCAGCGCCTTCTTCAAGCGCCAGCTCTTCCACAGCATCCCCACCGTGTCGACCGACCTGCGCGGACAAGTCGCCATCGTCACCGGCGCCAATGTGGGCCTGGGGCTAGCCTGTGCGCGCCAGCTGCTGGCCCTGCAGCTGTCGCGGCTGATCCTGGCCGTGCGGTCGCCGCCCAAAGGCGAGGTCGCGGCGCGCGAGCTCCGCGCTGCTTTCCCGGCTGCGCACGTTGAGGTCTGGCCGCTGGACATGGCGTCCTACGCCTCGATCCAGGCGTTCGTCTCCCGCTGCCGGATCGAGCTCGGCCGGGTGGACATCGCCATCCTCAACGCCGGCCTGGCGCTCAAACGCTACCAACCCACCACGAACAATCCCGGTCTCGCCCGCGAGATCACCCTCCAGGTGAACTTTCTGTCTACGGCCTTGCTGGCCCTCCTGCTGCTGCCCAGTCTCCGTCGTTCCCAGGCTGATCAATCGGGCGCGGGCACGGCGTTGGCCTCCTCCCCCGGCCGTCTGACGCTCGTCGGATCGGACACGGCCTACTGGCTCGATGCCGCCGGACTGCTGTGCGGGCAGCCATCGCTCCTGGCCGTGGCCAACTCGCCCAAGGCGTTCGACGGCCTCGAACGCTACAAGCTGACCAAGCTGTTCGTGCTGATGTTTGTGGCCAAGCTGGCCCGCGACGTCGTCGCGGCGGACGAGGTCCTCGTCAACGTCGCGTGTCCGGGCCTGTGCAAGGGTACGGCCTTCGCCAGGGAGCCCGACGACAACCGCGCCAAGCAGGCGGTCGTCTCCGGACTCATCCGGCTCATGGGCCGGACTCCCGAGCTGGGGGCCAGGGTCTATCTCGATGCGGCGCTGGCGCAGGGCCCCCAGAGTCACGGGAGTATGCTCAGTGAAGGGCGGATTCTGCCGTACGTTGTGCCACAATCGTTCGCCTATCTGTGTGATGCTAACAAACTGCCTAACTTAGATTTCCGCCCATCATGTACAAGGAACCGGACTTGATCGATCGGCTGTGGAATGAGATCATGGAGGAGTTTGAGACCGCGGGAATGGGGAGGGAGCTGGCGGAGGTGGTGGGCCTTGGCCGTGTTTCGAAAGCATGAACGTTGGGGCAACCTCCGCTGATGACGCTTGGATCGGTTCCATGTGCTGTAAGCAGATCCTGCAGGATCTTAGATAATCGGAGGTCGAATCCTGTCCGGAATGATTATGGTTTGCATTCTCCTATCAGCCACTGGAGCTCGAGGGGGGCGATTGTGATGTGATCGCGGACTCGAGGCTGGACAGCCTTACTGTATGCTGTCCGGTCGAAGGCGTGCCCTAAGTAGACAAAAGGGAGAAGTGAGCCCAGTACTTAGAGAGAGCTGCATTGTGTGAAGTTGCTTCTTGCCGATGCCATTCTAAGCTTGTGTATTTGTGTGAATCTCTAGTCTTTCTTTTTTGATACCTGTGTACTCGTGTGTGTGTGTGTGCAGCCATGGAACCACGCAGCAGAGACATCCTGGTCGTCGGCGACCAGAGTGTAGATCCCACCCCCTTTGTCGTGCATGTATTAGTCAAGAAGCCCACGCCGCTGCTGCAGACCTTCCTGCGCGATGTCCAGCCCGTCCTGCGCCGGGAGATCGAGGGTCTGCCACATGCCACGCGCAGCCTGATCCCTGCCTTTGCCTCGCTGCATGAACTCGTGGAACAATATCAGCGCCAGGGGGTACATCTTGCCTCGTTGGATAGTGCTTTGACTTGTTTGGCTCAGTTTACTCATTTTATCGGGTGAGTCTTTGCTGTCCATTTTCTATAAAATCTCCTTTGTTGTCTTGTCATTTGTGTCTTGTTTCTTGCGGCCTGTCTCTGTCTAGAGAGCATATGGCTGACTCACAGCAGGTTCTGCGAAGAGAACCCCCGTGCATATCTCCAGCCCGGGACCCTGGTCATTGGCACCTGCACTGGTCTGCTGGCTGCGTCGGCCATTGCCTCGGCGGACTCGCTGGTTGCATTGGTTCCGCTGGCCGTCGAGACGGTGCGAGTAGCATTCCGGGTGGGGGCAACAGCAGCGAGAAAGGCAGAGTCCCTGGAAGCGAGTCAGGCGCCGTGGACCAGTCTAGTGACGGGGATTGACTCGACGACGGTGTCAGCAGCAGTAGAGGAGTTCAACCAGACACAGGTGAGTGCATTTCCCTTTCTCCCCAAGAGTCGGGCAACGAAGCCTTAACCGAAATCAGGGACTTCGATCGTCGCATCGTGTCTACGTGAGCAGCGTAGCCACCAACAGCGTCGCAGTCAGCGGCCCTCCATCCCTCCGCACTCGCTTATTCGAGGTCTCTTCTGCCCTCCGTGGGACATATCACCGCACGCTTCCCATTCATGCCCCCTATCATGCTCCCCATCTCTTCACAGATGAGTCCGACATCCTCGATACAGCCTCCTTGAACATTCTCAATTGTTACCACCAGATTCACACCGTCTGCGGCTTCGACGCCTCCAGCACGCGCTCAACTTCAGCCCTGTTCATCGAGTGCATCCATCGCATCCTACAAGAATGCATGGACTGGAACAAGCTGGTGGCCACCAGTCTGAACTTCCTGGCCCCGCTGAATGCTCCCTCCTATCGCATTCTCTCACTGGGACCCACACCACTGGGCAATGCGCTGGCCTCGGCGCTGAAGCACGAGCAGCCCGCCGGTCTCAAACTGACATTAGAAGATCACGCCTCATGGCTGGCAGCTAACTCGGTACCGGCATATCTCAGCAGCAGCCCAGCCGGATGCAACATCGCCATCATCGGGATGGCGGGGCGGTTCCCCGATGCTGCGGATCATGAAGCCTTCTGGGAGCTATTGGCGCAGGGGCTAGATGTGCATCGCAAGGTGAGTTGCACCACACCACTGCGCTACATCCCTTCCCTTGTGCACGTCTGCTAACAAACCAAGGTACCCCCGGACCGGTTCGACGTCGAAGCGCACACCGATCCCAGTGGCAACGGCAAAAACAAATCCCACACTCCGTACGGCTGCTTCATCGAGGAGCCGGGCAAGTTCGACCCGCGCTTCTTCAACATGTCACCGCGTGAGGCCAAACAGACCGACCCGATGCAGCGACTGGCCATCACCACCGCCTACGAAGCCATGGAGTCCGCGGGGTTCGTGCTCAACCGCACCCCGACCACCCACGCCCACCGTGTGGGCACTTTCTACGGCCAGACCAGCGACGACTGGCGCGAGATCAACGCCGCCGAGAACATCGACACCTACTTCATCACCGGTGGTGTGCGCGCGTTCGGCCCGGTAAGTGCTTGCCCTGCACAGCCTACCTAACCTCCCCCCTCCCCTTGCTCAACAACTTATAGAAAGACACGGCTGACTTGCTGTTTGCGTAGGGCCGCATGAACTACCACTTCGGCTTCAGCGGCCCCAGTTTCAGTCTCGACACGGCCTGCTCGAGCAGTTTCGCCGCTATCCAGCTGGCGTGCACCTCGCTGCGGGCCGGGGACTGCGATACGGTGTTTGCCGGTGGCATGAACGTGCTGACGAACCCGGACATCTTCGCGGGGCTGTCGAAGGGCCAGTTCCTGTCGAAGACAGGGTCGTGCAAGACGTACGACAACGATGCGGACGGCTACTGCCGCGGCGATGGGGTGGTGACTGTGATCCTGAAGCGGGTCGAGGACGCACTGCGCGAGAACGACCCCATCTTGGGGATCATTCGGGGCACGGCGACAAACCATAGCGCCGAGGCCGTCTCGATCACGCACCCGCACGCGGGCGCCCAGACATACCTGTTTCAGAAGATCATGAGCGACGTCGGTGTCGACCCGCGCGAGGTCGACTACGTCGAGATGCACGGCACCGGCACCCAGGCCGGCGACGGCAGCGAGATCCAGTCCGTCACCAACGTGTTCGCGCCCCCGGGACCCCAGCAGCGCGGCCCCCGCCACCAGCCCTTGTATATCGGCTCCGCCAAGGCCAACATTGGCCACGGCGAGGCCGTGTCGGGGGTCTCGGCTCTCGTCAAGGTCCTGCTTATGTTCCAGAAGAACCTCATCCCGCCCCACTGCGGCATCAAGGGCGTCATCAACCAGGGCTTCCCGGCGGATCTGCAGGCCCGCGGGGTCCAGATCGCGTCGCGGCTCACCCCCTTCCCCAGACCGACCAACGGAGGTAGACGGCGCTTGGTCTTTGTGAACAACTTCAGCGCCGCTGGCGGCAACTCAGCCATGCTGGTCGAAGACGCCCCGGAGCGGCCGCGGGTCGCGGTGAACACGAGCGCGGCAGTTTCAACCGCAGTAGTCGCCGTGTCTGCGAAGTCGCTGGCCTCGTTCGGTAATAACGCTCGCAGCCTACTCGCGTGGATTGAGCAGAACCCGGACGTGCAGCTGGCCGACCTGGCGTACACGACTACCGCGCGACGTAATCATTACACCTACCGCGTAGCCTTTGCCGTCGACAGCGTGGCCCAGCTACGGCAGAAGCTGCAGACGTACGTGGACAAGAACCCTGCTCCGCGCGCCCTTTCGCTCAGTCGCCCCCCGGCGGTAGCGTTCGTGTTCACCGGCCAAGGGGCGCAATACGCTGGCATGGGCCAAGCCCTGTTTGCGGGATGCATCCCGTTCCGGAGGCAGCTGCAGCAGCTAGACGAGCTAGCCACGGCGCAGGGCTTTCCCTCGTTTGTGGGTGTTATCGACGGGAGCTTCGTGGATCTCGCCGCGCAATCGCCGGTGGTCACGCAGCTGGCGTCGACGGCGCTGCAGATGGCGCTGGCGGATCTCTGGAAGTCGTGGGGGGTCGTCCCCTCGGCGGTGCTTGGCCACTCGCTCGGCGAGTATGCCGCCCTGTACGTGGCAGGCGTGCTGTCGGCGATGGACGCGCTGTTTCTGGTGGGCCGGCGCGCGCATCTGCTCGAGTCGGCGTGTGAGGCGCACAGCCACGGCATGCTCGCGGTGCAGGGCGCCCTGCGGGCCGCGGAGCTGCTGCGTCTCGTCGACGATGCCGCCATCGGCGTGGCGTGCCTCAACTCCAAGACGGAGACGGTCCTCGCTGGCCCCGTCGAGGCGATCGCCCGCGCGAAGGAGACGTTGGCCGCCGCTCGTCCCGACCTGCGCTGCATCTTACTCAAGGTTCCCTTCGCCTTCCACTCGGCACAGGTCAATGCCATCCTCGACTCACTCGCCCAAGCGGCCGAGTCGATCGTCTTCCATCCGCCCCGCATCCCCATCCTATCCCCCGTGTCCGCGAGTGTGATCGACCACGCGGGCATTGTGAGCCCGACATATCTCACCCGTCACGCGCGCGAGCCCGTCAACTTCGTCGGCGTGCTGGACGCCGCCGTGACGCAGGGGGTGATCTCGCCGCAGACGGTGTGGTTGGAACTGGGCCCGCACCCCATCTGCTCGAGGATGGTGCAAAGCGCGCTGGGCTCAGAGAGCGTGGTGTGCGCGGCGCTGCAGCGCAAGGAGAGCGGATGGAAGCCGACGGCGACGGCGCTGTTGACGCTCTACCAATCCGGAGTGCCGTTGGACTGGAACGAGGTGCACGCCGGGCTGGAGCAGACCAAGGGCGTGCAGGTGCTGCGCTTGCCCACGTACAGCTTCGACGAGAAGACGTACTGGTTGGACTACACCAACAACTGGACCCTGACCAAGGGCGAACGCTTGCCTGCATCGCCCAGCCCGTCCGCGGAACCGGAGCCGCAGAAATTTTCGACCACCTCCATCCAGCGCATCGTCTCGGAGACGGTCCGTCCCGACGGTGGGGTGGAGGTCGTGGCCGAAGCGAACCTCCACGAACCCAAGCTCAAGGCGGTCATCTCCGGCCATCGAGTGGGCGGCGCGCCGCTGTGTCCGTCGTCGTTGAACGCGGATATGGCTTTCACGATTGCCAAGTACGCGTTCGAGCTGGGCCAGGGCAATGACAGCGGGGTGGAGCCGCACATGAACATCTGCAGGATGGAGTCGTCGGCGCCGCTGATCCTGGACCTGCAGCGCAGCTCGCAGACGCTGACGATCCGGGGCGTCTTCGACCCCGTGCACCGCCGATGCGCGGTCTCGTTCCACACAGGCACGCTGCAGCACGCCCAATGTGAGGTGCAGTTCGAGGATGCGGCGCAGTGGGCGGCCGAGTTCCACCGGCACGCGTTCCTCGTGCACTCGCGCATCGACTCGCTGCAGCAGCGCGACCGGCCGGGCGTGCACTCACTCTACCGCGGCATGGCGTACAAGCTGTTCACCGCGCTGGTAGACTACAGCCCCACCTTCCAAGGGATGGAGCAGGTGACGCTAGACAGCGCGAATCTGGAGGCGACGGCGCGCGTGCGGCTGCAGACCACGCCGCAGGACGGGGACTTCCTCGTGAGTCCGTACCACACCGATAGCGTGGCGCATATCTCGGGTTTCGTGATGAACGCCACCGATGCCATTGACTCGGCGGCGCAGATCTACATCTCGCATGGCTGGGAGAGTATGCGTTTCGTGCGGGGTCTCGAGGTCGGTCGTGAGTACCGCTCGTATGTCAAGATGTCGCCTGTCAGCGAGGGCAGTAAGATGGTCTCGGGGGATGTGTATGTCCTGGAGGGACAGGAAATCATCGGGGTGGTTGGCGGGTTAAGATTTCAGTGCGTGCCGCGCAAGTTGATGCTCACGCTGCTGGGCATCAAGGGCAGCCCGTCTGGTGGTGGTGCGCATCAGCTGGGTACTGCGAAGGTGAATGCTGCTGCTCCGGTATCTTCGATTGGAGGCAAAGAATCCAGCGCTCCGATCCAACGCCGCGCCAGCCCGCCCAAGCCAGCACCCCAGCTGCCTACCCTGCCACTCCCGTCTGCATCGATCCTCTCCCGGGCGCTGGATATCATCGCCGCCGAGGTAGGCTGCGCCGTGTCCGAACTGGGCGACAACATCCCCTTCGCCGATCTGGGCGTCGACTCGCTCATGTCGCTGTCCATCACCGCGCGGTTCCGCGAAGAGCTGGAGATCAACCTGGGGAACTCGATCTTCCAGGAGCTCAGCACGGTGGGGGAGCTGAAAGCGCACCTGGCCGACTCCCCCACCGCACCGTTGACCGACCTCTCCTCCGACAAGGAGTCGTCCACGGAAGGGGAGCTGACCAAAGTGCACACGCCGGAGGAATCCGACGACGAAGCGGGGGTGCTCGTGCTGAGCGACATCGAAGACGACGACACCCCCAGTAGAACGGGGATGATCATCCGGGCGACGATCGCCGAGGAGCTCGGGGTCGAGCTCAGCGAGGTCGGGGACACGGTCGATCTATCACAGATGGGGCTGGATTCGCTGATGAGCCTGGCGATCCTGGGGTCGCTGCGCGAGAAGACGGGGCTGACCTTCTCTCCGGACTTTTTGATAGAGAACCCGACGGTCGAGGGGATGCTCAGCGCATTAGGGCTATCCCCATCGTCAGTGCCCAAACCCGCACCAGCACCAGCACCAGCACCAGCACCAACCAGCCTCAATCCAACACCTCCGAAACCTCTTTCTCTCCCCCCAGCCCCAATAATACTGCTCTCTGGCAACCCGAAGACTGCGACGCGCAAGCTCTTCCTCCTCCCCGATGGCTCCGGCGCCGCCTTCTCGTACGCGACTATCCCCCCGCTCGACACCGAAACGGCCGTCTACGCGATGAACAGCCCCTTCATGCGGGACCCGCACAACTTCACCTTCAGCGTCCCTGAAGTGACGAACCAGTACCTCCAGGCCATCAAATCCCGGCAACCCTCGGGTCCCTACCTGCTAGGCGGGTGGTCCGCCGGCGGCGTCATGGCGTACGAGCTGACGCGCCAGCTGGTCGCGCGCGGTGACGTCGTCGAGAAGCTCGTCCTCATCGACAGCCCGTACCCCGTCGGCCTCGAGGCCCTGCCCCCCGTGTTCCACGAGTTCTGCAACCGTATCGGCTTGTTGGGCGATGGGCAGACGAAAACGCCGGAGTGGCTGCTCCCGCATTTCCGCGCGACGGTCACCCAGCTCACGGCTTATTCGGAGGAGTTGGCCGCACAGATGCCGGTGGATGTGAAGGGGATGCCGGCGACGACGGTCATCTGGGCGAGGGATGGGGTGGTTCAGAATCCCGGGGATCCGGAGCCCAAGTGGGACAAGGGGGTGCGGATGCCGAATAGTATGGCGTGGCTGTGTGGGAATCGGCTTGATTTGGGGGAGAATGGGTGGGAGGCGTTGGTGGGGAGGGGGAAGGTACGGTGTGTGAGTATGGACGGAAATCATTTCACGATGATGAGGGAGCCGTTGGTGAGTTTTCCTCTCGTTCTCGTATTTGTTGAATCTGGGAGAGAAGGGATGGCTGACTTTTTTGGGCATAGGCTGCTGAGGTTGGGAAGTTGGTCAAGGAAGCGTTGGATCTTTAGAGGGTATATTTGTGTTGGTTTGTGCGATGGGAGGATTGGTCTGCGTTTGTGTGTTGTTTCCTTGTGGCCCATTGTTTTGTTCCGAATCTAGTGGCTTTGCTACAGTTGTATATGTTAGTTTTGTGCGATAGATTATTTGGCGGCTGCTCTTCAACAGCAGTGACACTTGCCTTGCATCGCTAGCACATCATTTCACACCTATGTAATGATATTGAGTAGTCTGAGGGTCAACAAATACTAGAGTTCCTGTTCCACAAGACCTATCGACCATGTCCCTGGCTCGCTCCTTGTGTGTGTACTGTAAAAAATTGCTCGTCGGCAATGAGGTTGGTGTGCAGGGGCAGCCCCAGAGGTACTATGATCTATGAAAGTAGTAGTAGCTGTTGTGAAATGATAAACTGTAGCATCATAGAGTTTCTTGAGCTCTTTTATGCAAGTGTGTGCAAGTTAGATGAGGAAAGAGTTGTCTTTGATATGCGCCCAGTTCACCTCAGTCGGTCTGGATCACGTGCGTGCAGCAGTGCGCGTCTGTTCATTTTTCGAAGCTTTTAGTCCACTTTTCCAAAGAAAGCTGTACCCATGAGAAACGCAAAGCCAGAGAGTGGTAGAGAGATGTATTATCAGGGTCTCAATATGTATACAAAGGCTAGTTGCTACAGACGTTGCAGGTGATGTTCTATACAGTGTTCATAGTTCCAGTAGAAGCCGCTTGATAACAACACAACTCAACTGTTTCCAAGTGAATGTGACTGAAATTTGCTAGGCGAAGAGAATCACACAGGAGAAATGCCTAATGATATACACTAAAATTATCTCGCATGCATAACACAGTCTGATATCCGCCACCCTGAAGCGTTCTCCTCCTCCCATCTTCCCACAAACAATCACCATCACCACATACACTGTCCATCGCTATCGCATTAACCTGGTTACCTCGGTAAGCTATCCCTAACACCGCAGACTGTTTTTGTTGATTATCTGACGGTGTCAACCGCTAGCTCAGGCGTCATTATGGGACCCCCAGCTGACACCCAGGCGCCGCACGAGCCGGCGTTGCCTGAAGACGAGGATATCGCCAAGTTCAATCTGACCGAGGTATACGCAGCCCTGTCGAAGATCGAGAACACAGACCAATACATCGTGGCGTGGGAAGCCGCAGCTGGAAAAGGCCCAGCGGCGAATATCCGACACCGCGAGGGCCGCCGATTGCGATACAAGCTGGACGACAAACGCAAGGTGCTGCGCGCGACTGCCAACGAGCTGTCGAGGGACAAGATCCGCCGCCTTACCCTCCTCGAGATGCCCGCTGAGGTCCTCCTCAAAGCCTTCGAGTACTTCCGCCATCCCGGCGTGGAACCAGCCTTGGTCGGGTGGTCTTGGTCGGAGCTCAACGAGAACGAGCACTCGTACCAGCGCGAGCGGCAGAACCTCTTCGACGCGCGGCTGGTCTGCCAGGCGTTTGAAGCGTGCGCCTCGCCCATCCTGTTCTCGTTCGTCGCGGTGAGCCTGTCGCAGGCATCCCTCGACCGGTTCGTCGCCCTCGCCCGCTGTCCCGGCCTGGCGCGCGCGGTCCGTGGCATCTTAATCCGACTGCCCTACCGACCCCCCGAGCTCGCCACGAACTTCATCCGATTCTATGAGCATCGCGCGAGGCTCGAACCGGCGGACTACGCAGGCTTGACGGTGTCCGAGCACCACGCCGCGTTTCACCGGGCCCACGCGGGGTATTGTCGCGCCCATGAGGAGCAACACCAGCTGGTCGCCCGCGGTGACTTTGTGAGAAAGGTGGCCGAATCGGTGGGGAGGATGTCCAACGTCATCACGATGGGAGTGACGGATCACGAGAGCAGCATCATGGACTACGCACGCTATGTAGAGTATGAGAAAGAAGGCCAGCCCGAGCCCGCCCGCCTGCACACACGTCTCCTCGATCCGCTGCCCTGGAGACACACCGAACACCCCCCCGCGAGGCTCCTCTTCGAGCTCCCCGTCGCCCTCAGAGCCACGGGCTGTGCGTTGCGGCACATCTACATTGGCGCCCTGCGGCTCGTGGACGCATTCCCGTCAGCCACGGGCCCCGATCTGGGCACGCTGGGTTCGTTCTCCGCGCCCAGCGCCGCCTGTCAGGATCTCCGCAGCGTCAGCATCGGCGATCCGTTCAAGTGGTGGGCGGGCAGCCGCGGGGAGCATCCGACCTACGACCGGGCCGCAGCGACCGAGTACCTCCACGCGATGCTTTCCAGCCGGCGTCTCGAGCGCGTGCAGCTCGCCCTGCGGCCGATGCTGGGCCCGGATTCCGAGACCTTTGACCACGAGTTCGATCTCGGCCCGCTGGTCCGCCGCGTGCAGTGGCCGTGTCTCCGCGAGCTGTCGCTGATGTGTGTGGCGATGGAGGAGGACGAGTTACGGGGGCTGCTAGAGCATCTGGAGAGCTCCCTGCAACAGATCAGCCTGGCCTACGTGCACCTCCGCACCGGGAGCTGGCCCGATCTCCTTGACACTTGGCGTGAGGCTGTCCGCGACAATCGTTATCGCCACCCCCTCCGCGTGAGTTTCAACAGCCCGTCCGAGCATGGGAGGAATTACGACTACTCGTTGACCTGGAAGCAGGCTGCTAAGTATGTCGTGGGGATGGTTGGCGTGTTTAACCCTTTTCGACCGCGTCATTCTTGGACCAAGATTGTGGATGCAGAGGAGGACGAATAAATCTCGATGGTTTGAGGCGTATCTCTGGGTTGGGCTGGAGGAAAGAGTCTCAGCCAGCACATTTGTCTTCTGTGGTCATGGCCGCTTCATACATGTCGATAACTCCTGGTCCAGGCGGCTGATATGGTCGCTACTTCCGTCTGCAAGGTTTCGAGGATTGTTTCTTGCTTGTGACACCAATCTCCTTTGTATCTAAAGAAGGCGTTCAAATAGTGCAGTCGTCACCCAAGTTCTCTCCAAATACTAGATAGTCTTCTCGTAAGACAGTCTCACGGTAACAGGCCAGCTGATTCCACACCAGTTCTGTGGACTCTACCAAGAAAGCATCAACAAATACTCTCACGGGCATAAACGCCGGGGTGAGAAGCCAGAAGGCTACGTACTACGTATTGGCTACGAACTCGCACATGTCTACCAGTGTCAGACAAAGCATTTACCTCCATTGGATTGCACCCAGGATAGAACAGTTCCAGACACGGAACAAAGCCTCCAGCTGTGCGTAGTAAACCTAGTGAAATCCGACCAACTGAGTTTTGTCAAGGAAAGAAGAAGGAAGAACCCAGATCTCGATTTTGTTCAATGTAGCCATCGCAATTAGATATGAATTCAGCCAGGAAGGAAGGTCAAAACAGGACTAGCATATCGCCCCGCCACCATAAACTCTAGCCCTGCAACACCTACACCCCCTTCCCCAACTCCTAGTCTTTCCCATCTCTGATCCATGTCAGCTCCGAACTGCCTGCTCCAACACAAACCCACCGACTCACCCGGTAAACTCACTTAGAAACACTGCAATACCAGTAACTAGCACCGGCATGGACGACGCGGGACTCGCACTTGGACTTGTGGGGACAGTCGCAGATCCAGATGGGCTTGGGGGTCTTGACCTGACACAACGCCCCCAGCCCGCCGCAGTAATGCTTCTCGTCGGCTGGGAAAGAGGTCTGCTCGTCGTCGAGGATCTGGATCTGCAGAGGGTTGGCGAGGATGCAGGTGAGGAAGGTTGGGAGGAGGAGGGCGGAAAGTCTCATCTTGTTTGGTATAGATGAAATGCCAGTGCAATACAGTGGGCTTGGGGAAGGGATAAGCTAAAGGACAGAGGGGGATAGTTGGGCAATGTCTGGAATTTATGTTCAAAGCTCATGGTTTATAGCTCAAGGTTGAGCATGCACGCCAGAATACAAGATCAAGGTTACGTCCATGATGCCTCTCTGTCAGATTCGTCCAACCGTGAGGGTTGCTTATTTTGTCATACATGGGTTATCCCAGATCATACCCGTTCAGAGCGGAGGTTAAAGACCAACTAAAAAGCCGCTGAGGATAGACAAGCATCTCACCCCCACTGCCGATTGCCATCTTGTCTGGGCCTAATTAACGTTAGAAAGCACACAGACCTGACGATCGGCACCCCGATCGATCCGGCGATTTGGCCCATGGGAACGAGATGCGAATGCTGACCCTATGCACCCTACAGAGCACTAACTGACGACAATCATGCCGCTGACGACACATGCTGCCATGTATGACATGGCTTGGGATACTCAATCTGCCGCGTCAAAGTTCTAGCGTGCAGATCTCCCCACCCTAAGTGAAAGAGAGAGATACAGAAAAAGCTACTGTCAAGTCCTCTGACATGGCAAGATAACCAGCACAGCTTTTAAAAAAGATCATGATAATCAAGCCTACCCAGGTAGTACCCACCAGAAAATACTTGAAGAGCGGCCATCGAGCAGATTGCTAGTATCATCAACATCCACATCATTTACTCTAAGACTTAGGATTCAAGTATTACTGGGAAGCTGAAAAGAAGGGGGTCCGGGGGTCTCCCCCGGGAAGTCTTACTTAAAGACATTGCGCGGTGGCCAAATGACTGTGAGACAGAGATTGTCATATTGCGGGCGCAGCAACGGGTGGAGCATCGCAATATATGCCTGGGGTCCACTGTTCGTGTCAAAAGGCTCATCCTAACCTTCGTGCCACCTGAACTGAGACAGATTCTGGCTTGGCTGAGAGTGTGTCTGCAGATGAGTGGCAGACTGGACCGAGCGCACTGTAAGGAGAAGTGACAGGCCTCCAGCGTGTGAAACACGGCATATTTCCGAAGTTCCGAGTCACATCTGCGCGATAAGCGATATGATAACCAAAACAGCAAGTGGTCGTATAATTGGCTCGGAAAGATTGGCCCATTTGGATGCTCGCCCCACCGGGACTGTCCGTCCAGTCCTCGCCATTCCGGCCTGCAATGGCAAATCGCGCAGAAATCTGCCGGCCGGTCGAGAATCTCTGTGGTTTGCCAGCACAGCACATTAATTGACAGTGATAATGTTGCTATGCAGGTAGTCGTGGAGGCAATTATGACCATCATTGCTCCAACCAATCGGTAAACTAGTATTCCGACCGACTGAACCTGAATTGAGCGCGGTCATCGGCCAACCAGCTGCGAAAACCCCTGAAAATAGCCCGGAGGCACGCGACTCTAGTCGAGGCTTGGCCTATCCAGAGCTAGAGCTTAGCAGTCTAAGGGGAGTCTGGAGCCCTCCATTTCCCAATTTCAGATGGCGAGTGAGTGGAATACGAGGTATGAGACACTGAAAAACCGCGGTGCACTATCGGGTTCTTAGGGCTGGACCTGGTTTGCTCAGATTTTGCGCGACCCACCGCAAATCGAATCTCCAGCACCGGGAAAAGCCTCAGCGCTCAGCCCTATTTTAGTGCTGATTGCATCCAGAGACCAGCCCTCTGCTGGCGCCCCTATTGGCTTCTGCATGATTGCATTCAAGGAATAAGTAGACCCCAGGCCCGATGGCCCCCCTGTTAAACAGTGCAATGGACCGACACCGGCCCTGAAAGGCTTGAAGGGCAACGTCACCTTCCCTGAGGCCCCCCTCTTTCTCCCAGGCAGAAACAATCCGGTCTCTCTGGAGTCCGGACAGAAGAAGACGCTCCTGCGCACAAGAACACGCTGCCCGCCCATGCAGTTCCGACCTGCACCTTCAACAAGATGCTGGCGTGGTCAGAGCCCAAGCTGCTGCTATCGCAGAGGATGAATCTCCTGACGACGACGCTGCTGAACCCCCGCAACTTCCGACTAGTCATCGCCGCTCTGGCAACGACCTGCATTCTCTCCGTCCTGCTCTTCTTCCCCCCAGGGTCCCAGACCCCCACCACTGCCCTAGACATCGGACAAGCGTCGACAGCGTCAGCAGACCACCAAACCAGCACCGTCAACTTGACCTCGACCTCGACCACGACCACTGTCGACCTCACGCCAGCCGAAGCCGACCTCCTCACCGACCTCACGCAGTACTTCACCGACCACCCGATCCAGAAGCCCTACAAGGAGAAATACGGCGAGCTGGGCCGCCGCCTGCGCGTCGTGCGGGGCTGGTTGACCCTGTCGCAGACGAGCGGCAGCCCGACCACGCGCGCCCTCTACGCCGACGCCGTCGAACAAGTGGCCCGCACGCAGTTCCCCTTCCTCACCCACCCCGACAACCCTCTGATTGAACCGATCGCCCACCTCCGCGCGAGCTTCGAGCCCCAGAGCGCGGGGATCGTCATCCCGACCAGCGACAAGACCGTGCGGTACGCGGCGCACCTGATCGGCGCACTCCGCTCGGTGCTGCACTCGACCCTCCCGATCCAAGTGGTCTACGCGGGCGACAGCGACCTGTCTGCAGCGCACCGGGACCTCCTTGCGACGCTGGCCGGCCCCGCGGGCCCAGCCATCGAATTCCTCGACATTTTGACGGTCTTCGACGACGCGACCCTCCAACTCCGCACAGGCGGATGGGCGATCAAGGCGTTTGCGGCGCTGGCCTCGCGGTTCGAGACGGTGATCCTGGCGGACGCGGACGCGGTGTTCCTGCAGCGGCCGGAGGTGCTGCTGGGGCACGAGGCCGTGCGGCAACGTGGGGCGCTGCTGTTCCACGACCGGCTGCTGTGGCCGCACGCCTTCGAGGGGCGGCATCAGTGGTGGCACGACCAGATCCGGCGGCCGAGCGGCACGTTGAACGCCTCGCGTGTGTGGACGGAGGCGTACGCCGAGGAAGGCGATTCCGGGCTCGTCGTGCTGAACAAGGGGCGCGCGGATGTCTTGGTGGCCTTGCTGCATATCTGCTGGCAGAACTCGTACGAGGTGCGCGAGGAGACCACGTATAAGATTACCTATGGCGATAAGGAGAGTTGGTGGTTTGGCTTGGAGTTGGCGGGCGCGGAGTATGCGTTTTCGCCGCATTATGGGGGTATTGTCGGGTGGGAGAGGGAGGAGGAGGTGGATGAGCTGGGGGTGGTGGTGCAGGGGAGTGGCGGTGGCGGAGTGTGCAGTTTTGTGATCGCCCATGTCGATGCGAAGGATCGCTTGCTGTGGTATAATGGGAGTCTGTTGAAGAACAAGGGCCAGCCGGGCATGGAGAATGAGTACCAGGTGCCAGACAAGTGGATGATCGATGCGGACTGGATCAAGGGGGCGCGAAAGCAGGATCAGAGCTGTATGGTGAATGGGGTCGTCAGGGACTTGACGGATGAGGAGAAGGGGATCTTGGAGAGGTCGATAGAGTTGGCCAAGTCGGTGGATGGGTTGGTGCAGTCGGTGCAGTCGGTGCAGCCGGTATGAGGTATGAGATACCCGGGTTGCTTGCTGGGGAGCCATGCAGTCATCGAGCGTTCTGTCCGAACGGATGGACGATACATACATTATTCGCATTTGCTTGTACATATAGATGATCCAGATGATATCCAATACATTTCTACATTTCTACTTTCTGTGATACGCCGGCATCCAATGCCATCCACACACCGTTTGCAAGATAGCTACTATGGAGAGCGATGCGGAAGATGAGGCAATATGCGAGTGAAGGCGAGCGAGGGACAAAAGTCGGACGAGAATCGGGGATGAGGATGAGGGGGGGGGTTTATACTCCGGGCGGCACTGCGCGACTTCCCGATTCGGCATCGACGGGAATAGACGAGGATACTAGGTATGAGAATGACTGGTACATCAAAGCAATCGTGATCGGTTGCAGACAGAATCCAGTTCATGTCTGCCGGAACGACCCGAATTACGCGGTCAGTGACAGTGACCGAGAAATGGCCGACCGGGTCTAGACTCGTGGAGGAGCAGTCATACTGGCGAATGGTGGCAAAGATATTTGGAGCTTGCTGTCACCGCCGGGTGTGATTCTGCCACTGCGGCAAGTTTCTTATTGCACGAAACAGTTGTTGGGTAGCCTCACTAAGCATGAAAGTGATGTGATGTCGGTGACAATTTGCTATTGAGGTTCAATTTCAGACAACGCCATGTTGGTTAGGATCCTCTGACTATACCACAAGAAGTATATGCGCGGGGTACTACTCTACCACTAACTGCCAATTTATATAGCGAGCGAGCGCCGGTGACACTGGTATGAGATCCTCGACATCTCATACATAATGACTAGCCCACTGAATGAAATAGTGCGGGAATCCTAGCAGATGATAGTAGAACATCCTGAGGTACTAAGTAGAAGCGATTTGATCCAGAAACCAGAACGTGACGGAATTACTGTGCGAAACCTGATGCTATGCGATGCTATGCTATGCTATGCTATGCATGTAATCCGGCGATAAACGCGCTTAACACCGGATGATCGCCGTCAGCAACCCCGCAATCAAGTACACAACGTATCATTGTTTATAACCAACACCAGCCCCCCGCAATCCCTCGCACACCCAACGCACAACACATCCGCAAACACCATGACAACTGCACCCTCCGTCTTCCGCCCCGGGGCCACAGCCCTCATTACCGGCGCCGCCTCCGGGATCGGCTTCGCAGCCGCGCAACACTGCCACCAGCAGGGGATGAACCTGATCCTGCTGGACATCGACCCCGCCAAACTGACCGAGGCCGCCAACGCGCTGGACCAGCCCCAATCCACCAGCAAGATCCACACCTTCGTCCTCGACGTCTCCAACCAAGAAGCCTGGGAGCGCCTGAAACCCACCATCCACAACCTCTACCCGGACGGCATCGACCTCCTTATGCTCAACGCCGGCCGCCTTGCCCGACCCGCCCCCGGCAAAACCCCCTGGCAGGACCCGAGCTACTTCGAAAGCACCTTCGCAACCAACACCTTCGGCTACACGAACGGGCTAGCCGCCTTCCTGGACAGCGTGACCACGTCTGCCCCCGAGAAAACCCCCCGCGCGATCATCCTCACCGGCTCGAAGCAAGGCATCACCAACCCCCCCGGCAACCCGGCGTACAACGCCTCCAAGAGCGCGGTCAAGACCATCGCCGAACATCTCGCGTTCGACCTCCACAGAACCCATCCGCAGGTCGGCGTGCATCTGCTCGTGCCCGGCTGGGTGTACACCGGCATGGTGCAGGCGCATTTCCCCGCTAAGCCGGCCGGGTGCTGGACGCCTCAGGAGACGGTCGCGTTCATGGTCCGCAGGATGGCGGCGGGGAGCTTCTATATCATCTGTCCGGATAATGAGGTCAGCGAGGAGCTGGATAAGAAGCGGATTGCTTGGGCTTGTGCGGATATCGTGCATGATCGGCCGGCGTTGACGCGGTGGCGGGACGATTGGAAGGAGCGGGCGGCTAAGGGGATTGAGGAGTTGGATGTGTCGAAGTGAGGGGGATGATTTGTGTGTGGAGGTGGAGGTTGGATGGATTGGTGTGTAGGGTATGGATAGGCTGGGTGACAGTGTTGAGCTAGCTCAATGTTCTGTTCTATTGACTTGGTACCCATTTATGCATGCATACGCAGTCGTATAGGAAGCTGATCGTACACTTTCATTAGTCGGTTATTATTAGTCAGCAGGATTATGTCCACAATCGTCATGCATAATTCAAACCCACAGATCTACAGTGGCGCTACAGTGGCAAATCCTCAACCCCAGGCGCACTCCACGAAAACACATCCATCATAGAAAATAGATATTATACTATCGAAATACAGGGCACACGCCCGGGAAGTAAATGTACACCACACAAAACAAGCCATGCCATCCCATTACAATATAGCACAACATGGAAACACCCCTCGACCAACCCGGGTCAGCTAACCAGCGCGGGCTGCTGCGCATGCGCATGCCCGTACAGCGGCCAGCGCCGCCGCCCAAACACAATCCGCGACGTATATCGCTTGGTCTTGCGCATCATCGCCGTGCCCCCAGCAACAACGGCAACGGATGCTTGTCTGGGGCCCTCGTCGCTGTCGCTGACGAGATTCAGGCCCCCGCCGTGGGGGGCGGCCAGGAGGTTGTGTTGGGAGGCTACGCGTTTCAGCCCTGCTCCGCTATTTTTCCGCGCTGGAGCGGGGCCACCGGCGGATGATGTAGATGTGGATGTGGATGTAGAGGCGGAGGCAGAGGCAGAGCGTCGCCGGACCATTGCCCGAACGGCACCAGTGATCTGTTCGCGGATCACAGTGACTGGCGGGGCCGTCTCGACAGGCGAGCTTGTGTATGAGCGGGGATCATCGAACTCCTCTTCCTCGTCGATGGCGTCCTCGTCTTCGAGGGAGAAGGCGGCCATCTGGGCGCGGACGGCCAGTTGGGCCGCTTCGATGGAGCGGTGCAGGAGGCGCTGATGCGCGAGGCAGCGGCGAAGGTCGGGGCTTCTGGTCGCGGTCTCGCGCTGGAGCTTGTTGCGCGAGAGGAGGACGATGTGCGTGGGGATTATTGTTGAGGCACCTGAGGAGGATGTGCTGGTGGTTGTGGTAGTGCGGCGGGCGATGGGGGGGATGCGGGTGTTGAGTGTGGGGGTAGAGGGAGAGGTGAGGCGGGAGGCGTGGCGGAAGAAATGGGGGGCTTCCATGATGGTTATCTTGCGGTTGTTGGTGGGTTTATGTGGATGAAATTGGGATTTGTTATAGAGTGCAAGGTATTGGTTGTGGGAGGTAGTCGGTTCGTGGTGTTGAAGTATAGAATGGTATGAAGAAAGACTAGTGCGAAGGACAGGCAGCACCAGGCTGTTTCAATCAAGGTATCTCGACTCGGGTAGTGCGTTATTCTCGTATTAACATGTCTGATCGTGTGAAAGTGAAGATTTGTTCTCCCCTGATTCAGGGACCGAGGGAGTGGTCAGGGGATACTTTATACCCTCTCCCCGGACCCTGCAGGGCAAGCAACAAAGGAGGGGTGTGCCCGTCTGCATGAAGCTAATGGATCCTTCAAGCGGAGCCAGTGGAGCGCGGTGGCTCGAGCATCCGTCCTCACCACCCCCTGATCCTGTTGCAGCACTGTAGGTAGGGCTTGATGTCGGCCGACGCCGATGGTCCAGGCTTTGTCCCTACTGGCGGGGCCGGGGCACCGTCTTCGGCCGTAGGAACGATGCAAAGACAATTTCAAATGATTAAAGTCAGCCCCAGCTACCCGTCTGGAACTGGTCAGTGCTGATCCCCCAGGCAATCGAGGATTGGTCGGCTTGCACTGTCGAGTGGCGAGCCAAGGGTGTCATATGCGTCATAGACTTGCGGGTTCCCCGGGGGTGTCGTCGGTCTATCGATAAGGGTTTACACGAAGGGTCGCTCGGCTCTATCGAATCATACGACTTGTTCGCCATCGAGAGAGGACTATTGCGGGCTGGACCCGGTTGGGCCAGACTGGGTGGTCGAGGCTATTCGCGGGGATTCGGAAGCGATGAAGGGAGAGAGGGTGGTTGAAGTCTTTGTCACCTGGTGGAGTGTAACCCTAATCCCGATGCGGACACCCTTGACGAGTTCCGACACGGTGTCTGACAAGACGACTACTATTGCATTCACCTCCTGAATATTGTGGAATCAGCCTTATTCAGGGTGCTTGATCTTCACGTCTACATGCAATCCATGATGCAGTAACTCGATGGTCTCCGTGGGGCATATTTCTACTCCACTGCACATACCGTCGCAATCCCCACCCGAATCTGCTCGCTCATGCTCGGCGCAATCAGTGCAGATCCCCAGCAGCACCAGAAATCAAATCAGACAAGTGTATCATCACCAGCAAACATCGCAAACAACACTCTTGAATCATGTACGCGCCGAAACAGGCAGGAGGCAGGAGAGCAAGCGCTGGGGCGACCAGCACCGTTAGCTTTTCCGCACGCTCACTTCCATGGGACCAAGGTCTTTGACTTTGACAGCAGCAAACGAACCCAACCGCAGCAGCAGCTTGCTCGAATGAGCCGCAAGCGAGAATCAAAGAGATAGGCTAAGCTATAGGTCAAAGGGCCAGCAGGGTGCACGTCCCCCATCGGCGACGCCGACAACCCACGACCCAGCCCATGGGTGACGGGCGTGGACGGGCGGCGAGTGGATTTCCGCAAGCGGCAACTGGACCCTACATTCCAGCCTCAACCATGGATCTCCCGCAAGGGAACATTTGATCTTGCCCAAATGGACATTGAATGCTGTCGGGCCAAGCCGCCGTCGCAAAGTCAATGTCAACGCACGCAGAAAAGGGGTGGACGATCGAAACCGCGATCAACAGTCCTGTCTACGGAGATAGGAAACCGACACTCACACGCTCACTGGCAGAGCGAAGTGACAACAAAATCAGGGCAGGGGCAGCACGGAGTCACAAGACCGCGATCATCCCCAGACTTTTGTGAAGGAAAGACCAAATAAGAAAACTGAAAAATTAGATATTAACAATAAGAGACCCAAACCAGATATGAAACAAAACCTCACGTCATACATAGATACCGTTGAAGGGACATCAATATCCAAGATCTATCATCATCGAAACTCCCCGCTCTCCGAGCCTCCTGTTCCCCACATATCTCTTCCCCCCCCCCCCCCCCGGCGGGCATGACGATCATAATACAAACGCGGTGACATTAATTTCCAGTAATCTTTTCTTCATGATTATAGCACGAACCCCAGCCCCAACCAGACGATCAGCACGGGGATCAGCAACGCCCGCAACTCCGCCCGAGTCGACGACCAGGCGGCGGCGGCGCCGGATTTCTTGGAGGTACCGTTGCTCGAGCCATTGCCCGCGGACAGGTTGGTCAGGTTGCTGCCCACCCAGGCGTTCCAGTTGGTCATGTTGTTGTTGCCGCAGGTGGTGCTGATGGGCTGGCCGGCGACGCGGGCGAGTTCTTGCCCGTCGCGCGTGAGGGTGACGATGACCTCGCCGGTGCGGTTGTCCATCGGCACCGAGCCGAAGTACATCCCCTTGTCGCCGTCGGGGGTGTCGGACCAGTCGACCGATTCCGACTTCCCGTCGATGCTGACCGACACCTCGGCGGCGGACTCGAGCAGCGCCGAGAAGAAGATCGTGTCCGTCAGCACCTCGCCTGGCGGCAGCACGGTCTGGCCCTGCGAGGCCGTGTTGCCCGTCGTCTTGCCGGCGGCGCAGGCCCACGACGGGGACAGGCGATACCAGGCGACGAGCCCCTCAGACTCGATGGTCGAACTGCCGTCGCCGCCGGTCTTGTACTCGTCGATGACGTACGGCAGGAAGGCGCGCCAGCCGTCGTGCGGCATGCCGACGGCGTAGTCGAAGGGGGCGCCGCCGGACACGAAGGTGCCGAGGTCGTGGTCGTGGATGGGGCCGATGTAGTGCGACTCGCCGAAGTCGTTCCAGGTCAGGATCTCGACGTACTCGGGCTCGAGCTCGGCAACCTGCTTCCAGCGCGTGTACCACAGGTCGTCGCCCTGCCAGACCCAGTTCTTGTTGTAGCGGACCATGTTGGTGTAGAACCAGGGGGAGACGGGCATGATGTAGGGCCGGTCGGTGCCATTGGAGGACTTCAAGACCGACAAATAGCGCTCGTCCATCGAGGTATTCAGCGCCGCCGTCCCGTCCGGCCAGGCGTTCCAGCTCATCAGCCCGTCGGCCACCGTCGCCGCCGCCAGCTTCTCCGGCAGCACGCTGGACCAGTCCGGCACGAAGAAGCAGTCGACCTTCTTCTTGATGTTGACCCAGTCGCCCTGCGCCTCGTAGCCCTCGAAGGTTGAGACCAGCGGCGTCTCGTCGTTGTGCTTGTAGTACGCCGGCAGCTTGGTGTAGTTGCTCAGCCACGTGATGACCTGGTCCTGCGGCCAGTGGCCGTCACCGCTGTAGTCCAGCGAGAAGAAGAGCTTGAAGTCTAGATCCGCCGCCGCCGTGAACGCGTCGTTCAGGATCTGGCCCGCGTACGGGCTGCCGTAGCCCATGTTCAGCGCGAAGGCGTCGATCTTGGCCGCCTGCGCCAGCGTGATGTCTTCCTTCCAGTTATCGACGGTGAAGTTTTGACTATTGGCCACCTGTGTATTCGGGTACGTATCAGCAAGATGTCTTTCATCGGACGGAGATGAACTGAGAAAGAGAGAGTCCAACCATGAAGTGAGCGAAGACAGCCTTAGCCTGCGCATGGCAGGCCAGTGCCACTACCAGGGCAATGATCAATGCCATAGTACTGTACCAGCGCGAGAGACGAACACGACCCGATCTTATCGTAACTGTCCGTACACTGTGCCAGAGACCCGAGAAAAACCCAGCAGAAGAAAAGTAGGATGGCACGGGGACATCGGAGTTGATATGGGCCACCCAAGCCCAGCCAGCTCGCGCTCGACTCTGTACAGTCCATCCTGATATTCAGGGGGACTAGCCCATAAAGGAATTACCTCAATGGGGCACAAACAAATATAGCATCTACAGTAGACAGCCTAATTGAGTTTTGTTTCCACACTCGAGTTGCACGGCCTGAGCACCACCTGTCAGAGACAAGGCGAATCCGGGAGAAGAGGGAAGAGGATCCGGTGTTCCCCCCCCAGTGCGTGAACTATTGGAAGCGGTCTGTCAGCAATGATTTTCACGTATACCCTCGCAAGAATCAAAAAAACAGATTTATAATTGGCGAAAGCTCCCCTCGCTTGCGAGTTGATCATTGGGCGACAAGGGCCACCGGGTAATGCCCACTCTTCCATCAGGGGGGATGTGTGTGTGGTGGATGGCCAACGGACAGACAGACAGACGACACGCAGCTGCGAACACCCTCTGTGTGTTGCTGCGCGAATGGGGACAGATGATTAACCCCGGATTGATTGACAGGGCAGGGCAAGTCAAATGGTTCGAGAGTGGAGCCAATTATTGCAGCATAGACCTCCAGGCTACTGCATTGGGGAGGCGTATTATTGTTGTTGATATGGACCATCGAATGTGATGTGTCCGGCGCCAGCATACTGCTTTGGGAAGGGATTGAGGCCACAGGCGGAAGAGTTCGTGTACTGTACGGAGTAGGTTACCAAAACAAACCCTAATCACAGCGATCAATCATCAATGTATGACAGGTCCCTTGTCGTGGATGGAGGCAATGGGGCGCGTCTCTTCTCGCACCGGTGTGGAAACCCACTGACTATGGTGGAAAACCCACTGGATAATTGTGTTGTATTGTTTCAGTGCTATAATGGAATACGAAAAAGGTCTCACATTCTTCCCAAGACACGCCATGATCATGAATCAAGCCCAGATCGGATATTGGTTGGCCCTACGCCACCGTGATTCACATTGATCGGGTGGCCGATGGGGGAAGATCAGAGTCGTAAGCCTGTAGTTGTCCTCAATATACAGTGCACTGGGTGCATGTAGTAACTTATGTGCATAGGTAGTTGGTTGGTTATCAGACATCAGACACGCTGGCCAAGAGCTGCGGCCTGCGGAAAACCGCTTGCTCACCGGCTCCCGTGGGGAAAAAGAGGAAGGGAACGGTGGAGCCCTTGTCGCGAAAATCACTCCAGCCGAGTCCCGAGTTCCCGACACCTGCAAAACCGGTGGCCGTTGGCCATTGGCAGCCCACCGATAGTCCGTCCCATGGTGAATCATGCGACTTGGTGAGGGAGTCAGTCTACGTAAGAAAGCAGAAAGTTGCAGGCCGAGGTGCAGCTTTGACGGCGGCGAGCACGAGTTCGCCGCTCGCTGTTCGGACCACAACAAACGACTATGCAACTGTTGCATTCATCCTACGCATGGAATATTTTCCTTCTACTACCTCGCCACCAGTCCAATGCAACTGGTGACTTGGCTCTGACAAGTTGTGGTGGTGTGCATTCTTTCCGTTTTTCTTCCAAGAAGAAATACAAAGTCTTTTGTGCGCTATGTTTACGGAAGTTACTGGGTAGCATCCATCTCTCTGACTTGTCACCGGTCGCAAAACTTAATTGGCGCAACAAAACCTGAAAACAATCCACTCAGCAAACCGCGTGCGTTTTCCCGGTCTTACCCTGGAGCGAATGTTTTTCGTGCTTGTAGACCGGATGGCCCTGGGGTCCGCGAGTCGCGTGCGTCTGGACGTAGGTCCTGTATCGCATGATCATCGTCTCGTCCATCTCCTCGAGCGACTTCAGTGCCTGGCGAATGTCCTCGACCAGCAGGTTACAGCGATGGATGCTGAAGTCCTCCCGCAGGACAATCCGCATCATCTTCAGCGCGTTGCAGTTGGGGGCCATGGTGTAGGCGGGGATCACCCATCCCCGCCGACGCAGCACATGGGCCAGGGAAAACTCGTCGTAGAGACGGCCCTCCTTCTCGGGAAATCTGTATGCGACCAACGGAAGCCCGCGACCGTTGCCTTCGCTCATGATGATGAAGCCCAGTTTGCCCAGTTCCGAGGCCAGGTAGTCGGCGATTTGAGTCAGGTTGGTCATGATTGAGCGATAACCGTGCTTCCCCAGCCGGATCAACTGATAGTATTGACCAATGACGTGCGAGGCGCCTTTCGAGAAGTTCAAAGTAAAGCTGGCTTGATCGGCGCCGAGATAGTTGATGTTGAAGATCAACTCTTTGGGCAGATACTCCGGGGCACGCCAGAAGACCCACCCGACACCGGGATAGACCTGTGGGAGAGAATCCGTGTCAGCACTAATTGATTCCCTGGCGAAATAGCATCGTGATTGGTCAAGTTTGAGCTCTGTCTATCCGGTGTATGCTGCGACACCTACCAATCCATATTTATGGCCTGAGACATTGATCGAGACGACCTTCTCCAATCGAAAGTCCCATTCCAGCTCCGGTTTCACAAACGGCACGACAAACCCGCCACTGGCGGCGTCCACATGGATCGGGCAGTCGATATTTTTGGCCACCAGCAGATCATTGATCGCCTTGACGTCCTCGTACTGGCCCGTGTAGGTGGTGCCCAGGATGGCGCAGATGCCGACCGTGTTCTCGTCGATCAGGTCGACCGCGGTGGCCGGGTCGATGACGTACCGCGTCTCGGTGCAGTAGACGTACTTCTCCTCCACCTCGAAGTACCGCGCGGCTTTCTCCCAGCAGACCTGCACCGCGCTGTTCATGATGATGTTCGGCCGCGACCAGTCCTTGCCCGCCGCCTTGCGCTGGTTCTGCCAGCGCTTCTTCATCGCCAGCATGGCCAGCATGATCGCCTCCGACGACCCGACCGTCGAGGTCCCGATCGCGTCCTCCTCCGTGCCCTCTTGTCCGGTGGTCGGGGCGTGGAACAGGCCCGCGATCATGTTCACACAGCGGTTCTGGATGTGCGCCGATTGCGGGTACTGCTCGTAGTCGATGAAGTTCTTGCTCATCGCGTCGGACATGAGGGTTTGCACTTCGTCTTCCTGCGTTGGATTAGCAACGCAGCGCCAGTCTGCGGACGGTGGAGAGGGTGACTGACCATGTAGGTGGTGACGAAGCTCGCCAGACTGGGGATTCGGAAATGGTTATCATCACTTTGCTTGCTAAGCTAAGTGCAGGGAAGGGCCATTACTTGAGCAGCGGATTGCCATCGAGACTCAGCTCGTCCTTGATCATCCGGTATGCGACGCTGGCCGGCATCTCTTGCTCCGACATTGCATGCTCGGGCAGCTCCTCCACCGCGTAATGTGTCCCATAGACATTGGCGGACGCCTCGGACGCCTCAGCGTCACGCTGCTCGCGTCGATGACGGTGGGTTTGGGATTCTTTGGCGATTGATGAAAGATGGACCATCGTTGCTACTACACAGATCAAATTGAGTCGGTGTGCGTTGGACTGACACGAGCAGTGCTTCGCGCGACCGTCGGTCTTTATAAGGGGGCGTATGGTTGTACCGAAACTCTGTGCTCCGGGATGACCTCACCACTCCCGCATGTGGACGGACTTGGTTATACCTCGTGTTAATTCTCTCGAATATGAGCAACCGAAAACCTTTGTCATGGAACGACCGACTGTGCCATTGGTGTTGCTACACCGCGCAGCGTGTGTTACCTTGAGATAGTAGTCCATCACGTGACGCAGGGTGAGCGTTGCTGACCATGTTAGTTTCTGCCTTGTCGCGTAGTCGGTTGCTGATCGTGCTGCCATCAACTAAGGACGGATCGTAATCATATCTGATTGTCATATCTGATCATTCACGCGCGTCACCAGCGATGGTCAGTTTTCAACCCCGGAGACGGCGATGGAGTTAGCGGCGGAGATAAGATCAGTGGCAGGGTCCTGAGACTCGATATCCACCGCAATCGCCGACTGCCTGTATATCTTATATCAATGAGTGCGGTAAGGCCTCCTGAAGAGGGTTGAGCCCGTGTTCCAGAATTGATTCATCATCAACCAAGCCTCTCCCATTCCTACACCGACAATGACGGCTCCCGGGAAATTGCCGACCCGTCCGCTGGGCAGACACGGGCCTCTGCTTCCTCGCATAGGGTTGGGGCTGATGGGCGCCAGCGGCGTGTACGGTATGCCGCTGGATGATGACAGAATTCTCAACTTGCTGGACGAGGCATACGCCCGAGGTGAGACGTTTTGGGACACCGGTATGTGCTTCAAAGATGCGTGCCGTAGCATCGAGCTCGAATGAGGTGGAATGAAGCGGAATGAATTTGCTGACGAGCTTCAGCCGATAAATACGGCGCGTCTGAAGAGATCCTCGGGAAATGGTTCGCCGCGAACCCGGAAAAGCGCCAGCATGTCTTCCTGGCCACCAAATTCGGGATTCGCCCCTCCTCCGAATCCCCGCACGGATACAAGATGGACTCGACGCCCGAGTACTGTCGCCAGTCGCTGGAACGATCGTTGAAACGCCTGGATCTGCCCTATGTGGACTTGTACTACGTCCATCGCTTGGACAAGATCACCCCCATCGAGAAGACGATGGCAGCCCTGGTGCAGTTGAAGCAGGAGGGGAAGATCCGGTTCATCGGGCTGAGCGAGTGCAGTGCCGAGTCATTGCGCCGGGCACATGCAGTGCACCCCATCACCTGTGTGCAGGTGGAGTACAGCCTATTTTGCTTGGCCATCGAGTCTCCTGCGATTCGACTCCTGGAGACCGCACGGGAGTTGGGGGTGGGGATCGTAGCCTACAGCCCCCTCGGAAATGGGCTGTTGGGCGGAAATCTGCGTTCCCGCCAGGATGTCAGTCGGCCCGGCGATTCACGGGGAGTTTTGCCGTGGCTGCATGAGAAGAACATCGGCAAGAACCTGGCGGTTGTGGACAGAATCGCCGACATGGCCAGACAGAAGGGTATCACGGCTGCGCAACTGGCGCTGGCCTGGATCTTCGCGCAGGGCGACGACATTTTCGCCATCCCAGGCACCACGAAAATCGAGCGATTGGCGGAGAACCTGGGATGTGTCTCAATTTCTCTTGCGGGGGATGAGGAGCGCGCACTCCGCTTGTTGGTTAAAGAGGTTGCTGGGATTCGGTTTCAAGCGCTGACAGGATATGACTTTGCGAATACCCCGCCGCTGGAGCCCTCCCCGTCTGCAAAGAAGGACTAGAGTAAATAAGAGATCATCTAATCTGTATTGGCAAATGAGAATCAATTGAGTTGCGAGTCAGATTGCTGTCCACTGTAAGATCCCGGTAGCACGGCATTGCTGTCCCGGATCCAAGCGTTGAAGAAGTCCATCTCTGAGTAGTTCGGGTGATCCTGTGTCTGACTGGCAGTCGAGAAAAGAGCATTGTCGGAAATCCCACCATCCAAACCCATGTTGTTGACTAAGAACGTCGAAGTCGGGTCTGCCACCGCCATCATCGGACTTTCACCAATAAACCTGGCCGGCCGACGCAGGATGCAGAAGGATCCAAAGTACGGTATCTCCAGTTTCAGGCGGCACTCCGCAGTTTCAGGGACCTCGTTGGCCTGCAGGACGTAAAACTCCGCCCCGTCTGCCGCTTCTCCCTCGATCATTCTCAGGTTTCGCACAACGCCGATCGTCGGGCTGGTCAAGTGATTTCGCAAACATAGCCGCTCCAGTATATCGATGACGTTGTCGACAGTCCTCAGATCCAAGGGCCGTTGGTGCTCCAGGGCATTCGCGCGACCCAGGTTATGTCCGTCGATGTGGATGATCAAGAGCGCTGTTGCTGCCACGAAGGCCTTGTTATCCAACCCGTGATAGGACATCATCGGGTGCTCATCGCGGAAGGCCAGACATCGAGTCAGCACTTCCCGGCTGGCGGAGAGAATCGCGAGCTTCTTGTACCCATGGTCCCCGGCCGAGAGGACGGAGATCACACTGTCCGCCTCTCTGGAGCGTCCCAGATGTTGAACAAAGTATGGCTGATAGAGCATGATGAGAAGGTAATGGTGGTGCATCTGGGTGATGATCTGCGCGATGGCCCCCATTTTCTCCTCCTCAGTCACCTGATTCTCCAGCACCGGCGGATCCCACCACGCGAGCGGCAAATATCGGATCGCTTTCCTCAACTCGTAGTCAATATCGTCGGTCTCTTGGAAATCATCAAACCCAACTTCTTCCCTTTGTCCGAGCGAGCCGAAGCGAGGCAGCATGCGCATGTTCCGATCGGCGATTCGGCCCGCCAGAACGACGTGCATGCGCTCGAGTCTGTCGAACGGGGGAAGCTTTGCCATGAACTGCTCGGCTGCAAAACCATTGTCCGACAGCGAAAGAGGTAGCCCGAGAATGAGTGATAGGAACCGATCGCAATACACCAGTCGGAAGAAGAGCGCCTGCGTTTTCTGGCTCGCTTGCGGGAGCCGCTGGGGGTAGCCCAGCATCTGCGCCACGCTGAGGGCCCGGCGGAAGATGAGCCACGCAGACCGCATGGTTCCTGCGTTGATATGGTAGCGAGCCTCGAGCATGAGAGTGTCCAGCCCCTCCAGCGAGCAGACGAGCTCGTTGTCGGAAGTGACATGGCGACTCGCGACCGTGAGATAGCGCTGTGCAGCGGCCCCCGGAGGTTCTCTCAGTTGGAGCTGAACCTCGCGGGAGGATGTCAGACTGAGTTGTTGCAATCCTAGAGCAAGCTGCACCAGCTTACGGGCCAGATCGACCGGGGGTGTGGTTGATGAGGGCAGTTCCAGTGCCGCATCGGGCTTCGCTGCTTCGATGGTCGCCTGTGGGCGACTTACCTGGGGCGATTGCACAAGTGTGAATGGGAAATAGAAGAATTTACCCTTGGTCAAGATCATGACAGTAGTGGAGGGAGGAGGCATGTATGAAAGGAGAAAGCTGCCCAGTGACCGAGTGGGCGTGTGCCAAACGCCCTTGGGGTTGATGACCGCAAAGGAAGCGGTTTCTGCATCGAGCCCGTGCTGGCTCAACAGGGGGGGGTTGTCCCTGGAAATCCTTGCAGCTGCGGGTCGAGACGATGCGATTGTTGGAGGGGCATTCTTCCGCTGACGCAGTAGATGATGCACGAGCGCTTCAATGTGCTGAATACGATCCTCCACCTGCTCATAGTTGGTGTTGCTGGACGGATCGGCAAAGGCTTGGCTCATGCATTGCAACCCTCGGCTGTCGCAATACACACAGCTGGGGTTGCTGGCGGGCTCGAAGATGCATCGTCTCTTTCGATGCTTACATTCCCAGCAGGAAAAGGTCCCTTTTCGAATTTTGCGTCTTTGAGGGTTCGGTGCATATAGAGTTGAGGATGATGGCGAGGATGATGACGATGGGGTGGAAGACATGATATCGATGAGTGTCACAGTGGCTGGTTTCAGCGGGTCGGTCTTACTCCGGGGAGGAGAAAGAGAAAGCCGTTGGGTGGAGTTGAAAAGAAAACGGAGAGAGGCAGCCTGGACTGCAGGCGAGATACGTGCGTAGCTATCTAATATTCACTAGGAGAGATAAAACACGCTAACGTACGCTAGCTATAACCCTGTCCATCATCGCCTCCTACGCCCTCTCAAAATGGGTTTGTGCATACCGCGAAATTACAAATCACAAAATCCCATCGATTTCATTCATCACATTGTGTGGGGCTTGCTCCGTTGAAACTATCAAAAATCGACCTTCCCTCCTAAAACGCGTACTGGAACCTATGTAGCACAGTAAGAACCCTCACATCTCGAAGTCCAAGATCTCGATGGATAGACCCGGAGGCACATTAACCTGCCGGAGACCATCCATATCTACATCGTCCGGCGCAGAGACCCTAGCATGGTCAGTTACCGTCCAGTCGCTCAACCAACCGGGTTAGACCTACGACATGAAGTGGATGGGCGGGGTGGTCAGCGTAGACTCAAATTCGTCCGGGATCTCCAGGTGCTGGGCTTCGTAGATCTTTCGAAGACTAAGGGATGACGGCGGTCAGCATCTCACTAACGAACACTAACTACCTTATTAGTGCTTGGTGGCTGAGTTGGTCTCACCTGTTCGCCAGCTTGGACCCGTCCCCATAGTACTCATGGGCCAATTCATTATCGTAGCGAACGTCGAAAGTCTACTTGCAATGATGAAGGGTAAGCAAAGAAAACCACCTTGAATGGCTGCAGCCTGGACTGACCAAGTCTTTCATTTTGGCGGCGGTGGGTGGATCTGATGTCGACTAAACGGTTGTTGATCTATAACTGAGTGGAAGAAGTAAGTTGTATCGAGAAGTTCCTCACTGAAGCAATGTTGAGCCACGTTCCCTATTTAATACTTCCCAGAAATCGGGCAGGATTTCAATCACTTACCCCAGTAATCTCTCTCGCAAACACTAAATCAACTAGATGAGGTCATCTAGGCTTCACCAGCATGTGGATAGAGTTGGGGCGTGGTTGGTTCAGACCTTCTAGACGGCTCGGTAACCACCGATCGGGCCTGCAGGTGGCGGATCGGTCACTTCCATGGTCCGTTTGCAGATGGACGGGCTGACGATGATTTCATTGACCGACTGTATTGACCTCATTTCGATCTGTCTTTATCTCTCCGATCACGGGAGACCTGAGTTAGAAGTATGGTGAACAGGGAGTGTGTATTGATACTTTCATACTTCATGCGAGATAAGGGTTGGCCGTAGTGCCCGTAACGGATACGGTACGTGTTCTGTACGTAAGGTCACGTGAACGCATCGAGTCGATCCGCGTTCGGATCCCGGCTGCCGCACTTGGATTTGGATGCTATCTAAATAAGATACTTGGACCACAGCAATATCAAAAGCTAAGCGAGGTATTCCAAAGTCAAAGTTGTCCCATTCCTATATATTCCAGATCTTATACAGTATTTCTTGTTCTAATGCAAACCCCTCTCAGCAAGGCGACTTTACCACCCCCGGCACCACGCCATGCACCTTGAAATACCTCCAATCCTGCACACACACAAAGGCCAGCAATCCAACTACCCCACTGCACCTTCTTTATCAGTCACCCTGCCATCATCATCAGAAGAAACCGGAAGACTCACCACAATGTTAGCGCCAACACGGCCACAATCCCACCCAGCGCCTTACTACTTGTAGTATGCCCTCCACTCGCGCCCATGATGCTGATAATAAACAAGGCGAACCAGAAGATCGTGTCGATGATGTCCATGATCATGTTCGCGCGGGGGTTGGCCCACCGTTTGAAGCGCTCGTGGTAGGTGGTGAGGGTTTGGTAGGCTAGGAAGACTGCTGCTTTGACGCACTGTGTAGACCATTGTGAGAACCGAGCCGATACGGGCGGGGACTCGGACAAGAGTACGGGGGGAGGGAAGTTTACCACTGCTATGCCCCAGGTATTGGTCCGGGTCGCCGGGGTACCTTTGTCGGCGACTCGGGCGATGATCAGGATGAAGGTCAGGGTGATGAGAGCGCCGACGATGATGTGCAAGCGTAGCTTGAGGCGCGGATGGTTGTCAAGGGCGAGGTTGACCATGGTTCTTAGCAGTGCTTTTTGATAGCCGAGAGGGAAGTAGAGTGACTTTAGTATAGATGGGTGGAGGTGGAGAAGAGAATGTTCGTTCGAGGATGACACGCTTTATATGCATAGGCCTTCATATGTGCTTCCAATCACGCAGCCATAGACCTAACCCTTCTCTAAACGTGTATGGAATAAGATAGGCAGACATCAATAGAAGTTGAAATCTGCATCCAGGCCCATGGGTTTGTTGCATGCCGTGGTGATGTTGTCGGGTTCGTATCACTTGCCCGTTGTGGATATACGTACGAGCATCGCCAGCGGATTTTGTTTCAACCCCACATGATGAACTTGTCATTTCATCGCTATTGGCTGCTACGTACATGCTCAAAAACAAACAGTCAAGGCTCCACTAACGTCGGCCCGCAATCAGGGATCGCCCCAGAGACGCAGGTTCGAGAGTGTAGGTGGCCTGGATGCGTAGTCTGTCGCCTGAGCACCCACAAGCCAGAGTCGACTCCACCCGCAATTAACATCAATGCCGACCTTCAGCGCCTAGAAGAACAGATAATCATGCTGCCGGACTAGATCGACTGAGCACGTCTAAAGCGTCGATTGGACGCCGCGACAACTCACCCTGAAAAGCAGAACCCGCAGACGAGCAGCACTTACATACTCCATCCACGGCACATTTCGAGACCGATCCACCTGTCACGACCTCTCCTCCCACACCTTGCCCCGAATCTCGATCATGGCGACATGCTGAAACCCTGTCCTCCGCTTGATCTCGCCAATGCACATCTCCACAAACCGCTGCTGGTGCGGCACGGACGTTTCAGCACCCGTGATAAACAGTGGGCACAGGAGCCGCTTGAACCAGGGCGATGATGCGGTGGGGATGCTGGCGGCTGCGTCGAGAATCCCCCCCCCCCACTGATGCTGCGATCGTTGGGGCCTCGCAGGGGATCCTCCAAGTGTTGTGAAAGCGTAAGACGCGAATGATACACGTGTGGCGGTACGCTTCAGCGAGGGCTTTCCGTTCATCGCCGAGGGCAGCTCTCTTCTCGTCATCGGTGTCCCAAGTTCGGAAGAAGCGCTCTGCGGCCACAAGGATGTGCTCGAAGTCGGATAAAGATAGCGTTCCGGCCAGGTATAGTTTACCAGAGTTAATGACCCCGCTGATGCCGTAAAAGAGCTCGATGGGGCATCCGATTGTTTTGGGAAGGCTGATGTGGTTGAACTCTCGGGTGCGCTGGTGTGTGCCCTCACCGAAGGCCAGTTTCTCGGCGCCGCTGAAGCCTCGAAGTAGTTCCGGCCTTCCGTTGAGTTCGCTTCAGCAATCGAATAATGAGCCACAATACATGATGTTGACCTACCAGGCGAGAGTGGCTATCAGGAAAGATGTGCGAGAGGAAACCATTGCCGTCGGTTGTTGGGAGATCTTGCGGCAGATGTAGGCGGTACCGGTTAGATGCACCCCATGTGAAGAAATTCCCGACTCACAAATCTAAATACCGTAAGAAGGCCTTCCAGCAACAAATGGTAATTGCTGACTCACGTCGTAGAGAACGAGGAGAAGTACCGTGGCGAGAAGGACACCGATCTCTTCTGTGCTGAGCCCGTGCAATTCCTCCCTTATCAGCAGGGAACTTAGTAGTGAGTGCATTCCGGCGAGTTGGTGCTCGATCATCGCCGCAACATTTCTTTTGTTCGTTGGCCTCTGAGCTACTGAGGAGTTTTGGTAACACGATGCAAGCGCTAGGACTGCATGGAGCGTTCCAGGATCTTGGTGTGCGAGAGAAAGAATATACGCTCGATACCGATTCGGGGCGTGGCTGGTCTCGATTGCCAGGGCGCTACAGACCCTCGTTTCGACTTTTCTAGTAAGAGACACGCGGATTATAATACCTGAAAGAGCCAGTGGCAAAGGTAGTTTTGCCAGCCAAATTCGCCGCGAGGCTGGGTGGCTGCGTACGGTTCCCGCTCGAAGGCATTCTCCATGTGTGAGTATCGCGAGATCCCTAGTCGTTCTTTCTGGATACTTGTATCATACTTCACTTCACTTCAATATGTCCCCGCTGCTCTGGCATCAATTGAAGCCATCGCCAGAATCGGGGCCAGTGGGAGGCATTACCCAGTTGGGAAGTATGCGCAGCATTTCCACCGCTCCACTAACCATTCCCGAAATTACCCTTGTTTGATATCTAAGCGCCGTCACTGAGGTGAACAGGACACCGCATTGACCTTTCGGTCCAGCTGCATACGTACTTTTGTTGCTGCAAGCCGCATCTACAGCGATAGATCAAATCGTTGATCCTGGGAAATTCTGATGCGACCACAGAAACGGAAGCTCGGGGCGCACAAGACTGAGTTTATGCTTGCTTTGTATGATTGATTGCCTTGTCGAGAAACCAGGTTTCGATGTCTTCGCCATGGGGCTTAGTAACCACAAGCTGACTTAACTATACACACTCCTTGCATAGTCACGCTCACCACTAGCGCTGTCACGTATACACACTCTCCAAGTCCAAGTCCTAGCTAGAAATCCGTCGGTCGCCCGTCTTCCTTCAACTCCGGGCGCAGGTGGTAGATCGGATCCAGCTGCTCGACCCAGCCACACGCCGGCTCGCTCATCGTATACCCCATGTACTCCTGGACCTCGCGGGCATAGCTCCGGGCGACATCCGCCGGCACGGCCAGGAACTGATTCTCTTCCTGACGCAAGTAACCCCGAATGATGAAGGTGGCGAACATCAGACGTTTCTCCTCCTGGGTAATATTCGCGCCTCCGCCGTGGAACGCGGATGCAAGCATGATGAACCCATCACCCTTCTCCATATCGGCGTAGATGCATTGCTCCACGTTGGGGGGAGTCGTCCGGTCGGAGCCCCTGGGAAGTAGGTTGTCAATGGTCAGCAGCCCTCCGTGCAGCAGCGTTCGAGAATGCATACCATAGATGGCTCCGCGGGATGAACGCAGTGCCCCCGTTCTCTTTAGTGACGCGGCAGCCGGCCACGAACAGTCCGACGGAGGCCTCGCGCTCGGCGTCGCGGACATCATCCCATTGCCCGATCTCCTGGTGCCAGCGATGGCTGATGTAGTCGTCCCGGTGCAGGGGCTGGGCCGTGCCGCCGGGGCCGATGCGCATCGCGACGCAGGAATGCACGTAGGGCTTGGACACGGACAGCTTCTTCTCGTCGCCCCACCAGTACCATCGGCGGGAGGTGAGGAAGTGGTCGCAGACGGCGCGGAAGAGTGGGTTCATGAGCTGCGTCTTGGTGTAGGTCGGGCTTCGGGCGATGAGGGATGGAGCCCGTTGGGTTTGTGCTGGTGGTGGTGTCAGTATCGCTTTTTCATTTTTCTTCATTTTTTTTTATAGTTGCCAAAGGCTTACCTGGAAAGAATGACCCATTCCATTCGACATCCTCGTCCAGTCGCGACTTGACCTCCTCATGGGCTTGATCGACGTCACTTTCGGGGATGAGGTTCTTGATGAAAACCCCGCCGTCCCGCTTGAGCAGATATACGATTTCTTCGAGTGGTGTGTCTTTGGACACTTTTTGGACCTTGTCACTGTACTTGGAGGGATTGAAGGACATGGTGCAGCTTTAAGGGGGTGTCGGTGTGCAAGTGTTAAACTGATGATCATCCCACTCGAGCCATGACATTCACTTCATATAAATGGCTGTACCATACGTAGTGGTGTGCAGTCCACTAGCAGTAGGGATAGGCGCCGCCAAGGTTCGGGGGGAAGTTGATGATAGCTTACACGGCACCGGAAGGGGATCTGGACTCCCTGCGACCACGGATTCACCGTACAAGCGAGTGGCTTCGTTTCCCAAAAGGGGGAACCCGCCAGTAGACTTGTCCACAATAGGAAATGCTTTCAACTGCTATCAGCCCTCATATCAAGGCTATCACTCCCACTGGATGGGTCGATCCGAGATGGTGATGGATCATGCGGGGTTGAGGGTAAGAAGGGCATGGTTAAGCCTGTGCCTGGATGCGGTGCGAAATGCCAACAGTTGATGCAGGCAATATAATTGTCTGGTCTGTGTCACTCATTATCACATACAATCCCTGCTCAAACCCTTCTTTCAACAGGTTCAAATAGTGGGGAAATTGCTATATTTGGGAGGTCACATCGGTGCCTCAGGATCCCCGAGCAATTCTCAACACCCAAGACGATGAGCCAGGAGCTGGAGACCATATTCATTCAAAAGTGCTATCATCGAACTATGATGAGCCAGATTTTCAGCTCTTGCGTTCAGTCGCGAAGTATATCATCCTCACGTTCAGTATATTGTTCTTAATCGGAGTGACGTCATGGTAAAGCCTGCTCGGAGTATCTGTGATGGAGACGTTTTGACTTCGAAAGGGGCTTCCTTTGCGGTTTTGCTTTGCGAAGAAATCAAGCATCAATCTTGCCTCAATCAGTATTGCCTCTTCAGCATTACTGCCTTATTGTGTAAAGTGCTGTGGCCAAGCACGCCTCTATTATTTGCTGGAAACGATTCCCGAGTGGGCAATCATCCCAACATCCTATCTATCACTCATGCAGAAGCTACGAATGGATGCATAAGACTCATTGGTTGACCAGCGATGTGATTCGTGGGCGTAAGTTAATCCAAATCAAGAAAAGGCCAGTGTACCTTGATTGCGGCTCACCGGCTGCGTTGAAGTCATCCATACCATGCATACTTAGGTATCGATTGTGCACCCGGAGAAAAGCAGACCTGGGATATAAAGTCTGGCAACGACTTGGGAAACTATGAAGTGGTGCAAGATTCATTGAAAACTCTCTCCTAACTTGCTACTTAAGCCCCTTCACTGCCGACTTGCCACATCGCCATGTCTCACCCTCTCGACCCCCTCGCCCCGAATGAGCTGCGCAAGGCAGCTCAAATCTTGCGAGCGCGTCACAAGACAACTCCCATTGGCTTCAAGGTTACGACCTCTTGGAACCCCCCAAAGCCTCACTCCTGGCGTATCTGAATGCTCGTACGCGGGGCTCACCAGCCCCTCCACGGAAAGTCTACATCTACTACCATCAGCAAGGGCAAGCGACGCTGTGCAAGGCCAAAGTCAATGTATCCGAGGGCACTGTAGAAGAAGACCGCCAGTGTCCTGGAGTTCAAGGGCCTGCAGACCCTGAAGAATTCGAGCGCGTTCACAAGGTTTGCAATGAGCATCCGCTGGTTCGTGCCGAGGTGAAGAAGCTCAAACTACCCGAGGGGTGAGCAGCGCTCGCGGGCCAAATTATGCCCCCGCTTCCCCTCATACAAGGTATCGCACATAGAATCTGACACCTACAGGGCTTCGGTGGTCAATGACCCTTGGCTGTACGGGACCGACAGCCCCGTTGTGACCCGTCGTCTCTACCAGTGCTACATGTACGCTGTCCTGAACGATGATTAGGAAGCGAACCACTACTCCCTCCCCATGTCATTTGCCCCCATCTTCGACGCTCATACCGCCGAATTAGTAGAGATCGAAACGCTGCCACGAGGAGCGGGAGCGGAGTCCGATCAGGAGACCGTGCCTTGGGACGCCGTGGAGCCAGTCGAGTACAGTGAGCGCCTCTTAGGCAAGCCCTATTTCCGCCAAAACCTGAAGCCGTTCCACGTCGAGCAACCGGAGGGCCCATCGTTTCGTATCGATGGACGCCAGACCACCTGGCAGAAATGGTCATTCCACCTGGGATGGACGGTGCGCGAGGGCCCCGTGCTCCACCACGTCCTCTACGACGGTCGGTCGCTCTTCCATCGGGTCTCCATGAGCGAGATGACCGTCCCGTACGGCGACCCGCGGGCCCCGTACCGTCGCAAGCAAGCGTTCAATCTGGGAGACTCGGCTTCGGCCTGACCTCCAACACCCTGACCCTGGGCTGCGACTGTCTGGGCCACATCGCCTATTTCGACGGGATCCGCACGACGAGGACCGGCGAGCCCGTCGAGCTGAAGAACGTGATCTGCATGCACGAGGTGGACGAGGGGATTGGCTGGAAGCACACCAACGTCTGCAACGGACAGGCGTCGATGGTGCGCAACCGCACCCTCGTCATCCAGTGCACGGCCACCGTGATTAATTACGAGTACATCCTTGCCTTCGTGCCGGACCAAGCCGCCAACCTCCATGTGGAGGTCAGAGCGACGGGCATCATGTCCACCATGCCCATTGCTCGTCATACCTACTCGCCCTGGGGCACCGTTGTGGCCCCCGGCGTGCTGGTCGTCAACCATCGACATCTCTTCAGCCTGCGGATTGATCCCGCTCTTAATGGCACCCGCAACACGGTCGTCTACGACGATATCCTCCCCGTCCGTGATGACCCAACCGTCGACGATCCGCAAGGCTGCGCGTTCCGCAGAACAACCACCGCGATCACGCAGCCCGGAGGCTACGACCTCAATCTCGCCGCCTCCCGAACGTACCGCATCATCAACGCCAAGCGCACCAACGTCATCTCTGGCGAACCAGTGGGGTACAGGCTGCACGCGTCCCCGAGCCAGATGCTCCTGATGGGCCCGGAGACCTTCAACTGCCGCCGGGGACAGTTCACGACCAAGCCGATCTGGGTCACGGACTACCGAGACGAGGAGCTCTACGCGGCTGGGGAGTTCACCAACCAGAGCACGAACGACACCGGGCTGGGGGTGTGGAGTCAACGCCAGCAGTCCGTGGAGAACCGGGATTTCGTGCTCTGGCACACGTTTGGCAGCACGCACGTCACCCGTCCAGAAGGTATGTATGCCACCGGGTGTTTGGCTTGAGAGAGAGATTGCGTACAGTGGCTCAGACTTTCCGGTCATGCTGGTCGAGACGTTGTCGTCTCGCTCAAGCCGACGAGCTTCTTCGAGCTTAACCCGTCCAACGATGTTCCGCGTTCGAATCAGAGCCTGAGTCGGTCGACGCTCGTTGAGCATGACAAGGTGGCATCGGAGTCTTGTGACGGAGAGTGTGCTCTGTAGGGACGATGGAGGTGGGATCGCTGGGGTCAGTTGGCGAGTATCATGAGCTGAGTCCAGCCTGCAGACAGAGCAGGATGAACATGACAAAATTATGCTGTCTCGCTGGAGCACTTCTCATGAAACAGAATCAAAAGAGGATGAGCTCCAAAGCCTGTCTGGTGCATTTTCTTGGTGGTCTCCAGACTGGGCGAGCATGCTGACTTGAGTGAGACATCAATGCGAAGAAATCAGCCTGGCTTTGAAATGTGTAAGATCAGCCGATGCGACGGTTGAGTGGAGTAAATCCCCTCATCCTTAGGAGTTGTAGCTGCTATGTTTGTCGTACAAAGCTACTAGTGATTACCAAGTGGGAATAGGCAACAGCAATGAACCACGGAGGTTGTTCGCTTATACTACCTCACCTACCTAGTGCCATTGTATCGAGCACGCAGCTCAACAACAAATCAGATCCCGAGATTCTCGCTGTGTTGCACAGTGTTACCACAGGTTGGTGAATTGAGTTTGATGTCTGTCTCCTGAAAACAAGGAAACGATGTCGCGCGATGTGGGCTTCAGGTCCATCTGCTTAAGTAGAGTTGAGCATAGCAGATACTAGTCTCAGATGTCCCCTTTCCACCTTCCAAGACACTATGCACGGGCGAATGGAGATCTTCGAGACAAGAAGAAACCAGCCACCTCCTGCGTCAGGGTCCACGTCTCTCTGTCCATCGAGCGATAGAGTATAGGAAGCCATTCCTCACGTCAGAAGCATGCTGCACGAGTCAAACCCGCACTCAATTCCTATAACGGCTAACCAGATTTGGAAAGCACAGCGAACCTGATTTTATTACTGTTATTTCTCAAGGGACTCGCCAAGCACGTAAGCGCTGAGCCCTATGCTAAGCAAGGTAAGTCCTTGCCTCTGGGACGGACTCCGTTCCTTCGCTGCAGGATGACTGATCCGTCTCAGCGTCCCAGAATCCTGCCACTCCTGCAGCAGACCAGTCACCGGGGGGGGGGGGGGGGAGGAAAAGAAAAAGTACGGTACCTCAAGCTGGGTTGACCACCAGGCCTTACCGCTTCAGCCGCACTCGGCAGAGGCTCTTGGGGCCAATGTAAGTACTGTACTGTGCTTCAGGAGATGCACGTTTGCCGAGGTGCTTGGAAAGGTGCTTGGTTTGGAAGAAAGCAGCCTTGCGTACCTTGGCCACGAGAGTGAAACGAGGGGATGTACCGTAGTTGACGGCTAATGCGTTCTAGAATCGAATCTGCACTCGCCTCCGCTGGGGTGCGTCTGTCGAGATTCCACGTGGCCTTTTTCCTTTGAAGAAGCAGAAGACCAATTTGCCTCGTGACAACGGGAAGACCACTGGGAGATCAATGCAGGATAGACCGACCGAATGCTGCTAGGTCACAGCCCGTAATGCTATAGCCCGCATTGCGAGGACGAGGCAGTGGAATGTGAAACTGTGACTGTGCGGTGTGCTTACACTTTTCTGATCATCCGTGGATGGGCAATGTTATCGGGAGAACGGATGACCAAGTCACAGCAGATAAAGTCAAAGAAAGAAAAACATAAGAATAACAAACCAGATGAAAAAAAAAAGAAGAGAGCAAAGCCTTCTCCATCGGAGTCGGACCGAATCCAAACACCATCATGGGTTTAGGGCTCCGCTGCCGAGAGACTTAGCACGCAATCCAGAGCTTAGGGTGACCGCCCGCTAGCCTTGGGTTACATTCCAAGACATCTTAGTCCTGCTGCGAGGTCTCGAGTAAAGGCAGACAGCACCTACGCTGACACACCTACGACTGAGCAGCCAGTCGCCTCGAATACTGAGGGAAGCATGGGCTGTGGCCTGATGCACATGGCTCCTGGAGCTGCACTGGACACCGCAGTCCGGAAGACTCGATGCATAATTGTCCACACGATAAGATCCGTGAAACAGCTTGGCATACCCGGGCGATCAATGCGCTCTGACCTGCTGTTGGTCAGCAACTTGGTGACAAACACGCGTGGATGGTCGGCCTTAAGGAATTCTGCATCCCTTACCTGAGACTCCTCGACCGCGGTTGGCGGGAATGGACCAGGCTATTGTTGATTGCCCATCAATTGGGTTATATCAAGGACGGGGCTCGGTTGTGAAACAACGGGGAAGGAAAGAAGGCCATGCATGCATGCGTGCTGCATAGATGAGACGAGAGCACGGTGGTGGTGGTGAGCAGTGGTGAAGAGGGGTAAGGCTACGCTAAGAAAGGGCATGGAAATGAGATAGAAAAAGAAATCCCACAAATCGCGTGACCGCGTGGTCTCATCTGGACGAATGACAGGCCCTTATTGAGTATTTATTAGTATTCCGGCCTATGCTGCGACTGCTCAGCCCCCCAAGGTTATCTAGCCCGGATCAACCTTAGTGTACGCGAGGTGATCCTGCGGAGATCATTAGTAGGGAGCCATCACGGGCTAGGTGGTATCGAGTTAGCAATTCCAGCATGACGGAGATATTACCAAGCAGAGGCACTAGCCACTCATAGCTAGTATCTACATCGTCGCAATTGGTTGTACTGACTAGTAGACTGCTAAAGAAAGCTACCGAGTACAGTACGTTATTCACTCCCTAGTGTTCGCGTGGATGATGGCATCCCTCTGGTTAACCTTGACAATACAAGCAGTGCAGTACAGTACAGTACAGTATAGTATAGTATAGTATAGTAACAGTATAGCGGGACAAATTGGAAAAACACTCCCGTCAAATTAGGTCCGAGCGGGGGTTGGCACTGCCTCTCCCCATTCGCACTACCGCCTCAACGGGTCTCATTTCGGGTGGACGGAAAGATCGAAAGATTACAGATTGTCCCGTATACGTATGCAGAAAGTAGAGGCCGTGACGCTGAAGCAAGGAGTCGATACCTCAACTACGCGCTCGTATATGCATATCTAAGCAATTTTAGCTTGCTGACTGCATCCCCGGCCACCTGTGTTTGCCGTAAGACCCTCTGCGGAATGTGGCATGATACAAAACCGAGACTTTGGAATTCAGTACTACGTGTACTCTACCTCATACCCCGTGGGTACCGATCATCTACGGGACAGACAAATGCCCCTGTCCTGCCCCCAAACCACGTGGTAATATGACGATCAATCAGTAAGTTGGTGGGAGGAGAGAGCTGCAGAAAGCGCAACTAGAGAATAACCAGCTACATCATATCGGTTGGTGAGGGATCGGGCTGTTCCACTAGCTTCATTCTTCGATTTCCCTGACTCTGTTGGCAGAATTTAGGATTCCCAGCATATAGCGAAACACGGCATCGATGCGCCGTGGTTTTAGACCTGGCTTCGGCTGAATTGACTCGCACGGGGATTCTGAGCTCTCCTTACACAATAATATGAGTGCTGGCTAGTACACCTAGCTAGTGATCCTGACTTCTAGGTATATCATCCTTTGTGGTTCGGGATTTGAAGCGGGCTCTCTCGCTTGGGGTATACAGCATTCAGGCTGTATCGATTGTCCAGATAACGCTTCCGTCTCGACAATTCTGCTGAGTCAAAATTATACCGTCAGAACTGCGACAGAATGGTGCTCATGGATTAATCAGCTTATACGATTTGAGAAACATGAGTGAGTGAAATCCACGTATACTAGCTACGGTACTCCGGTTTTGACTGCGGATAACTCTGAAGGAATCAACTTCAAGACGTGTCCGCACCCTCGATCGGCCTAGGGCGGGAGATCAAGTGGCTCGGAAAAAGACATCGGCTCAAGCAACTATTCCTCAACCAGCACTATCAGTAGACTTTTACCCCTCTTGAACTCCATTTAAGCACCAGTGTTGGTGGGAAAGCTATCTCTATCTCGATCCTCATCCAGACCTTCCGCGCAATTTCGCGTGGCTGGACGGGGGCATCCGGCCATCCTTCCAATCCTGCCAGACGGCCTGGATAGAGTAAACGGCCACTTACTCCTCCTATATATAGATCACGTGCTGACTTAGAGCAAGGACGGATTCAAAAAAAAAAAAAAGAAGGATTTAGGTGCAGCAGAAGAATCGGCCTGCAGAAATGTAGCGGACAAAGTAGCGAATCAGAGCAGAGCGCAGAAAGTCCGGCCCAAGTAATAACCTAGTATAAGACTCAGTGCTTACGCGCTTCCCGATAAAGTAAACACTCAACACAACGCTTGAAAAAAACCGGTACTTGACATACGGTTCCGGAGCAAACCAGACTGGCTGAGAAATCTTGGTTGCAAATTGGCCCTGAGATAGTCAATTGGCCTTCAGCATTGATCTTAATGCCCTTGGAATAAGATTCAACTCGGGGTATACTTCAAGGTAGCTAGTAGACGGGCTGTTGGTGAAGCAGTAGTGCACGGTCCTCATCCCCAGTGGAAAAAAGAACCATGTACAGCACGCCGTACTGTAAATGTAACCCTAGATGAAATCGCTCCATCTTGGCGCATCGTTGGCCGCGTGGGAAGCCTCACGCTAAAAACAACGAACAACGTGGGCTGACGTGCTTTCTGGCTAGATCCTGCAGGAGACTACTCAACTCCTCTCTTTATCAGCCTTCTCACATCGGTGACTAGTAAGTTTTCGGGTAGACTCAGATGACAAATGGTTTCAATCCTATTGTTTCTTTTTTTTATATTCTTTTTCAATTTTTTTTTCCCGTCCTGCTTCAACCACGCGAGGTGAGATAGGGTCCTCGGCGCCACCGCCCCCACTAACAGTCGCGGGGTCAAACAAGGCCTCCATAACGCTCGTATGGATGTTGATGCTGGTCGAGGCTAGGCGGAAGGATCATGGGGGCGAAATTTGGAACCCAACATTGTTGTGTCTGCGAGAAGAGTGTGTGATGTGATTGCCATGATTCAGGATCGCCGAAACTGCGCCGAGAACAGTCGAGAAGCACCTCCAGAGAGATATGCCTCCCTGGTACCAACGCAAACCTAAACTGAAATGTGGCGATACATGGCCAGGCTGAAGATTACCAGATTGATACACTTCTCACCCTGTCGATCCAATGGCTGTAGCCGCAACCACAGTAGAGAAGCTAGGAAATGCTGACGGCTTCGAAGGATCAACTTGGAGGATCGCTGGAATTCAATTGAGGCAGACTACAAGGAACGTGGCTATCTCTCTCCGCATCTGCGGCCTATATCTTCTCTTCTGCGGCCCAGCTCCACCTCTTGATGGAGCACCGAAACTTGGATTCACAAATACCATCAGTATGAAGACCAACGAGACTAGGTACATCGCATGTTCGCATTGCTCCAAGGCCAAGGCACGGTGCGATCGCAAGGTAGGCGCGCTATGCAGTCCCAGCGCAGCTCCTTTGCACAATGGACTGACCAAGAACATATGTACGAGTATCACAGGTGCCTTGCACACGATGCGTCAGTAAGCAGCTGGTCTGCCAACCGCGCTCTGCCCGGCGAGCCATGCAGCGTCCAGCCGAACTCCAATTACGAAGGCTACGGCCAGACGACGTCCCGCGGGGAGACGAGCAGCAGACTGCCCCGGAACCAACGAAGCAGAACCCAGCTGGGCCCGATAGCACAGTAATAGTAGGGTCCGACCTGGAGACCGGCAGTCCGGATGGCTTATTACGCCTCCAAGCAGCCAGTGTCCCTTACCCCAGCACCGAGGGGACGACGCACTTGTCCACCGAGTGGCTACAGCAGATTACGCCCGAGTCATCGTTACATATGCCCTTGGCCATGGTCCTGGACCAGGACGCCCCCCAGCAGTCCACACCCGACCTCGACCTCATCAGCGAGCTCATCAGCTATTCCACCAGCGATGTCCTGTGGGAATCATACCTGGAGCCCATGACCGTCCCTCCCCTGACTCACTCGCCGCGCAAATCCTCGAGTTGCGGGCGCAACAGCCCGTTGGTGTCGCTATGTCCAGGGCAGCCACGGCATTGGGGGGAAGATTGGAGCAGCCAGATGCGCCTCAGCCTGCAGCAATTCGAGCAGACGCTCAATTCCCGGGAGCCCTGGAACACCAGCGGCACGGAGTCCAGTGCTTCCTCGATTGCCACACCACCGGCCGTTGACCCTATTACGGACACCACGCGCGACAACCTCTTGGTGGTGACCCAACTACTACTGATGCAGACCCGAAACGTCCAATCGCGGGAACATAGCAGCCACGGCCGAAGACTGAGTCCGCTCAATCTCACCATCGTGACCCTGCCTCCGGCCAAAGCGCTGGACGACCTCTTACGAGCCCAGGTCTCCTGCTTCGAGCAGTACTTTGGCCTGTCGAGTGGGGAGCAACAAGACCCGAACACCATCATGAGTGGTCTTCCGCACGACGTCAAGGTCGCTGGCATCCTGCTTCTGCTGATGATCGCGATCGGGGCCACGGCCTCCCCGGCCCCAGAACTGCACAACTTCGCGACCGGGCTGACGGAGACGTGTCGCACGGCACTGTCCGATATGATGGAGGGAGACGTGGCCACCACGAGGCCGGATATCGTGTCTCATTGCGCGCTCTTGCTGCTTTATCTGGGGATGTGGTCTGGTGAGCGATGGCTCATGCGGGTGAGTTCCACCTTGTGTCGCATTTTCTTTCCATCGTTTCCATTTGACCTGCTGACCTTTATATTCTCTGGTCACAGACATCTTGCGCGCACCGACAAATGTACACTCAGGCAAGTCCTTCATCTTATAAGCCATGACCCCAAGTCGAATGGGAACACTAACCGGCAGCGATACAGTTACTACACCGAAAGCCTCCTTCTCTCGACAACGGCGACACTCCCAGCCTTCTCAGCAGCACTCTAGGGCTCAACCAACAATGGGCGCAATGGAAGGAGGAGGAGATGAGCTCGCGGTGAGTGACTGAAACTTCTGGCTGCCCTCATAAGGCTGCCCGCTGATTTCATCGGCCAGGCTCACGTACGCGTGGGTAATAGCAGATCAAGAATGGAGCCTGTTCTACGACACTCCGCTCAGCTTCTCCGTAGACACGCTGACCGAGTCACTACCCGCCGACGACCGATTGTGGAAAGCGGGCTCTGAGGGCGACTGGGCACGTCTGGCGCCTGAGATCTTCGCCACGCAACCCCCGATCTGCCTGCGCGACCTGTATACCTGCTTCATGAACGGCGAGCTGCGCCCCGGGCGAGGCACGCGGCTGCCCCTGCAATATCTGCGTCTGCTGCTCGTCCCGTTGCACGGGATGGTCTGCCACCTGCGCCAGTGGCTGCAGTCCTTCCCCAACTGCCCCGTGCGCTGGCGCAAGAGCACCCAGGGCTTGTCCAACCCGGCCATCCACGCCCAGCTCGACCAGGTGCAGGCTCTGCTGCCGGAGTGGTTCAACCTGGCCGTGCACTCGGCCAACACCAACTCGCCCGCCGGCCTGGCCATGCTGGTCATGTACCACCTCATCGCGCTGAACGCGATGGCAAGCTTTCCCAGCATCGAGGCGGCGCTGCTGCGCGGGCCCCCCGCGCGCCCGGAGGCCCCGAACCCGCGGGGTTCCGGCCCGTGTCCGCTGGGCGCCTGCCCGGCGACCATCGCCCATGACAGCGAGGAGGAGGCGCTCGTGCATTGCGGCCAGATCCTGCGCCTGGTGCGCCTGATGCCGCCGGCCGACCAGCCGCTCTGGTGGTCGGCCGTGGTGTACCGCGTCGCGCTGGTCACCATGTTCCTGTCGATGAAGCGCCACCCGCACGACTGGCTGCCAGCCCTCATGCTGGGCCCCATCGAGGCCGCCAGTCTCGCCTCCTCGTCGACCACGAGCAGCTCCAGCGGCGCCAGCTCCAGTAGCATCATCTCCATGATGAGCAGCTCTGCCGCCTCTGTCAGCGACCGCGGCGCCACCGTGCCCACGCAGCACCGGTCTGTCGTCCTGAACGACGTCCCCGCCGATCATCCCGCCCTGCTGAACTTCATCAAGTACAAGGAGGGCGAGCCCATCATCGCCGACCGCGACGGCCAGCTGGTCGAGTTGCGGCGCCCCCGCGAGGTCCTGCGCCTCTTCATCGACCTCGCCGACGTGCAGTACCGGCCTGCCCTCCGGGCTACGCGGTTCCAGGCCGGCGTGAGGGATTCTTTGGAGCAACTGGCTGACCTGTGGGGGTTTCTGTCTCCTGCTTGAGGATGAGAGGGGGTTAGAATCGCATTGTCTAACAAAGGGGGAGTAGAATCTTGGGGTAGGAAGAGGGTGCGAGAGAATGTTGTGTGTTTGGAGTAGATGCCATTAGAGAAAGAGACAGAAAGTCCCGAATCGTCTTTAGAGAAGAAGCATCAGGGTCATGGGCGGAGCATATTGTGGTTTCGAGCCCAGGCGAGGCGGTGTTTAGCGATGCTCTGCATTTCTTCGTTTGCTGTGACTACAAAATCGATAATCATTCTAGAGAGAGGATGCCAGCGGTCAGTATGTACGTGACTGAGGTCGCACTGATGTGCCATGCACATTTCCCATTGACTGGGGGTACTGAAGATAAGGAGATAAACAACGTGTTGAAATTCCAACCAAAAGGCGCGTGTTACTGCCTCAGGCAGCGTTGGAGTACCAGTCCTCACGTGATTTCACCCAATATCTCCAACGTAGATGGTAATTGGCAGCTGCGAACATGAATTGGGACTCGCGCGTGTAGAGAAACAGTGTAAAAGTGAGATGATCGCCTCGGAAAGCCATTAAGTGTTGTAAACCATAGAGACTGTGTTTGTTGTACAGTATGCGGTTCGGCCACGTGACTTTCTACCGAAGGCTTCCTTCGGCCTTCGGTTTCAGCTTCGCCTGCACTTCATGTCAACCTTCTTCTCTTCTCCTGTCACCACCATGTGGGCAAGTATTTTAAACAAAGAAAAACTTCCTTCCTTGAGCCTACGCCCTACGCATATTATTCAAAGAAGAAGAATGAGATGAAAGTCGATACTCATGCAACACATTACACGGCCTAAGGGCTCGAATATAAAACACGACGCGGATGGAGAGATGCGCAGGACCATCACAACGCCTCGCTAATCCCACAAAGAAAGACAGACAACCACCTGACCAAACACTGGAACCGACTCAGGACTAAAACCATCAATAAACCATCAAAACGGAAGAAGAAGAATCCCCCATCTAAGCAGCCAGCGTCTCGCCCATGTACGGGAACCGGAGCGTCTCGCCCTTCTCCACCAAACTCTCCAGATAGATGGAGATCAACGGATCCATCCCCGCCTCGAGGGCCCGCGCAATCCACTCCATGAACTCCACCTCCGCGAACTCCTCTCCATACAGCGTGCGCATATGCGCCACCATGGCCGGAAACGCGACCTTGTTGCCGCTCGAATGGTGCCGGAAGCGCACCTGCTGCTGGAAACCGCCCTCCTGCGGCCCTGCGCCACGACCACGGCTCATGTCCACGGCGGCGGCGGTCAGCTCGCGCGCCACCTCCTCGACCCGCTTGAAGTCGAAGTAACCCTCCACGTTGGCAAAGCGCGGGATGGCCTTCATCTGCAGCGAGTAGCGCAGGATCGCGTTCAGCGCGTCCGACGTCGGCGCCTGGTCGCCGATCACCACGCACGGGCGGTGGATCTCCACGGGCATCGCCGTGAGTGCCGAGGCCCGCTGCAGGAACTGCTCGCTGGCCCACTTGGACGCCGTGTAGCCTTCGGCGCCACTGGTCGGGGGCTCGGCGACCACGGGCCCAGGCACCGGGGCGGTGTTGTTGTCAGCGAGCAAGGGGACTCGGTTGGAGGAGATGTAGAGCAGGGGCACGGCGGACGGGGCGCACAGGGACGCCAGGAATTGAGTGGAATGCACGTTGGCCTGCCGTACAGAGGCGTAGTTGTTCAGGCAGTGGCCGTTGGCGCCGGCGTGGATGACCACGTCGACGGTCTCCTGCAGGGCGAGGCACTCGGACGGGCTGAGCCCCAGCGTCGCCGAGGAAAGACTTCCCGTGTAGGCGATGATCTTGTCGTGGGCCGGGAGGTGGCTCTGCTCGTCGGGCAGGACGGCCACGCAGTGCACTTTGTGGATCTGAGGGTCCTGCAGCAGCTCGATCAGGATGCATCCGCCCAGAAAGCCCGTGGCGCCGGTCATGGCCACCTCGATGGCTGGATCGTCGTTCCTGCGGATGGCAGAGCGCTTGCTGGCGTCCCGTGCGGCCGTCACCAGAGACTCGGGAACGGCCGTCTCGGCCGCCCAGTCGATGGCTTCGATGTTGATGACCTGGTGCTCGCGCTGGAAGTCGATCCGCGCGGTCATCTGGCGCAGCGTCGAGGCCTCATACAGCTCGCGGGTGGAGATGGAGACCGCCATCGCTTCTTTGATGGCGTGCTGCAGCTTGATCAGCCGCAGCGAGTTGCCGCCTTCGAGGAAGAAGTCCGACTCGGCCGTCAGCGCGTGCGTGGTCGGCGGCAGGACCTTCTCCCAGAGGATGCGGAGCTCGCCCTGACGAAGGCTAAGCTTCGGCGCAGTACCGTGCAGATGGGCATCACCCGCCCGAGACGCTGACGGGAGCGGCGCGCTGGCCAGGGCGTTGCGGTCGATCTTGCCATTGCTAGTGCGAGGCAGCTCGTCGACAATGACCACCTGGGCCGGACACATGTACTGCGGCAGAGGCAGGTTCGCCAACAGGTCCGCGATCACCGTCGGCTCGATCTCACCCGTTCGGTCACCGACCGTCGTCGCATGGGCCACCAGGACATCGTCACGCACGGTGACCACGACCGTCGAGAACAGCGACGCCCCTGCTTGCAGCAGAGCCCCTTCTACCTCCTCCAACTCGATGCGCAGCCCGCGCAACTTGACCTGCGTGCTCCCTTCCAGCCGACCCTGGAAAACCAGCGTACCATCAGCCGTCAATCGACCCTGGTCGCCCGTGCAATACCATCTTGTCGATGGCAGTGCTCTGTCCGTGACGAATCGCTTCGCCGTCTCTTCCGGGGACGCCCAGTAGCCCATGGCCAGCCCGGCGCCACCGATACAGATCTCCCCGCGGAATCCGACCGGCTGAGGCCGGCCGGCCGCGTCCACGATCCGCAGGGCGTAGTTGGGCAGAGCCTTGCCGACCATGCTCTGGGATTCAGGCTCATCCTCCTCACCGGTCTCCAGCGAGATGCGGTTGAACGTGGCCGCCGCGGTAATCTCGGTCGGACCGTAGCAGTTCAGGTACGAGAGGTTGGCGAGACCCAGCCGCTGGAATTCGTGCAGCAGAGAGCGATGGACCGCCTCGCCGCCCATGCACGCCCACCGCCAGCCGGCACATCTGACCAGCGACTCCCGCCCGTAGTGCAGCCAGGTGAGATACTCGGACGGCGTGGCAATGGTCATGGTGACCTGGTGTTGGTGCATCAGCCGGGTGATGTGGAGCGCATCGCGGCGCGACTCGTACGGCACGATCACCAGCGTGCCTCCCGTGCAGAGGGCGCAGAAGGTCTGGATCAGCGACATGTCGAAACCCAGCGAGCTCTGCTGCAGCACGGTCTCGCTTCCGGCACGCAGATTCAGCGCCTCGATCTTCAGCGCAATGTGGTTGACGAAGTTGCTCTGCGAGAGCACCACCCCCTTGGGCTTGCCGGTCGAGCCGCTCGTGTACAGGAGGACGGCGGGAGATTGGGACTGTGCATTGCAAGGGATCGTCTTTTTGCCAGCGGCCTCGACCTCATCCACATTGATGGCCGGCAAGACGAGGTTCTCCGCGCCCACACCGAGCTGGGCCGCGCGCTCGAGAGTGGCCGCATGGCAAAGCACCGCAGTGGGCCGCGCACTGGCGACGATGGCCGCATGCCGCGCCGGAGGCAGACTGACGTCCAGCGGGATGTAGACCGCTCCGATATGGAGGATGGCGAGCATCGAGGCCGTGAAGTCGACCGAGGGCTGGCACACGACGGCAACGCGGGAGTCGGCCGTTTGACCAGCCGCCTGCAGAGCCGCAGCGATCGCGTTCACCCGCTCCGCGAGCTGAGCATACGTGAGCGCCTGGCTCCCGTCGCGAATGGCGAACTGCTCCCGATGGGTTTCCTGCGCGAGCTGGACCTTCCCCGACAGGGTTTCAGGCCAGTGGAAGTCCACCCGAGGGCCCTGGCCGAGCTCGAGGGCCGCCAGGACTGCTTCGGGAGCATGGATGGGAAGGTCGGCGACGGGGGTGTAGGTATTCGCCAGCACATCCTTCAAGACGCGCACGTACGTGTCCAGGATGGAGCGGGTGGCGGCCTTGTCGTACAGGGACTCCTGGCAGGCCATCTCCAGAACGAAGCCGTCGGCGCCGTACTCGATGATGGCGAAGCTGAGGTCGTAGGGGTTCTTAGCCTCCTGGACGTCGGCCATGGTCAGGAAGCGGCCGGCGAAGGGGATCTTCTTGACGACGCCCAGGCGGTAGTTGACGGCGACCTGGAACAAGGGGGTGTGGGAGGAGGAGCGCGCCACGTGGAGGTCGTCCAGGATCATGTCCAGCGGCACGGCCGAGTTCTGCACCGCGCCCAGCACCTTGCGCGCCGTCGTCTGGGCGATCTGCGCGAACCGCGCGTCGGCGGACACGCGGAAGCGCACCGGCAACATGTTCATGAAGAACCCCACCGTGTCAGCGAAGTCGTCGTCCAGCCGGTTGGCATCGGCCACCCCGATGCAGAGGTCGTTGGTGCCCGCCAGCTGCGAGAGCACCACCTGGAACACCGCCAGGTGGAAATGGAAGGCAGTGATCCGCAGTTTCTGGCACGCGGCCTTCAGCGCCTGCGCGACCTCCGGCCCGATCTCCTGCCACTCGTACGTGGTGCGGAAGTCCTGCGTGCTGGGCCGCGTCTTGGTCTTGGACATGGGCAACAGGGGTAGCACGGGAGGTACGGACGAGTACTCGTTCTTCCAGTACTGCAGCTGCGCCTGGAAATGCCCGGTCTGCTGGTGCTCGAACTGTCGGCGCGTGTACTCCAGATAGGTCTTGCTAGTGTGCTGGAGGGGCTCCATGCGGTAGGCGGAGGACAGGTCCTGGATGAAGAAGCGCCAGCCGGTGGTGTCCATGATGATATGATGGTAGGAAAGAATGATCGTGTGGGACTGCGGGGAGGTCGAAAGCACCGCCATCTCCATGGTCTCGCCCCGGGCGAGGTCCCAGACCCGGGTCTTGGCTAAAGTCACCTCCGCGGCGATGTCGTCGGCAGTCGCGTCGGCGACATGGCGGAAGCGCACAACGGGGGAGACGAGCACGCCCTGCATGGGTTGATTGTCCTCCTCGCGCACAAAGTAGCAGGTGCGCAGGGACTCATGGTGCTGCATGGTGAGGGCGAGCGCGTTGCGGAGGCGCTCCATGTCCAGGGGGCCGTCGATCTCGAACTGGAACATGAGGTTGTACGCGGTGGGGTTGTTGAGGAACTGCGAGAGGATGTAGATCCGTGACTGGCCCGACGAGAGACGTTCGCTCTCGATTATACCTTGGCCATAGTCATCATCGTCAGCGTCGCGTCGCACATCGGGGAGGGGGTCTGGTCCTACGTTCACCCCGGCTTCGAGGCCGTCCTTC